ACAAATTATATTATGTACATATGTATTAAAGTTAATAATAGTTACCATTTATTGAACATTTATTACAGGCTAGGTGCTATTCTGAGTCCTTTATATGTATCAACTTATTTCATTCTTATAACACCCTATGAAGCAGGTATTTCATAATTTCCATTTTACAGATAGGAAAACTGGGCACATGGAGGTTATGTAACATGTTTAAGGTTACAAAAGTCACAAGTGGCAAAGCTAGAACTCCTAGGGAGTCTTGCTCTGGAGACTAAGATTCAAACCAGTACCCTATTCTTAGTACTGCTAATAATTTAAATATATAGATGTGTAATTTTCCATATAGACGTGTAATTTAGATTCCCCCCATGCCGCCGAGGGGGGCATTTGTTATGATGGCAGCAGCTGTACTGACCTGAGCTTTCACTGCCCCTGTCACTGCAGTCGCTGCATCCACAAGGTCCCTTGTCTTTGCAGAACAAACATCGAGCCCTAACTTTTCAGCACTCACAAAAGCATAAAATGCACCACCATATGCAATGTCCACCACCACCTTTCCATGACCAGGAACATCCACCAGGAGATCTAAAAAAGATATGTTTGAAAATCAATTTGTTTTTAGTGTTTTAGCAATAAAATTCACAGCATTTTTATTTATTTTCTTTGACAGCAATTTCTATTGAGCATCTTTTTTTTTCTGGAAAAGATTCCCCCTGAGCTAACATCTGTTGCCAATCTTCCTCTCTCTTTTTTTTCCCCTTCCCAAAGCCAAAGTACATAGCTGTATATTCTAGTTGTAAGTGCTTCTAGTTCTTCTATGTGACTATGTGAGCCACCACCACAGCTTGGCTACTGACAGACGAGTGGTGTGCTTCAGTGGCCAGGAACTGAACCCAGGCTGCTGAAGCAGAGCGTGCCGAACTTTAACCACTAGGCAATTAGGGTTGGCTCCACAGCATTTTTAATATGTGTATTTGGTGGCGGGGGTGGGGGAGGGAGGGGGGGATGCAGCTTCTTTCTATCATAAGAAGGAATTAAAAAACCCATTTTCAGGATGAGTAAGCATTAGGTAAATAATGGTAGACCTTTAGCTAAGTGCATCTTTCTATTTTTTATTTAATGTTTGCATATGTTATACAACATTTGAATGCCATGTTTTCCCCAAATTACACATACATGTTTGTTCACTATCCTGAGGATCTTTTCTAGGAAACATAATAGAGGCAGAGAGAAAGGGAAAGCCCTGGGACATCAACATGTGAAACTGCGAAGGAGAATGCAGGCCCCCTGCTGTGCTACGAGGGATGGTTTACATAGTGAAAATTTTGGCTCCTATGCACAAATTGGTTTTCTTCAGCTGTAATGTCAAAACAAATGGAAGAAAAAGAGAAATTTTTCTATATAAGTTCTACACAAATACTTAGTCATCTATATATGTTCATCTCATTAAAGTACCCTGCAGGCGCATACTCGGAATAAAGCCACGGTAGCACCACTGACCGCTACAGTATCATTTTGTATCAGTGTTTTTATTTGAGTATTTCAAGTCCATTGCATACCCAAAGTTTCACCTGAAGGTCACTTGTTTGAAATCTTGAATTTGTATTTCCCCAAGGAATGGGGCTGGATGATATTTTGGGATATTAAAACTATTTTACGCCTTCTCACATTTCTTCTCTTCCTCCTCCCAGATTCAGGTGGCATATGGCAGGGGACAGAGAAGGCCTTTGTTTTTGTTTTATGGAAACCTAAGACATCAGGGGAAAGAGACTTGTTGGCCAAGGAGTGTCCTGAAGGGAGACTGTTTCTCCTGGTCAGTCGAGAAATTTCCTCTGGACTGAGTAGAGGCTGAAGGTCCAGAGTGCAGACCTGTGCTGACTTCCCCACAGCACGGGGTGGGGGAGGCTCTGGGCTGTGATGAGACAGCAACCGGGAGGGGGACGCAGGGGGCGGGGCAGAGGCCACAGGGACTGGGGCAGACGATGCTTCGCTGGCTAACTGTGCAAGCTGAGGACCAAAGGCCCTCCTCTGCATGGCCGTGGCACTTTTAAGAAACTTTGTTCACTCATATATGAGAAAAGGGGACAGCATGTGGAGGGAGGTGGCAGAGTCAACCAACAAGGCAGAGCGGGGTCTCAAATTCAGAAATTAAGTTGTGAAAAATAAAATATTTCCTGCATTCCTGAGTTTGCACCCTGAGTCAGACAAAGATCCAGTACGCTATCAGTTACAGGGGGTCCACAGGGCCCTTTTAACATGTGATGTGTCAATCAAAAGAGTGAAACACGCCTCTGGAGCTTAACAGCAAAAGTGAATCAAAAACGTCTTTATCTTGATGCTGGTACAACATGAAAAGCAGGTTTAGTGAAAGAACAAGGAAGTAGATGGAAATCAGGGACCCCTGGAGTGCAGAAAGGTAAGTTAAGTGTGGCTTTGGTGTCCTCATGTGCAAAGTGAAATTGCTATTTCCCCCAAAAGGATTATTTTGAGAATTCCCTGTGATCATGTGTGGGGCCAGCTTGGCACAGATTAGGAACACAATATATGTTAGTATTAAAGCCAAAGTTTAATTTCCAGTGGCAATAGAGCTCTTAGGAGGACCAGGTATTTACATTTGCCGATCAGCACGGTCTTCTCCAAATTTCACTTATTTACTCATTCCACAAATATTCGTTGCCTGCCTACTGTTCTAGCCCGTGAACACAGGCAACAGCCCTCGGATGGAGGGCTTCAGCTGATGGAGCGAAGGTGACCTCCGCAGTCCTCTGAGCGGGGTGCTGCTGTCATCCTCATTCTACCGTGACACTGAGCATGGACTCCCTTTCACCAGGTCACCGAGATGGGGAGGGGCAGAGCAGTGGTTTTGAACACTATCAGTCTGCCTTTCATGCATTTTTCAAAGTAAAGAATTTAGGATTTCGTCGTCTTCATGACTCAAAGTGACCGTGAACGCCCACGGATTACTCACAGTCACACAGTGGGGCCCTCAGGAACTACTGTGCCCGCGGGCCTGGCTGCCCGTGCCCTAACCAAGCCTGGACCAGGAGGTAGTGGGTGAACTTGCTGCAAGCTGCCATTTCCTACAAAATCTAGAGAGTTTCTACTCTGCCGCTGGGGTGGCCGAGGGGGAAACCGGGTAGCAAGACTAGTTAAACGGTTGAGGCTGCTTAGGTGCAATCCTAAACAGGAACTCCTGTCTCCCTCAAGCGCCCTCCAATCCGACGTGACGCCCTTCGCTCCTAAAGGGGAAAGAAGCATCAGTTTCGCAGGGGCATTCTTCATCCGCGCGTGCGTCAGCTGCCCGAGGTGGCTCTCAGGCTCTCCGACGCCTGGGCTATCGCTGCGTCATTCATGAGCAGGCTAATCTGAAACCCCAATCCTGGAGAAGGATCAAGATCAAACTAACAAAATCATTGATTGGCTTGAAGACCTCCAAGAAAAGGGTGATAACCCTATTCCTGGCTTGACTAAATCAGCGCCCAGCTCACGCCCAGTCAGATCGCTAAAGCGTCCCGACAGAAATCAGCCCTTTGGAGGGCTCTCCCTCTTCGTAAGGATTATAGTTATAGACACCCCGTTTGACAGGACGTACACGCTCTGTACTAGGGAACCCAATGCAACCGTTTAAAGGCTCTGCACTTTCAAAGGTCTAGAGAACTCTAGCAACTCCATATGTTCTGCAGCCTTTCTAGGGATATATTTTCTAAAATTCTACGTACCTTACATACTCTCATTTAATCCTCACAAAACCAATGAGAGAACAAAGAAACAGGCACAGAGAGGTTAAGTAATTTGATTACGGTTGCAGTGCTTTAGGGGGTTGTCAGGATTCGAACGCAGGCAATGTCTGTTCCTGTTATTAAAGAATAAGAGCAGCAACATCCGTATCTTCACAATTTATAAATTGATTCATTTATTCATTCTCATTTAATTCTTTCCCCAAAAGTGGAGAAGACACTTTTTACGCATAAGTTTTAGTAACCCTTCGGGTCAATAAAGCGTCTAGAGAGCGTATTCTCAGCCAGCCGGGAATTACAGTTCACTGGCTGTTCTTTGCTCTTGCCTTGACCCCAGCGAACTTTGCTTTGTCCAACCGCCAGAGCTCTAGGACAGCCTGACAGCGGGAAGGAGGCGCTGAGTAAGGGAAACCCGGAGCTCTGTACTCCTCCCGGAGAGATCTGCGGGATATTCGCATTGCAGGCACCGCCCAAATCCGCATGGCTAGAACGCTAAGACGCGTTTGCACTGCTCTAGAATTAAGCGCAAAGGCTTGTAGGGCGGGTCAGTCGCGCCGCGAGGGCACAGCCCGCAGAGAGCGCGGTGAGCTGCGTGGGAGGTTACCTGCAGCCGGTTACCTGTGGCCAGCGCGAAGGCCGGGACGCTGTGGAAGCGCACCGGGCCGCGGCTGCGGCCGCCCTCGCACTGCACGAAGGCGGCCACCAGCCCGCACGGGCAGTGGATGTTGACGCGGGCCTCGCGGACCCCGGCCGGCGGCGCGGGCACCAGCCCGAAGTCGAGCGCGAAGCGCCCCAGCGCCAGCACCCCGTGGCCGCACATGGAGCTGTAGCCCTCGTTGTGCAGGAACAGGACGCCCAGGTGCGCGTCGGGCAGCTCGCTGGGCACCAGCACGGCCCCGTACATGTCCCGGTGGCCCCGGGGCTCGAGCAGGAGCCGCCGCCGCACGTGGTCCAGGTGTTGGCGCATGTAGCGCCGCTTGGCCAGCAGCGTGGGGCCGACCACCTCGGGACAGCCCGCCAGCACGACGCGCAGCGGCTCGCCGCCCGTGTGCATGTCCACCACCGCCAGCGGCGGAGTGCGCGGGTCGTGCGGGGGCAGCCGCGGCACTGCCAGCGAGCTCTCCATCGTCCGCGTCCGGGAACTGGCCCCCGACCCGCCGCCGCCTCCGCGCGGGCTGGGCTGGCGGCGCGGCCCCCTCGGGGGCGGGGCCTCGGAACCCAGACCCGGAAGCGCGGGTCGGGGGCGGGGCTTCGGAACAGTCGCCCGGGTTACCAGGAGGCGGGGCCTCCCAGGCGGCTGTGGCCCGGATGTCCGGGCGCTGCGGCCGGATCGGCTGATCCCGGAGCTTCTGCAGGGAAACCAGCCAGCGGCCAATGGGTGAGTGGCCCCCGAGGTCTGGGGCAGCGTTTCTCTTAGTCCCGCTTCTTCCCGGCGCTGCCGGCGGGCCTCGGCCCGGGTGGGCGGCCTCCGGGCGGCGGCGCGTCCTCGCCCCTTGCTCCCTCCTGCCCTCGGGCCGGGCCCCGGGGTCGTCCCCGGATGCTCCCGGTTCGGGGTGGTCCCGGTTCCTGACAGGCTGCGGAGGGGAGGCCGGCCGCGTACTGGGGGAGAGGCCGGGCATTTGTTGTCAAGTCCGAAATGTCATCCCAGTCCCTTTCTTTCAGTCCTTTTGTTTAATTTTCAAAATTTAAAGCGCGGGCGTTAGTAAGCGCAGAAAAGCAGTGAAGGAAGCAGCAGCTAATTCCTGCGCGACTGTCGTCTGCTGTCTCAGCATCAGACGTGAGATCGCAGGGCCCTTCGCAAAGGGGCAAGACGGTTGCAGAAAACAAAGTGAGAATTTTAGCCTCGTTCACTAAAAGAAATGAAAGGCGAAAGTGAACGGACGCCGGGAGGCAGGGTTTTGTTTGGTCGAGGATAAGCTGTTGGTTTCAGAGGGACTGGTTTTCAGGCCGTCGATTTTGAGAAACTTTAGATTATTAACATCCAAATGTATTTATTAAGCATCTACTAGATACAAAGCCCCTGTAGAAGAAGCGTCCAATTCTTTAACTTCTGCCTTCTCCGAAAATCTGAAACTGTTCATTTCCATCTGTTGGTTTAGAACATTGTGATTTCAGTTGGTTTAAAAATAAGTGCTAAATAAGGTAAAGAAGCCCATGGATTAAAAAAAAGTCAGAAATTTGATAAAAGTGAAAATATTAAACTTGAGGCATTTTAGTCAGTGCTTTTTCTATGTTTTCTCAGCAGCACAAGGAGAAAGAAATCAAGAGTCTACTCAAAATTGAAAGGCGGAAGGGCGTTGTGGACCAGGCAGTCTTTAGATTGTGAATTCATCGAGAATTTGGGAAATGATTGTTCAAAAATAGTCATTAAACGCCAGTTCCCCTCCTTAATTCCAGCTGACCGCAGTTCTGCATTTATTCCGCACTAGGCTATGGGTACTTGGATGGCAGGGACTCTACCCTGTTCCTCTGTGGACCTTTAGCCGTCCCTGACCAGTGGAATCTGACACTTAATGCATGTTTACTGAACCAATGAATCAGTGCGGGAAAGGAATCAGGCGTCACTGATGGAAAAAACTCCTTCAGTAGCTTCTCCCTGTTGATGAGGTCAAAGACAATTTGTCGGCCTGGAGTTTTTTTGATGAAATAGAGCTGCTTTTTATTTTCCCCAAGCTTTGAGAACAGGGGGTGGATTCGAAGGCAGTGGTTCCCACATATTGGTCAGAAGCCCAGTGACAGCCTTGGTGAAATTTTCACCTGTCCTCGACAAAAATGAAAAAAGTTAGGACAGTGTAGTTAAAGTCGATTTTATTTACTTTAAAGGCCTGCCCTTTATTCTGAAATTATGTCCTTTCTGCCTTTCTGGTATTAAAATGTGTTCTATTGTGAACGAAGGTGATAATAGAGTTTGTGTGTGTATGCACACACTTAATATCCTGACTGGGCAAAATAAAAGGCAGCGATCCTTTGTTAGTCTTCTAATTAAAAAACACTGGAAATTTGAAAGTCTGGACAACTAGTCAAGGGGCGTGGCTGGCTGCAGCCATTGGAGACATACTGAGCCAGGCTTGGAGTTCTGGGGATAGATCCCACTCTGCTGGCTCAGGACCTTAATCATAAGAAACAGTATTAACAACAAGGTTCCAGCATAATTTTCTGCAGTGCTCAGTGTAAAAGGAGAAATTTGAATAAATACATTAAGACTTTCGTCTAATACATATTTTTTAATTGAAACTGTTGAGATATTTCTGACAAGTGCTTCAGATGTTATTGCTTTATTTTTTATAATCACAAAAGATGTTACTTTACTGGCATTTGTTTTTAAAAAGCTGTCGATATTCAACCAGCATGCCTTGGACTTTATTGTGGGAAGACCCTATTATTTAAAAATGGCTCAACGGAAATATATGGAGAATGTGGGGTAAGTCTTAATATTTGTATGTTATTTCATTTGTAAAATCTTTTTGCTTTTGAAATATTTTCACATGTAGAATATCTCTATAATATATTCAATTTATTAAAGAATATGGAGGCATTAATAAAATCCTTATTTGTGTTGTCATATTGATTGCCTATAATACATCTTCATGACAGTCACAGTTAAGTATTTTGAAAACATTTTATAGTTTTATCATAATTTCGAATTACTTTTTATTGATAGAGTACGGTGACTTGGACAGTAAGTTAACATTACAACTCCAGAACATTTCTCTGCAATTATTTTTATACGGTGTTAATAACTAGATTTTTCATTTAGTGTTAGTCAACTATTTTAGTAACTTAGTGAAAGGAGTCCTTTAGAGCCTTATGCAGATATAGCAAATGCAATGTAGATTTCTTTTCGTTTTACTTATGCTTTCTCTTTTATTTCTAAAAGATGCACATGTAAACAGATGTTTAAACTGAAAAGAGATGTCTTAAAGAATGACTTTTGGGGGGGCATTAATATTCTAAAATAATACCTGTACATAAAACGTTGTTCTTATATATTATAGGTGTGTCCAAGAGGACAGAGAACAAATGCACAGAAATACTGTCAGCCTTGCACAGAGTCTCCCGAGCTGTATGACTGGCTCTATCTTGGGTTTATGGCCATGCTTCCTCTTGTTTTACATTGGTTCTTCATTGAATGGTACTCGGGCAAAAAGAGGTGAGCACTTTTTATGAATGTTTCTGTATGGACTGATATTGGAATAATCATCATTTAGAAGACCTCATACTTGTATTGTTTTAAAAGTGGTAAACCCGTTTTTCTGTTATGTTCTGATTATTTTTAACTTAGCAAGAGAACTTACTAATAGAGCATGTCTCAGTAGTTATTAAGGGGAGTATCTTTTGTTTGTTTTACTCTAAATGATGTTGAAAGAATGTTTTTTTTTATTTCTCAATTATAATCTTTATTGATTTTCTACAAAGAATTTGTTATTACAAACTGTTTATTGTTCTAGAACAAATACTTTGTGATTTAATTTAATACCAGGATCTAGTATAATGCAGTTACAATGATATAGCTGCAACCTGGTTATGAAAACTTATACTAACACATTAAATCAGTGAACATTTAGTGAGCCCTGTGTTTTATGTTTAGAAGATCGGGGAAGGAGATAGAAAAATCACTGATGTCGTTTATGGTCACAGTGTTGTACAGAAGACAAACATATACACAACTAATTGTAATATAAGTCAGTCTTAAAAGTATATAAACAAAAAGTATATAAAAGCATTATAAACAAAATGCTCCGGAGCCACAAAGAATGGAAGAGAGAAATTGTGCCTGGTGGGATCTGAAAGACGTCATAAAAAGAGCCTTTTAAGCAGAGGAAAGAGCTTGAACAAGGGCACGGAGGTTGGAAATGCGGGCTCTGCTGTGTGGGAATGGAAGTGGTTTTGGCTGGTCGGAGGTGCATGGCATATGAGAGAAGGGAGATCCAAAGGAGAGTGGGAAAGGTAGGTTGAGGCCAGAATGGGAAGGTCCTAGATAAGGATGTGAACTGTATTCTCCTGGTAACGAGGAGCCAAATTCTGCCTCAGAACATTGCGGCCATACTGACTTGTAGTTCCTCCAGCTTCTCAGCATCTTCACTGCTCTGGGTTCTTTCCATTTCCCAAAACTCTTCTCTGCCTGAAATACTGTCTTCTCCCTCTGACTGTAGCTTTTCAGCTAGCTGTCTTTTTTTCCTCCAGATTTCACTTTAAATGTCTCCTGCTTGTAGAGGCCTTTGCTGACCCAAGCTAAAGTGGGCCTGTCCCTCTTATTTTGCTTTTTTAATAGCATCCTTCATTTTGTTTTCAGCATTCAGCACAATTTATCGTTACGTTTGTTCCCTCATTTAACGTCCGTCCACTTATCATCGTGTCGTGTCGCACCGCTGACTATGAGCTCCATGAGGGGGTTGGTTGGCTGGCTCTGTCATTGCTCTCCATGGGATCCCCAGAGACTACCACAGCAGCTGGCTCGTAATAGGTGCTCACGTGGTATTGGCCAAGTGAATGATTTCTCGGTGATGGTTTTGCTTTAGAGAAGTAGCATCTCTGGTTGTGTATTTTAGGAACATACCCTGTGGAGGGTGGATTAGAGTGTGACACATTACAAGGCTGTTGATGAAGAAATAGTGATGGCCGAGTCCAGTAGTGAGAATAGAAGTGGAAAGGATGGTTAGATGGAAATAGAATCAGCAGTTTTCTAGATCCTACCTAATAAATCCAGGGTGATTATTTACTTTGGAAAAGCATTCACTATTTTTCAGAAGAATCTGTAAAAATATTTTTGTTCTTTTTTATGAGGAAGATTCGTTCTGAGCTAACATCTGTTGCCAATCTTCCTTTTTTCTTTTGCTTGAGGAGGACTGGCCCTGAGCTGACATCTGTGCCAGTCTTCCTCTACTTTGTATGTGGGTTGCTGCCACAACATGGCTTGACAAGTGGTATAGGTCCACATCTGGGATCCAAACCTGTGAACCTGGCATGCCGAAGCAGAGCACAGTGAACTCTTAACCACTATGCCACAGGGCTGGCCCCTATAAAAAGATTTTTTAGAAGGCAGCTCTCATCCTGCTTTTAATTTCTGTTGTAGAATGATGAGAGATGAGAGCAAGAAAGGAGCTATGATCAATCTAAAGCTAAAATAGAATAATCGCTCAGGTAATTGGTTGGAACATCTCAGCACAGAGTAGAGAAGAGGTGGGGTGTAGGGATGTACCTCACCAAATGCATTGGAATCAAAACATCAGGTATGTTTTAGGGAGAGTCTTGGAGCAGAGGGTAGAGCTTCGGTTTGAGGGTGGAGCAGAGGAGTGATCAATGCGCAGGCAGGAAAGGAGGCGGGCTTAAAAAGGAGTTCGCATAACCGTGTTTTGCCTAGGAAATTGGTAGCAAGGAACACAAGGGCCATCTCTTGGATTTTCCTGAGATGTTGCACTTATGATCAAGGAGGCAGGAGCTGAGCCGTCTGAGGCTAGACCAGTGTTTCATAACCTGTTTCTCCGTGTCAGCTCCTTACAGAGCCTTTTTAGATGCCTTTTTTCCTAATTTCACCTACCCCTGTGAAATTTTAATGTCACATATATACTACTTATCTGGTATATGTATATATGTGCTTTATATATAAAAAGTGTTAAGATTATTTTATCCCTGAGAACCAATTCCTGCACCCTTGGGAGTGATACGCCCATTGAGAATGCACGGGCTAGACACTAATCATAACTATCCTGAAGGGCACCCTTGCTGTCTCCAGAGTTTAGTATTACATTTGTTTTTCTTTAAGGTCAGGGCAGAAATTGTGCACTTTTATGCAATGCAGTCAGAAGCTGTGCTTCTCATGTAATTTGTTTTTATATAATTTATAACTTTTTGAATGCATTCATTCAACAGTTTTAGGAATGTCTGCAATTCCTAGGTGCCAGGTGCTATACTAGGTTGTGGGATTGAGAGATGACTAAAATATAGACACTTACAGTCCTGTGGATGAGAGAGACGAACCATCACAAAGTCCGGGGGGGTCCTATAATAGAGCTATGTGCAGAATTTTAATTCTGGCATGAAGAAAGAACTTAATTCTGCCTTCTCAAAATAGGGCAAGGTCACAGAGAAAAAACTGAATTTAAACTGGACTTTGAAAAATGAGTAGTTTTTGATAGATAGAGGAATTGAAGAATCTGTCAGACAGCAGGAATAAGATATGCTGTCTATAAGATATGCTGTTTAATAAGATAAAAGTCTAGAGGCAAAAAAAAAAAAAAGCACAGTATAATCAAGCAATGAGGGCTGAGCATGATGTGAGAAACAGGGACTAAATGAGGCCGGATATAAAGAGATTTGGCTGGAGAGTCTTAGGAAGTATCCGTAAGACCTGGTGATAACCCCTGAGCTGACCTTGATGTTTGCCAGATAGGTGAAATGTGTTTTGAGGTGGAGTGTGAAGCATGCACAGATGTGTGGAGGTGTGAGGAAGCAAGGTAGTTTAGCATGGCCAGGAAGTGTGGAAGATCGTTCTGGGGAGGAGTGTTTTTCCTGAAAGGCAGAAGGGACTCACTGAAATAGTTCTATAAGGGGAGTTCTAGAATCCAGATTTCATTTTGTAAAGATCATGTGGTTGACTGCAGCTGGATTGAAAGGGATCATGATGAGAAGAAAAAGGAAGGTTACTAAAGTAATGGCAAGAAATGATAAGGTTGAGATTTTGCCTCTAAAATGTGAATTCTATAAGGAAAGAAAAGATTGGATTACATAATATGAAATGCAAATGTTTATTTATGTATTCAGTGTTTTCATCTGTGTGAAATGATGCAGTTCTTCCAACAATGTAGGCTAACTAGGAGCTCCAGGGGCCTCTCCTGCACAAAATAACTAAAGTCTGGGAAAGACGTACCCATTGCTGGTCTCCTCGGAGGTAGAGGAGAGCTCCAAGAACTCTTCTCCTTCAGAGAACAAACCAAGCCCCACTGGCTGGGGTGGGAGTGACAAAGCAGGCAGTGGGCTGGGAGGGTGCCAGAGGTTAGTTGCTGGTAGCCCCAGTGCTATCTGGATCCTGAAACTCGGGCAGCCAGTGCTGAGCCTAGACCCTCAGGGGCTGCAGCCCAAGGTAGTGGTGGCCATGGCTGCTGGCAAAAGCAGCAAATCCTCTTTGCTGCAAAACTTCCCCGTTCTCAGTTTAGGCCCATGGGACTCTTGCTCATTGTCTATTAAGGAGCTCATAATCCATGATTATCAAATGAAATAAGCACTATGACTGAGAGTTGGTAGGCACAACAAACAATAAATATGTTTATGCTCCCAAAGGATGACAGATAATGGACTTTCTGCCACAGAATCTATAACTGCTACCTATAAAATGCTTAAAGAGGTAAAGGATGCAGTCGCAAAGATCTCCAGTCAACAAAAGATTATTAGGAATGAACAAGCAGATTTGGTGGGGAGAAAGGGACCTTCTAGAAACGGAAATTTATACTTGCCAAAATTAAAAAATGGTAGGTCAGTCAGGTAAAAAGTTGAAGACAGAATTAGTGAGTTAGAAAAAAAATACATAAAGAAATAACACAGCACTGGGAGAAAAGGAGATAGAAAATATGAAATATGTCGAGATGTGGAGCATAGAATGAGAAGCTGTAATATGTATCTGTAATACCTCCTGGGAACGCTCCTAGGTTCGTTAAATGTTCAGACTTCCAAGACCACCATATGTCATACTGAGCGCCACTCTACTCAGAAGTAACACAGCTTGCCAGCAAGGAAGCATGAGATGTCCCTTGTCAGCAGTAGCTTTTGAAGCAGTCCAGCTCAGGTGCAAGGAGATGAGGTCCACATTGAGTGGGTGTGGGAGTCATCCTGGCTGAAGTCTTATGCCCCAAAGGAGCCAGTCCCTCTATAGCAAGTCCATAAGGATAGCATCCAGGGTCCTGCAAGGGACGTGCCGGTTATAAGAATCACTGAAGTCAAGAAAACCAATCAGGTAGTTATAGTTCCCAGATGCAATTTACCAATCAAGGGATCATTTGTATCATAAGCAATGTTACTTAGCAACAAAATTGACATTCCACCCTTATCAGGCTTCGAGAGGAACAGAGCTAGAGAGTTAACTGAAGGCCAGATTCTCAGGTACAGGGGAAAGGTTTTCTTAACTCTGCCTATAGTGTCTAATCAGAGTCTCTGAAAAAAATAGAGAAAATGAAGGAGAGCCAGTATTTAAAGAGATACTAGCTTCAGGTTTTACAGAAATAATCAAAAACAGATCCATTGCTTCCTGGGAAGCAAAACACATCCCAAGCAGAATGAATAAAAAGAAATTCACACCTATGCACATTATAATTAAACTCTAGAACACCAAGGACAAGAAAGGCCATGTGTGGCTGCAGTCAGCAGCCAGCTGGCACCTACTCCAGCCATATGCCTTACTCATTTTGGACACATCAGCCCAGTTGGGCCTCTAGATGAGTGCATCCCAATTCAACATCACATGGAGCAGAAAGGACCCAGTGAGTCCAGTCAAAACACAAAATAGTGAGAAATAATAATTGGTAGTTGTTTCAAGCCAGTAAGTTTTGATGTGGTTTGCTATAGTCATAGACAACTGAAACGTTTAAATAGAAAACTCGAAAGCATCTCTAGACTAGACGTTAGAAATAATAAGAGAGTTTAGTAAAGAGGCTGGCCATAAGATAAATATACAAAATCAGTTACCTTCCTATTTTCCGTTTACAGTACCATAAGTACAGTGAGGTAGCTAAGCTACATTGGGTTTATATTATGCAACTCGAGAAGTTAATTCTAAAATTTATATGGAAGTGCAAAGGCCCATGAATGTCCAAGACCGCTGAAGAAGTAGAAGTATGTACTATCAAGAATTATTGTCACACACCCATTTATGATAAAAACCCTCAGTAAAATGGGTATAGAAGGAAAGTACCTCAACATAATAAAGGCCATATATGATAGACCCACAGCCAACATCATACTTAATGGACAAAAGCTGAAAGCCATCCCTCTGAGGACAGGAACAAGACAAGGGTGCCCACTTTCACCACTCCTATTCAACATAGTACTGGAGGTGCTGGCCAGAGCAATTTGGCAGGAAAAAGAAATAAAAGGAATCCAAATAGGTAACGAAGAAGTAAAACTCTCGCTGTTTGCAGACGACATGATCTTATACATAGAAAACCCCAAAGAATCCACAGAAAAACTATTAGAAATAATCAACAACTACAGCAAAGTAGCAGGGTATAAAATTAACGTGCATAAATCAGTAGCATTTCTATACACTAACAATAAACTAACAGAAAAAGAACTCAAGAACTCTATCCCATTCACAATCACAACGAAAAGAATAAAATACCTTGGGATAAACTTAACCAAGGAAGTGAAGGATCTATACAATGAAAACTACAAGACTTTCTTGAAAGAAATAGGCGATGACATAAAGAGATGAAAAAACATTCCTTGCACATGGATTGGAAGAATAAACATAGTTAAAATGTCCATACTACCTAAAGCAATATACAGATTCAATGCTATCCCAATCAGAATCCCAAGAACATTCTTCACAGAAATTGAACAAACAATCCTAAAATTCATATGGGGCAACAAAAGACCGCGAATTGCTAAAGCAATCCTGAGCAAGAAAAACAAAGCCGGCGGAATCACAATCCCCGATTTCAAAACATACTACAAAGCTACAGTGATCAAAACAGCATGGTACTGGTACAAAAACAGGTCCACAGATCAATGGAACAGAATTGAAAGCCCAGAGATAAAACCACACATCTATGGACAGCTAATCTTCGACAAAGGAGCAGAGGGCCTACAATGGAGAAAAGAAAGTCTCTTCAACAAATGGTGCTGGGAAAACTGGACAGCCACATGCAAAAGATTGAAAATTGACCATTCTTTTTCACCACACACCAAAATAAACTCAAAATGGATCAAAGACCTAAAGATTAGGCCTGAGACAATAAGTCTTTTGGAAGAGAATATAGGCAGTACACTCTTTGACATCAGTTTCAAAAGAATCTTTTCGGACACTGTAACTCCTCAGTTGAGGGAAACAATAGAAAGAATAAACAAATGGGACTTCATCAGACTAAAGAGCTTCTTCAAGGCAAGGGAAAACAGGATTGAAACAAAAAAACAGCTCACTAATTGGGAAAAAATATTTACAAGCCACTTATCTGACAAAGGGTTAATCTCCATAATATACAAAGAACTCACACTGCTTAACAACAAAAAAACAAACAACCCGATCAAAAAATGGGCAGAGGACATGAACAGACATTTCTCAAAAGAAGATATGAATATGGCCAATAGACACATGAAAAGATGTTCATCATCGCTAATCATCAGGGAAATGCAAATCAAAACTACACTAAGATATCACCTTACCCCCGTTAGATTGGCAAAAACATCCAAAACCAAGAACGACAAATGTTGGAGAGGTTGTGGAGAAAGAGGAACCCTCATACACTGTTGGTGGGAATGCAAACTGGTACAGCCACTATGGAAAACAGTATGGAGATTTCTCAAAAAGTTAAAAATAGAAATACCCTATGACCCAGCCATCCCATTACTGGGTATCTATCCTAAGAACCTGATATCAGATATCTCAAGAGTCCATTGCACCCCTGTGTTCATCGCAGCATTATTTACAATAGCCAAGATGTGGAACCAGCCTACATGCCCAGAAACTGATGATTGGATAAAGAAGATGTGGTATATATACACAATGGAATACTACTCAGCCATAAAAAAAGACGAAATTGGCCCATTCACAACAACGTGGATGGACCTCGAGGGCATTATGTTAAGCGAAATAAGTCAGTCAGAGAAAGACGAACTCTATATGACTCCACTCATAGGTGGAAATTAGTATATTGAGAAGGAGATCTGATCGGTGGTTACCAGGGAAAAGGGGGGGTGGGGAGAGGGTACGGAGGGGGAAGTGGTGTACCCACAACATGACTAACAAAAATGTACAACTGAAATCTCACAAGGTTGTAATCTATCATAACATTATTAAAAAAAAAAAAAAAAAAGAATTATTGTCATATTCACTTGTCTCAGGGATAAATGGACCCCAGAAACAAAATAGGGGACCTAAAAACAGGCCATTGTAAATGAAACTTTATATGGCAGAAGTGGCATGGCATGGAAAGCAGTAAAATGCTGCTATTGGGACAATTGACTACCCAAATGGGAAAATCTAAAGTTACATCTTTATATTATAATATATATAAATACTTTATATTTTACACAGAAATCTAGTGAGTTAAAAATTTCAAGGTGAAAGTAAAACCTTAAAAATATAAAAGAAAATATATGATAATGTTTTCTTTATCTTGGAGTGAGGAAGAACTTCTTAAAACATTAAAACTGCTTACCAGAAATAAAAAAAGTTGATAAAGCCAACTATATTAAAATATAGAACCTCTCTTCATTAAAGGACATCACAAAGAAAGTGAAAACTCAGCGAAGAGGAAGACATTTGCAGCATGTTTATGTAACAAAACAGAATGGATAACAATGCAGTAGTCACATAGTAGAATATTATACAGCAGTGAAAATGACTGAACCTCAGCTATAAGCAATGCCATGGATGAATCTTGGAAATGTAATTTTGAATGAAAAAGGAAATCTCAGAAGGCTTACATTAGTGTACTAGCACTTTATAGTGTTCAAAAATGAGCAAAACTAAACAAAGTGTTTTTGAAGCATAAATACAATCAGAATAAAAACTTTAGAAAAAATAATGAAGACTATTTAGTATAATGCCTACCTCTAAGGGAGAGACAGGAGTGTGGAATGGGGAGGAAGAGAGGAAAACATAAGTAAATAATGTTCTAGTTACTGGGTTAGATAATGGGCTTGCAATGTTCAGTATATTTTATGACTGATATTTATTGCATATAATCTTTTGTGTAATTTTTATATTTAAGATAATTTAAAATAATGCATAGGTAACTTTTAAGAAATTTTTAATAATTTGGCAAGATCCTAAAGAAGGTTCGATCTAATTTCTGCTCTTCTGTACTTTTAGACAGTATTGGCCCAGTGTCATCTGGGATGGGTATTCCTTTTTAGTAAACAAGATTAAACTCTTCTCAAGTACTTTTCACATTTGTTTGGCTTTTCTTACCTCTTTAGAAGGTTTTTTAGTTTCAGGATGTTTCAGTTAAAATTTCTTTTCAGAATTCATATCTTGAGACATACACAAGTTTTATTAAAAGGCATTTAAATACAGAAAGTGTTCTAATTGTGCTTTTGTTTGGCTAGCTCCAGCGCACTTTTCCAACACATCACTGCATTATTTGAATGCAGCGTGGCAGCTATTGTCACCTTACTTGTGAGTGACCCAGTCGGTGTTCTGTACATCCGTTCGTGTCGAGTATTGATGCTCTCGGATTGGTACACAATGCTTTACAACCCAAGTCCGGATTACGTTACCACTGTGCACTGTACTCATGAAGCCGTCTACCCACTGTAAGTGTTTAGACTTAAGATCGTTTTTTAAAAAAATGATAATCATGGATTTCATTCATTTCAACAGATTAAGCATTGTAAAATGGCTTCTAGGCACCGGGGGAGATATATAGAAATGATTTTCTTTTCTTAAGGGATACAATCTGCTAGGAAATAGAAATGCATCTTAGTATAATAGAAGTGAAAGTATTTTGGGGTTGGTGTTGAAGTAGGTATAAACACTTCTAAAATAAGCCATAAATCTTTCTTAAAAAGGGAGTTACAAGGAAAACCTTTCTCATATGCAACAGAGAAGCAACATCTGGCATATAGGAAAGAGCACGGGCTTTGGAGCTAAAAACAGGCTTGAGTTTGAATCCCATGTCTGCCAGCTGCTGTGTTAACTTGAGCACATATGGAGCCTCTCGTAACCTTGTTTTCCCGTTGGTGAAAATGGGAACAATGATCCCTTATAAGGTGACGGTGAGGCTTAAATAAGTCTGCACAGATCGCATCCCGTGTGCAGTGCCTTCCCTACGGGGAGCATTCAGGAGCTGGCGTTATTAGAGTGCGTGGGCTAACGTGTTTTCTTTTTTGTTTTTTCCCCAAGTAACTGTAACTTCCATCAGAATGTTTTGTTTTAAAAATAACAAATTCATAAGATTCTGTATAATATTATACCAGAATATTTCAGTTTTAGGATTTCTGTGAATTGTTGGTGTTGATTTTGATGTTTTTTTCTCAGTAAAGGTATAATTGAAAAAGTGTGGTATTTCTGGTATTTAGATTCTCATCGTTGTAGCAAGTTACAATTATGTAATATGCTCAACAAAATGGTCCTTTTGTGCAAGTTCTTAATGGTTTGTTGTTAGTGCCGTCACATCGGTTCCGACTCTAAGCGACCCTGTGTACAGCAGAGTGGACCCTTTTTTGCGCTGTCTTCTCACCTCTATCAGACAGTGCTCTGCTGCTATTCATAGGGTTTTCACAGCAAATGTTTTCGGAAGTGGGTGGCCAGGTACTTCTTCTTGGTCTGTCTGGAAGCTCCACTGAAACCTGTGCACCCTGGGAGATCCTGCTGGGATTTGAAATAGCAGGGGCAGAGCTGTCAGCATCACAGCAACGTGCAGCTGCCACAGTATGACAAGCGACACACGGGGGTGTGGTTCCCTCACTTGGAAATGAACCCAGGCTCTGGTGGTGAGCACCGAATCTTAACCACTAGACAACCAGGGCTGGCCTTAATAGTCCTAAGTGTCAAAACCACACATGCACATATGTAAAAGGTAATTTTCAAAAAGTAAGATCCAGATATAGTGATATGAAAATCTTTTCCACCTGTCTACCTTTAAGTCTTGCAAATTATTTATTCCGTGTGTGAGTGTATATATATATATATATATATATATATATATATATACTGTCTCTGTTTGTTTCTCTCCGTATATATACATATAATTTAAGACTGTATGTAAGAGTGATAATGTCATCTTTGTTGGTTTCATAGAGCTATACTTCAGTAATACTCAACTTCGGTTATTCTCTTGTCACACACTGTCCTGGGGACTTGCAGAACTTAACCTGATCCTATTTAGAGAGCTTAATAAGTGAATCAGATATCAGATTTAAATAAGATATATAATCATCTTATTTAAAACAAAATCGGACTCATTTGCTGCTACCCACGTTTATAGCGTTTTTTCTAATATCTGTAAAGCCTGTAGGAGGAGAGCCTATAGTAGGAAGAGTCAGGACATCTCAGATTAGAACAGAGATGGCAAGTCGGTGCTCCCAGCCCTCGTTCTGCAGCTGTAACAGCCACTTCTGATTCTCCTGCTAGTTGGCTAGGGCCTCAGAATCTGGTCACAGCAGTCTCAGTCAATCAGAGTCATCATACAACTTCACTGATTAGGACATGTTTCCATCTCATCACCATTTGAATTAAGTAGATATTTTTTTCTCAGCACCTTTACCAATAGTCGTTGTGGAATGCACCTGTCTGCCTTGTTTTAATTATACAAGACAATGGTTTTTGAAAACTATGAGAAGATTTTATAGTGTTAGCATTGGGTTTATACATATTATTTCCGTTATGTAACCATTTAAACTTAAGTATATGGTCAGACTGGGGCTAAACATTTCAGAAAGCTGTAGGACTACCAAAAGTCAGTAATTTTTTTTCATGAGTCATCAAAAAGTAATGGCACAAAATTCCCACAAACCTTGGAACACTGTTACATTGAGTAGTCGGCTTTTTTCTCCATTGGTATATATATCCTGCTTCCTTACAAATTGAGAAATGTCGGGGTACTTTACTGATAATTATAGTTTTGAGGGGAAATTGGTTAGATGAGACATGGAAAAACGTGCAAACTTACTGTCATTAGAAGCTTCCTGCAAAAAATAACGTTTACATTACTAAAACTTTGAGTTATTGAAGATGAGCAGTCATTACTGTCATAACAAAAGTTAACTTTAGCTCTCAGATTTATCCTAACCTCATAGGTAGGGGGCATGGCTGGAAGTGGAGGAGGTAGAAGATGATGGCTTCTCATGGACGGCAGAGGTGGGAAACAGGTATCTGCTTCCAGAGACTAGTTTCCGACTTCATTAGGAGAGGTAACAGACGATGGTTTCCTTCTGATCAAAATCATAATCTTTTGGAGCTCTTAAGGAACTACAAGTTGCAGGAATAGATTTTATTTTGTTTTGATGTTAGGAGGCAGTAACCTAACAAGACTAAAAATCTCATCATCCAAGAGGTCAGACGTGCAGTAATGCATAACAGTTCAGGACTGGACCTAAACCATCTCGAGAGCGCAGGGACCCACTCACGCTGCGTGTGGCTGGTGCCCCTGTGCTGCCTGTGACTCTCTGGCACAGGGAGAGGGTTTGAGTAGTGAGGAAGTAAAATGATCTGAAAATCCTCATGAAGAGGCGGTTAGGACTATGTTCACAGAAATCCCATTATGCAAAATAAAGAGCTAGAAACTATAGTCTGGTGAGGGAGAGAGAGACTTTTTTACAACTTTTTTCTGATTATAAAATTACATTATAGGAATTGGAAAAACGTAGAAAAAACACACAAAAATAAAACAGTCTGTAATTCCATTCCTTGAGATGACCACTGCTAAAAATGTTCTTTCCAGTTTCATTTCTGTATGTATGTAATTTTTTAAAGATGTGTTTATACTATGCACGTGCTATTTTGTAGCCTACTCTTGTCACTTAATCTATTACGCACAGTTAATTTTGTCTTTAATATTTCTTTCCTGACTAGATTTTTACTGGCTGCATAGTATTGCAGCATGAGCGTACTCTAAAATTTAACCAGTTTCCTATCGTTGAATATTTATTTTCTTCCTTTGTTTTCTTTATTATATGATTCAGTAAAAATCTTTGTTCACAAAGTTTTTTTATGTTTCCCTGATTGTTTCCCTTTGATAAATTTCTGCAAGTAAAATTGCTGGATCAAAGGGTACAAAAAGTTTTAGGATTTTTGATACACATTCTCAGACCGCTTACCAGAAAGGAACCTGCACACACTTTCCAGCACCATATGAGCGTCTTTCCGGCCAGTCCTCCCCAGTCTGAATATTCAATGCATAAACTTAATATACTTCTTAACCTTTTTTCAAGATCTTTGATTTTAAGATAATCAATGATAAAAAGCTATTTTAAAACATTCTTGATGTTATAATTTCTTATTTTATTTTACAGATACACCATTGTATTTATCTATTATGCATTCTGCTTGGTATTAATGATGCTGCTCCGACCTCTTCTGGTAAAGAAGATTGCCTGCGGGTTAGGGAAGTCCGATCGATTTAAAAGTATTTATGCTGCACTTTACTTCTTCCCAATTTTAACTGTGCTCCAGGCAGTTGGCGGAGGCCTTTTATGTAAGTTTGATGGGTAAAGTCCGCAAAATATATTTGTTATTATAGATGATGAATGATATTTTCTCTGAATATAATTTTGGAGCTTTTTCTTTAAAATAGGTTTTTTGAATCCTTGAAAATAAACCATAGTATATATTTTTGCTAAAACGTATAATGAATCTTATGAAAAAAATCATAGGTTTTTTTGGAATGGAATAGAAATTCTCAAAAAATCAGTGGCAGCAAATCAAAACTGATTTCTCTTCAGAGAATAACTTGTACTTGAAGCTCATAACCTAAATAGGAAGATTTTAAAAATCTGAGTATAAATTAAAAACAAAAACTGGTTTTGCATGTAATACATGGAAATTATTCTTGATACTCTATACTGTTTACCATTAAGTTAGGTCTTAGTTTTCTAAGTTCCTTTAGGAAAACCTTTGAGATACCGTAAAAACTCCTCAATATATTCTTTATTTTAATATATCCATTCATTCATTTATTCAGCAGCCATTTAGACTAAACTGTGACTCAGAAGAAGAGTTAGAAAAAGTTGTTGTTAAAGGGCTCACATAGTACTCGGAGAGCTATAAATAGCTCAGAGAACAGAGTGTGGTCCTTATTTGAATATGTGACATGGGACATTGCAAGGATGTTGCACACCATCTTTTATATGGAGCCCACCAGGTGCAGAGGGCAAGCCTTCTGGCCTAAAGGAGCTGGGCAGGACTGGGCATCATTATGCAAGTAATGTAGCTTGGTAGTGAATTTGATTCAAAGTGAGGTTGGAGCTGAGAGTGAGGTCGAGGGAAGAGGAAACTGGAGACTACTCAGGGGTCAGTGATCTGTCATATTCTGGTTTGCAGACATATTATTTCATTTGGCCTGAGTTCATTTGGCATTGGGTTTGAAAATCTATAGTCCCTTCCAGCTGCTGCCATTCCCTGTTCTCTTAGATGTGACCCACTTCCATTATTTGCCTGGCTGGCCTCTGTAGGCCTCTGAGGTTGCTGTTCTTGCTCTGGGGAATAGAGACCTACTCTTAAAGGATTTTAGGCAGAAGAGTGACCTGACTAGGCTTGCGTTTTAGAAGGGTACTTTGGTAGCATGGGGAAGGTGGCTAGGCAGGGCAGAGAACCTGGGGGATCAGTTAAGGGTGGAGTGCAGTAAGCCAAGCCTGTCCCACCTAAATGAGAAACACGGAATGAAGAGCCATTTCAAAGATAGAGTTAATTGAATTAAGTGAATATTAGAAGAAGCCAGTAGGTTGGTGAGCAGAGGTGAATTCAGTTTTAGGAATTCATGGAATATTTACAAGAGTACCGGTAGTTCTTTATACTAGTCTGGAGGGGGAGAGCTGACTAGGTTGGAAAGATTAAGAATTGTCAGCCCTCAAATCCCCATGTCTTAGACCGCAGATGGTGCTATTGTATAGAACCTCATGGGTATGAAATGGAGGAAAGAGAAAGCTGTGAAAAGCAGGGGAAATTTGGGAAGTTAACCCCAGGAGACTGCCAGACCGTGTTACTTTCTCTATTGTAGTGGCCTGTATTGAAAAATGCCTTTTCTCACGCTGAAGGACATTAGATCATTTGTCAGCTGGCCTCCACTCAAAACCCGTTCATAGGGAGGATCAAGGAGTTATTCATTCGCACTGAATATAAACTTACGCAGTCTGCTGCGATTAGTCCCAGAGGGCATCGTACCAACTCATAATTTTATGATGTTGAAAAAAAAGAATAGATCATTTTTGTTTTGTAGAGAGCCTATAACAGAATACCACAGACTAGGTGGCTTCCAAATGACAAAAACTTATTTCTCACAATTCTGGGGACTGGAAAGTCCAAGAGCAGGGTGCCAGCCGATTTGGTGTTTGGTGAGGACCCATTTCTTGGTTCATTGACAGCTGTCTTTCAGTGTCCTCACATGGCAGAAGGGGAGGGAGCTCTCTGGGGTCTCTTTTATAAGGGCACTAAGCCCATTCATGACCTAATCACCTCCCAAAGGCCCCAGCTCCTAATACCATCCCATTGGGGGTTAGGATTTCAACATAAGAATTTCAAAAGAAACAAGCATTCAGTCCATAAAGAGGGTCTATAGCAAGTCTGAGCAAAGTAGAGCAGCGGGAGGCTTCTGGTAGCTCCCTAGGGAGAGAGACACTGGCACTGAGTAGGAAGATGTCAGTGACAAACTTTCACCTGCTTGGAAGTATTATTGAAGCCAGTTTTCAGTTTTTTAAGTGTCTTCTGCATCTCTACCACCAGGGGAACTAAAGTGCAGATTCCCAGAACCTGCCCCTCCCCCCCCAGCCCCAACTTAGTTGCCTAAAATCTCCAGTGGTTTTAGACCCTAGAGTAAAAACCACTCTAAATCCTGCCCTGAGCCCAGAACCACCTCTGCTCCTCACAGGTCTGTGCCTTGTTAGAAACTTCCTCTTCCTCCTTTTTACCTTAGATGGCTTTTTACTACCAGGTCTTAAATGAGAATCATTAGCGACACTGTTGAGCTATTTATAAAATGATGTGGGATTATTTTGAATGGCTGGTTGAGGACCTAACCACTTTCTAGAATAAAGGTTCTAAATGTTGAACAAGTCATTCAGTTATTTAGTAAGTTGGAATCAGGTCTACGTCGATAATTCAGAGTTTCTGGCTGCTGCATCCTGAATTTACATTTGAAATGCTTCCAAATGGGTTCCACTGCAAAGTAGAATGATTAGTAGTTTCATAAACTGAAGTTAATTGTTTTAAAGTAATTGTATGAACAATAATTCAAGATATTTTTTCTCAATTTGTCCATTTGTTTTAGTGTGCTATAGCTTGAAAACATTTAAGGAGAAAGGTAGCATTTTGTAAGAAAAACTTTTGCTTGAAGTATTATTACTGTACTGTATTTGAAGTAGAAATGTCTAGAATTTTGACATTAAGAGCACAAAACGATGCATTTATCCTTTGAGGTTTATTGATCTATGAGCTTTTCTAAAGAGTAATTAAAGCTGAATTACTCTTATATATAGCCTTTCTCAACCGAAGTTCCCCATCTGGACCATAAAACACAGAAACTGGGTAATTATTTTCTCAAGTCTCCCAAGTTTGGTACATAACTAGTATAATTCTAGATGCATAGGGGAGCAGTTAACTCTTTACATCAATCAATAGATGCCTTAAGGCAGGGGTCTTCAAAGCTGGGCCAAGGATAGTTTTACATTTTTAAATGGTTGGGAAGAAAATCAAAAGAAGAGTAGTAGTATTTCTTGACATTTGGAAATTACATGAAATTTGAATTTTACTGTTCAAATAAGTTATAAAATAAGTTATAACTTATAAACTTACAAAACAAGTTTTATTGACACACAGCCACACCCATTCGTTGATGTGTTATCTGGCTGCTGTCTGGCTACAGCTGTGGAGCTGGGTGATCGAGACAGAGACTGCATGGCCCGCAAAGCCAGAAGTATTTACTCTCTGGCCCCTCACAGGCAGAGTTTGCTGACCCCTGCCCTAGGGCCTTAGGGCTTAGATCTCTCACAGGACCGGTTGGGACAGTTTTTGATTACCGGGAGAATAATTACTGTTTTAATTTTTTTGATACTTCATTCAGAAAATTTGTTTAATTTTCAACATCACACCAATGCTTGTCTTTCAGATTATGCCTTCCCGTATATTATATTAGTATTATCTCTGGTTACTCTGGCTGTGTACATGTCGGCTTCTGAAATAGAGGTAGGAAATCTTTTTTCCTTTGTTAAAGATATTTTTATAGATTTGACAGTTGAATAGGAGAATAGTACATCTGATAAGATGTGGTACAACTGATGGGTTTAGTGATCCTGGGTTCCGTGCTGTCACTCAGTGGCTTGTAGCTCCTTATTCTGTGAAAGGTTGTGTACTGGACTATATTTGCTTGGGAAATTAGCAAAGTAGTCAGGCTCCACTATCCAGCATGTTGGAGAAAAAACCCATATAGAAAATATATTAATTATTGAAATGTTAAACTTAACACTATTTTGAGGGAAACATAAGAATGCTTTATTGTAAATAGAACTAATTTTACACTCGATTTTACAGGGGCAACATTGACAGTCACCGATAATTATACTGTACATTCCGTACCCTTCTATAGTTTGTCCCCCATTTTGTTTTCTTGATTACGGATGGTTACTTTTGCCCTGTAATATCTAATATTTTGGTGATTTGGAAATAACATTAACAGATACATTAGTTCTGATACTGTTCTTGTTTTGAGATATCCTTTTTGTGCCTCTAATTGTTTAGTATTTCAGTGGAAGGGCACTGTTAGAAAGACCTCTTTAGTTGAGGCTCAACTCCCGTGTGCTTGCTACTGTGGTGCCCGTGCGCTCTCTGCAGCTGCCCGCTGCAGTTGGTGGATGAGGGCTCTCTCATAATTCCTAACATGAGAAAGTTGAACCCGGAGCAAGTCAGTCGTTAGCTGTTTCAGAGTGGTCGCCCATGGTGCTCCTCTTTCTATTCCATTAGTGAAAGAGTGAAAGGGAAGAAACCCACCTAGAAATCATAGAAATCAACCGAGTCGTCTTTTCTACTTAAAAGAATAATAGTAAAGGAACTAGACAGAATGTTTTTATGATTATTCAAATGTTTCCATCTGTATTCTACCCCCATTTCTCCTTTGCAGTCTTTAATCAACATTACAATGTGATTAATTAAAGAAGATAAGCAAGTTAGTTTGGGCACTTTTATTAACTCTAGGGAAATATTTGAGGGGAGAAATGATTGGATATTTGAATCAAATGAAGTTTTTGAATTTTTCTTTATACTCCATAAGTACTAGGGAAAGTTAAATTAGCTTGAAACGTATTTGTTTCTCTGCTGCTGGGAATCCCTCCCAAATAAAATGTTCCTGCGCTTTGATTCGCACTCTCTGTGTGAGTCTGGAACAGGGGCCTGAATCGGGAAGAGACACTCGAGCTCTAGGGGAGCTGATGAGCCATTTAAGGAGAGAAAGTTGGTAACTATTGCAAATGACATTTTAGCGTGTTTACTAGCACGTTTAGATATTAGTTTTGTAATAATTTGGTCCTTCCAGTGTCTGCATATTATAGAGCTATCTTAAAGATTCAGAGGAAATCGGAGTAGGCACATGTCATTTCTGCTCCCTTCTGAATATGCAGGCAGCAGACACAGGAGTGCTAGACATTAAGGAGGTCCAGTGTATGTACCTCCTTCCCACCTGTAGACTCAGCTGCTGTGGATCAGGGCAGGAAGAAGGCACGTACTATGGCATTCCCCTTCTGGTTCCTATCTTTCAGAAGAAACTGGTGTTTCCAGGGTTGAATGGTGGTGTAGACTAGCACTTAGAGACGTGGGCTCCCGTCTTGGTGCTGCCTGAATGCTTATATGACTGTAGGAAGTTCAGTTTCCTCATCTGCGAAGGGTAGTGCCTAGACTGGTGATTTCTTAATCCCCTTTAGATCAAACGTCTATGATTCTGAGGTTATGATTTTATGTGAAAACAATGCATTTTAAATTAAAATGTAATGTTATCTAGCTGATTTAGCCCTATAATCTGTATTTCTCTTTTCTTTTATAAAATTATATAGAACTGCTATGATCTTCTGATGAGAAAGAAAAGACTCATTGTTCTCTTCAGCCACTGGTTGCTTCATGCCTATGGAATAATCTCCATCTCCAGAGTGGATAAACTCGAGCAGGATTTACCCCTCCTGGCCTTGGTGCCCACACCAGCCCTTTTTTACTTGTTCACGGCAAAATTCACTGAACCTTCCCGCATACTCTCAGAAGGAGCCAATGGACACTGAATATAAAATGCCAAAAAACCTAAGAAGTGTTCTTAATAAAAAAGTGAAGAAATAAAAAATGTATTAGTACTCTTCTCTCATACGTGGGAATAAGATTGTCAGTATATCTAAGGCTTTCGGTTGGTGGTTTTTTTTTGACGTAATAAACATTATGGTTGGACTTGAAAAGTACAAAATGCCACACTACTCTGTTACATAGTGTAACACGTGATACACTTAGAGCACACTATTAGATTATGCTAGAAGCCTATTAGGAAGCTCTTGCCTCACAACAATTTAGTTATTCTGTAGCACAAAATCATGTTTCTGTGTACCCAGCAATGTGCTGTTCCCATTTTTATTAAGAAAAACTTTAACAAGTATAGTCTGCAATCCTTAGCATTGGCATAATCGTGCATGCTCATTGTGTTCCAACTTGTTTTTCAAGTATAATGAATTATAAAGACAAAAGTACTTGTGGGGTCTGAGAAAACGTGGAAATAAAGTATGTTGTTTTTTGTTATCTATTTATTTTCGCCAGTACAGTATTTTGATCTATTACAAAAATAGAGCATAATTTATATAACAGGTCTTCTGTTTATAGGTAGTTTGGTTGAAGACATCTTCAGATTATTCCTGTAAAGAAAACCAATGAAAAGCTTAACTACAAAAAATCTCAAATGTTCTGACACTTAATTGTATTTTGCCGCACCAGTTGTGAGAATAATTCAAAATATTAAGTAGTAAGATTAGTGTTTCTTTCCCAAACGAATAAATACATGTACTCACATATTCCCTTCCGCTTATGTCTCATTTTTGGAGGATATATACACGGGCCATGTTTTATTGATCCTGAGACACTTTTTTTTCACGCTGTGTCATCTCTGAATTAGGATGCATCTTACAAGTGAAGGCTTCTTAGATTTAATGAAATACGGACTATATACAGCATGTGAACATTTTTCCTGTGGTTGGTTGTAATAGGGGCTGCGATTTTTATGCTCTGAAGGCTTCAAGAGACTCGTGGTTGCAATAATGGAAGCAAAATAAGGTTTTTGCACTTAATCTAATAATCTGACCGTGTCTGTCCATTTGTATTGTTTAGAAGATTATTTGCTGATTTTGCTCTTTGGTGGGGCTTGCACAAGTTTGTAAAATCTCACTTTTAAGACTTCCATTGATAGTTGCAAAATATGAAAAAGTGTACTCACTTTTTCTGTAGTTTGGTTTATGCCTTTTGAATTTGTAGCAGTCGTATCCTTGAAGTTACTTTGTTAGTTTTTCTTTGTTAATGTTTTTTTCATAGTACATTCAATCGCTGGGAAATGGACTTTTTTGATACCGCTGCGTTTCTGCTTTTCTTCTGTAGGAATAAAAACAAAGTGTCCAAGTGCTGTATGTATCTCACACAGGGTTGGCTAGTTCTTAGTGTCCATTAAAATTCTAAATTGCCCAAAGAATTCTCAACTGGACAACTGTAAAATCTGGGCAGGGGCCTGGGGGTCACCTGTGTGATTACCAGGACTGTATCTTCCTGTCCCACTACACTGGGAGCCGTTTTAACAAGTATCTTCCCCTCCCATGTCCTAGCAGAAAAATGTGTATGCAAAAGGAGAAATCATACAAATACTATAAGTTCTTGAATGTAAATGATTTCAGGAATGCTTAATACATATCTGCATTTTTAATTTGCTTGCTTAAGAACAAGACGAACAATTCATAGCAACTATGGTTGCTAATGTTACTAAATAATTCATTAAAACATAGTCATTAAAAATACACAAAAACAACCCTTGTCCTAGCTCAGCTTTGCTAAGTTTTGAGTTAGGTCCTTGTGGTGCATTACAACTCTCACTGCTACAGTGTATGGCAATTATTTCTGCTAACCAGTGCTGGATACGTAAATTAAAAGTCAAAATATTTTCTTGATTAATTTGGGTCAATTGATAAATTTAAGAATTATATTTTATATATTTGTCTAAAACTATTGGTTTGTAAGACTTTACTCCACATTGGAGCCAGGTGGAGAGATTTCTAGAAACATGCCTGGGTCCCACCCCAGAGATTCATGGTGAATTAGCCTGGGAGGAAGGCTGAGCAGAGGGATTTTAAAAATCTCCTCCACATGATTCTAATGTTAGAAAACGTTCTAATGTTTGACAACGTCTCTTCCTAGTTCAGATCTTAATTTTTCCAAGAAATCTTTTAACAATTTCTGAGCAAATGATTTTTTAAATTATTTATTACCAGAATTATGATTCTGGTTTAATAATAACTAGATTCTTTTCCAGAATTAAATGATCAAAATGTAGAAAATTGTATCAAGTCCTTTTCCATCACAATAACAAAAAGATAATTTCAACATTTATACAAATTATTTGATCTTTCTTTTAAAATGTCTTGTGGTCTGAAGTCTTCTGCAGAGCACATATTAAGACATTTCGTTAGTACACAAATTGTTTATCTGCAACCTAAGTTATAGTATATGGTATAATAGGGACTTGTGGAATTTTAAAACATTGTAATACTTCTTAAAAAATCTGTACTCATTTACTATTTGGTTTAGGTATACTAAGAATTTATTTACCGTTTGTTTACAAAAAAGGATGTTAAGGCAAAAGGTAACGATCTTAGTTTTCAGGATGAAGTCTGGCATTTCACATTCTGACAAGCCTGCCCCGCTCTTGCCATCCGGAACGCCCGCAGATGTCCCCTTGGCCACGCTATTGCGGTTCTCCTACAGGAAGACATCCTGATGTGTTCCCAATATCCGAAAAGGCTTAGAGGTACCTCTTTACCCTCCCGTAGCCACTCCTTAGAAGGAAGGCACTGTATTCTGATCAGCTCTTCACTTGTCTGTCTCTCAGTTTGTGCGCTTTGAGGTTCAGGGACTGGTGTTGTTCCACTTAGCCACTGCAGCATTTGCTCACGCGCCTGGCTCAAAGGTACTCAGTGCTAATGCAGTTGGCGCAGTGATCCTGAAGGGGCGGGCTGGGACCTGCAAGGCTGCAGTGACTTACTGTGTCCAGAGGAGGACAGGAGAGAGCTGTTGAGCTGGAAGAGATCACGGGCTTCTCCAGAAGTTCATCGGTGAGAGAAGCCATTCAACAGGGAAAATCCAGAACCCAGGAGAGTACAGGTGGTTCAGAAATGGTCAAGTAACTCAAGGAGCCAAGGTTGACTATCATCTCCTGAGGCGGGCAGTATATTTCAGGGATCCGATGAGTGCCTAATTTGGGTCTGATGCTTTACAACTCCTGTTAATAATCATCCATAGTTTACAACTGGGGAAACTGAGGAGGGGAGGCTAAATAACACCTAAGAAGCAGAGCTGAGATTTGAGCCCAGGGCACCTTCTTCCAAAGCTCAGAGGTGCCGGTGCTCCAGGAGCAGACTAAGTGGAGTTAGGGAAGCAGAAATCGTCCTTCAGCTCTCAGCTCCATAGCCAGTTCTTCAGAGACCTCTCCTGATTCCTTAACTCGGTGAAGTCTCTCTCCATCTTAGGTTTTCTCATAGTTCTTCTGCCCCACCTGTAAAATCCTTATGACGAGGGGTTTGTATGCTCTTGATTCTCTCACTGTGCCAGGGGTGGGCAAACAACCGCCTGAGGGCCAATTCTGAGTCGCTACAGAGACTTTATGGTTGGTGAAGCCAAAAATACTACGGCCCTTTAAAGTTTCCCAGCTTCTGTTCTAGACTGTGAGTTCCATTTGGGCAGGGACTATGTCTGTTTCCAGTCACCACTGTAACCCCAGAGCCTAACCTGGTACTTGGCACAGAATAGGCATTCAGTAAATACTTACTGAATTCAGTTTGCAGTAAGAGTGAAACATGGCTGGAACCTAAAAACAGGAGGAATTTCAAGCATCAGCATGCCCAACTAGGAGCATTTCAATGGCTGCAGAGAGCATTGATTTTTTAATTGAAATTCTTCCAATCAATAAGCTATTGACTGAAAATATTTTCAGTAGGAATATATGTTTTTTCTTATAAAATTAAGTGACATTCTTTTCATTTTCAACGACAAAAGGAGAATGCTTTCATTTTTCCTGAATTGGTCATTGGTGACAGAGTTTGGTCATCGTTGTGTGGCCCAGACAAAGTCACCCCTTATTCTCTTATTCATCTCAGCCCCTGTGATCCTTGGGCTCTGCCACGTTGCCCAGAAAGCTCACCCACTCTCTGAGTGAACAAAGGAGAATACGATTTCAGTATCAACACTAGTTCAGGAGCTGGCAAACCTTTTCTGTAAAAGCCAGATAGTAGATATTTTCGGCTTGGCGAGTCACAGCTGCTCTGCCATTGCAGCACGAAAGCAGCCATATGTAATGTGTGAGCGTGGCTATCTTTCAATAAAACTTTATCTACGGATATCAAAACTTGAATCTCACATAATTTTCTGCTGTCATGAAATATGATCCATTTGATTTTTCCAACCATTTAAAAATATAAAAACCATTCTTAGCCCAGGCTTAAAAATACAGGATGAGGCTGGTTTGGCCCCCAGACTGTAGTTTACTGACCCCTGCTGTAGACAATAGACTTGCCCAGGAATCTTCACAGTCTCTTAACATCTGGGAAAATGGGCAGCAACTAAGGACATGGGGAGGAGTTCAAAACTAAAAGGCTCCGAGTTTCAAGTTCTCTACAGTTCTCATGTCTCTCCTCATGGTCCACCGTTCAGCTTGACCAGAAATTGTGATCGTGAGTGATCTAGGACCATTCACGTATATCATGTGTCTCAATTTATGTATACATTATAAATTTATATATATACATATATTATGAAATAATATGTACAATATTAACAGGCAAAAATACGAATTTTAAAAGATAACAAAATATTGAATATAAACAGAACTTTTAATATTTGCTCCCTGTGTTTGGATTGATTATCACACCCCACTTTGGAGATCCTCAATTGCTCTAGAACTGAAATCTATGATCCAGAGTGTACATTACAGCCTTCAACTGCAGTTGGAGAAGTAGGAACATGCTCCAGTGTGGTCAGGAGACAGCTTTCCTCCCACTGAGGGCATCTGCCACAACTGGGCCCTGGGGCTGGATTCTAGATCCAGCCACTCTATTACTTGTCCAGATGGGAAAGTCTGAAAGTAAATATTCATTTGTTCTCTCATTTTACTAGTATTTATTGAGCACCTATTTTGTGGGGCACTGTGCTACACACTGGAGCTAAACCGTACACGAACAAAACGGCCCAGGCTTCCATGGAGCTCACGATCTATTAGGAGACAGACAAAACACAAGCCAACAGAAATAAGATAACTGCTGGTTGTAAGAAGTACTCATAAGGAAACAAACGGTGTGGTACGACAGAGAATAATTCAGATCGGAGATTCTTGTAAGGTGTCTCTGAGGAGGGGACACTGTCAGTCTAGACCTGAGCCCTGTGACCAGCAGAGGGAAGAGTATTCTGGGCAGAGGCTAACAGGGGTGAGAATGCAGGAGGCTCTGCTTAAAGCACAATTGTTACTGATGCTAAATATTCTCAACTGATTTACTAACTTTGGTTTTTGGAAAAAATGAGTAGACCAGATAATCTGAAAATCCTCCTTGTATTATAAAACACCTAAAAACACAGGAGGGGAGATAACAAATTTCCTTTTCAATGCAGTTGATCTTGCAAGCAACCAAGGGAAATCCCCAAGGTCCAAGGAAAGGGAGCGAGATCCTGAGCCGGAGCTCGAGCCCCTGCTCCATCTGCAGCCTGGGGGCAGAGCAGGCAGGAAGACAGAGGAAAGGCCTTGCTTTTCTTCTGGGCAGGCAGCTGGGACAAAGAACCCTCCACAAAGATGCTATTTACCCCTCTGGGGAATGAAGGAGAGAGGGAAATGGAATTGGAAAGCAGTATATAAGGGATTTTGATTGCATCTGTCATGTTCTAGTTCTTGGGGAAAAAATATCGTAAGTAAACATGGTGGAATGTTAAAATTTGCCAGTGCTTGGCTGTGGACATACAAACAGGTGTGTGTGTAATTTTTTATACTTTTCATATTTGCAATATTTCATAATAAATATAAACTGGAACTTGTTCCAGTTATCTAGAAGAATTGCAGTTTAAGTAAGAGTCATATATATTTACTTATAGTACTGATTGCCTATCAAATGAACTTAAATTTTAATTAAATAATTGTAGCATTTAGATGGAATAAAAATGAGTGGCACATACCAGATTGTCCTATTATTTGTTTTCATTTGGGTTTGTTTTCATTCAAAGCAATTATTACTCTATTATGAATACGATTCTTTAAATCAAAAATGGAAGTAAAAATTGAAACCCTGCTGAGAGAGTGACTAGAGAAACCGACAACAGCCAGACCATATGTGACAACAGAACTCCGACCCACAACCTCTGCACTTGGCCCAGAATAGTCATAACTTGGTCAAGGATTGCAACTTCCCTGCTTTTTGACCTTTGTTCTAACTCAGGATGAACCCGAGAAAGCCAATATGTTCACTAATCAATCACATAGGACATCCTGCTTCTAGCGAGCCCGCCCCCAGCTTCCCCACGCCAAAAGCCTCCAGTCAGAGCACACCTGAGGCCTCCCTTTTCCTTCGCAGTCAACCTTTCCCACTCCCCTGCCTGACTTTGAATCTCTGCCAAAAGCAAATGATGCTGACTCTGACCCCCTGGCTATCCCCAGCTCCACACCTTGGGTGGTCTTCCTTTACTTCCACACTGCGCTTCTCTACTTCCCATGAACCAGTCCTCAAAATACATGAAAAAGGGAATACGATGTTAGTTACTCAGTGGGCTCAACTTTCCAATATAGTCTCCAACGCAAAGATTCCCTCAGGTTTCAGACAAAAATGGAAGATTCGTTCATGTGAAAATAGTGCAATTGACATTTAAGATGATTTAGCTTTTAATATTCTGCTTGATCTACAGTTGCTGGGAATGGCCTGGCCCAGCAAAGAAAATGCAAAGCGAAGCAAGGCCCACCAGGGACCCACTGTGCACTCACACACAGTATCAGCCAGCTCCAGCAGGACTGCCGAAACAGCTTTTCGGCTGTTGCTTACCCACAAAATTCTTCACTGGCAGCTAAAACATTTCTTCTGTCAAGCAATATCCTCAGAACACTGGTTTCACCAAATATTGGGATGTTTTTAATCTTATCACTTTCTCTCATTTTACTTTTATTTTATCTCATTTTACTTCCTACAACTCACCCTTAAAATTGCTTATCTAATGATGACGCTCTTTAAATTAAACCCTAATAACCTCTACTAGATCTGGACACTTGCCAGGTGATATTATTTTCATTTCGCCACTCTCTTTCTCCCCTATACACTATTCTTCTCCCTTCTCTGCAGCCCCCTCTACCTCCACCATCCCACTTTCCCAAGGGATTCCAGCCCTGGGACGTCTGGGCTGCACCTGTGCAAGGATTCACCTGCATTTCCCCCTGCAGCCCTAATCTGGACGGGGTTCTGTGGCCCTCTGTCCCTCACAACATTACAGCGGGACTGAGGGTGAAGCTGCTGCTTGCTCACGAGGCAACCATGTTACATAGGATGTGTTAACATCTCAGAAGCCCCAGAAGGCATCACTGGATTTTCAGAGAAGGCAATAGTTGCTGTTTTTAATGCTAAAATCAGCTCAAGAAGAAAAAGTAAAATAATGTTTGCTATCTTCTGTTAAGAAAACAAGGAAGTGTGTAAGAGGTTTTAAAAGAGTTTTTTTTTTTAAATGTTCAAAATTAAGAGTGTTAAAAAGTCAGAAAGAAGTTAAGATTCGGTTATTTAGAAAACTCACTTAAGTTTCCACCTTCCAGTAGACTGTCCAATGCGGCTGTGCCACCACATTCAACCTCGCAAACGAGAATCAGCATTCAGTTGAATGTTTGTGACATTATCGGGCATGGAGTATTGGGGAGAACTGAGTTATCTGGTTGGCATTCCTTTTTTTTTTTTTTGGCTTTTTTTTTTATGTCACCAGCTTCAGTAAAATAGCAAGAAATCGTTTGTCACCCAAAGCTCTTGAGATGTTACTTACGACAAAGGTCTGCTTGCGATTCCTGTTCCGTAAGAGAATGCAGCTCTCCAAGGTTCCCTTGCAGCCAAGTCCCGATGGACTGGATTTTTTCATCTCTTTCATACAGCTTGTGTATGAGATTTTTTATTTCTTGCAAGGTCTCGTCACCACTGCCTACCAATTCCTTAAAAAAATAGCATTTTGAGTTATGTGAATATAAATTTCAACAAAATAAAAAACATTCTGTATGAGTGAATCACGTCCAGGATAAAAATACGTATGCAAAATTGGTATTAGTCATGCAAAATAAGTGTATGTAAATTCATGAAGTTCTGTAAAAGATCTCAGAAAAACGAATTAGCAAGTGAGAAGATTTAATGGAATGCTCATTGAACTCAAATTTTTTTTCCAACGGCTAATATATTTTTTAATTGAGGAATAATTGACATATAACATTAATTTCAGGTGTACAACATAATGATTTTACATCTGTATAGGTTGTAAAATGATCACCATAAGTCCAGTTAATATCCATGACCTCACAGTTATTACATTTTTTTTCTTGTGATAAGGCCTTTTAAGATGTACTCTGGTAGCAACTTTCAAATATGCAATACAGTATTATTAACTGTAGTCACCATGCTGTACATTACACCCTAGAACTTGTTTATTTTATAGCTGGAAGTTTGTACCTTTTGATCTTCTTCACCCCTTTCACCCATCCCTCCACCCCCCACCTCTGGCAACTGCCAATCTGTTCTCTGTGTCTACGAATCAATTCAAAATTTTAACTGGGTAAGGTGGTGGTGGCGGTGACGTATAAAGGCCAGCTCACCTTCAGAGCAGCACAGAACTGCAGAGGAGATTCAGCATGGCTTCAAGCTTAAGAGAGAGAACTTTGAAATCAGACTGAATCTGAGTTTTAAATCCCCATAAAATCGTTAACTGTCTGGTCTTGGGCAAGTCACTTAAAGTCTCTGAGCCTTAGTAACTTCATCTGAGAAAGGCATTAGTAACACTTTTTTTATCTAGTGTTTTGAAGGTTAAACAAGGATCATATGTAAAGTTGAAATACTTAGAAAGTGTCAGAGCCAGGATTCAAACTCCTGCCTGTCTCCCTCTAAAGGGCGGAGGGGTGGAGACATTGCACAGCTGGCACGACATGGAGGGTAGACGGCGTTCAGAACTGATGACTTTGTCCTAAAACAATATGCGCTCAATTTGTGATTGCAAAACAGAGTGCCACTCCCGCTTTAACTGAAGTGGTACGGTGGGAAGACAGTTTCCCAAAGGATTAAGATTTCATAGTGACATTTGGCACTTGTTAAAAATAAGATAACAGGCCCCAAATGGAGTCACTTACGCTAAGCCTCACATCGTCAAACCAAGACTTAATTACAGTTTTGGTTCTCCTGGAAACAGAATCTTAAACCAGTCAATCAGGAATCGTTTGCTCAGCACTGGGGAGGTCAGCTGCCTGACAGACCCCTGCTGTCCCCTAATGGAAAGTGACTTTGCCATGACCAAGCTACTTTTTGGCCTATAGCTTCCTTATTCCTGCTTCCTTCTGGCTATAAAAGTCTTTCATCCTGTACAGCTCCTCGGAGCAGCTTTCTATCTGCTGGCTTGGATGCTGCCCGATTCATGAATCGTTGAATAAAGCCAATAAGATCTCTAAACTTTACTCAGTTGAATTTTATTTTTTAGCAGCACGAAGGACACATTTTAGGATATGATGGTCACACTAGCTCTGTCAGTCCCTCACAATCCTGACCTCCCACTGTATGCACGAACACTCACACACATACACACACACACACACACACATTAGGTGAGTATTTTTAGAAATATGATACCGATGGAGGTAACAAAAAAAACTCACCTTCATGGTGGCCTGAAATTCAGCCCACAAATCCAAATATTGTTCTAAAATAAAGATTTTTAAAATGCAAAGGTTATTGAAAAAAATTGAAGATATTTATAAAAGAAATGCTATTTGCTTTACAGAAATTCTTTTTATCTAAAAATCCTACTTCCAAAATGACAGAATAACTGGATTGCACTTGCTCTCACACTATAAACAAGCAGAAAATAGGACAAGCTATATTACACAATATGTTTGTTTTAATATCCAGTTTTCAGAGACTGGAGAATGGCAATGCAGGACTGTGACCCCTGAAAGAAGGGAGACCTATGGTCATCGGCTCTCTGCCGGAGCACTTTCCAGACTAGCGTGCATGCAGATCAAGGCAGATACACAGACACAGAAATCCGTATGAAGGTTAGCAAATTGAATCCAGCAACATATAAAAATAACTATGGCTTTTGAACGAGGGGGTTTTATCCCAGGAATGGGAGATTGGTTTAGCACTCAAAATTCAATCAGTGCAATTTACCATATGAACAGCGTAAAGGAGAAACACCACCGTGCAGAGCACCTCAGTAGATGCTTGAGTAGCTGAGCTCAGCCACACGGCGCTGCATGCCTATGTGACTCCCCCTCCAGTAACACCCAGACCCACACGGGAGGGAGCGCCTGGTTGGCGGTGCTGCACATTTATGCCTCGTCCTTAGTCACAGGAAGCACATCAGTGGTTTCCAGGCACTGAAGGCAGGCTGGGAAATCAACTACAAAGCGACACAGGGAAATTTTTCACTGATGACAGTGTTCTATATCTTGCTTGTGGTAGTAATGGTTACAGCGGTATGTACATTTGTCAAAACTCATCAAACGTGAGATGGGTACATTTTATCGTACGCAAATCAGTAAAACTGATTTAAACAAACCAAAATCTTCATTTTTATATGTAAAGATCAGTCATGACACCTTACTTACTCTGACAAGATATCAGCTCCCAAGACAGGTCACTTGAGGTGGACACGAGGGCCTCTTCTTCCTGTCTGTATTGCTCGATGTTCTTCTTCAGGTATGAGATATACTGGAAATTAAAGGCATGTGATTGCTTGAAGCAGTTTAGTTACTGTAGACTAACTATCCATGCTGTCATTCAGCAAACCTTTACTGACTCGTCCTCTGTGCCACTGCCTGTTCCAGGTGCAAGGCTAATGGTGACCAGAGCCCTTGTCAAGCTTACATTCTGGGGACGGAGATGAGGATCCTGCTTCCTGCATTCCAGCACCCAAATAAACATGGCCTGCCTGGAGGAGCTCAGCAGAAGACCTCAGAGGAGGGTTTATCGAGTCAGGAGACCCATGGAATTGCTCACTCAAGTTGGATGTTTCATTGGGTTGGGTGACGGTGGTAGTAGTGGTTTGGGGACTAAAGTCACGGTTTCCTGTTCTGACCATCCAATGCTCAGGAACTCTAAACTCCTGGGAAGTCTGAAAGTATGGGCTTTGGGATGTAAACTTGACCCTGGTCCAGTTCCGAGAGAGAGAGAGTCACATACTAGAAACTACCAATAAGAATCTTAGAAATGGCATCCTGTATCATAGAAGGAGAGGACAGGGGACTGTTCATAAGCACGTGTTACAGGGTCCACTCATACAGCCTTGATCTGGTGACAAGCTCAGCACGGCTTGTTGGCAGGTTCTGCAGTAAACCAAAGTGAAAGCCGCCTCCAGTCCAGTCCCAGGTACCATTCTTGCCCCTCTTTGAACGTGGGTTCCTGTTTGTAGACTCGCCTGGCTCAGCTGGCCTCCCGTAACTCTCTGACCGTCCTCTCTCAGCCTACCTTTTGGTCTCCTCTTCTACTGTTGACTCTTTCAAAGTTGTCTTTCACCAGAGCTTGGTTCACAGCTCCCTGTTCTCATTCAACGCACTATCCCTGAGGCACTGCACCCCTCCCCAGGTGGAAATCCTACCTCCACGCTAGTGACACCCCGCCAGACTTCTCCCCTGAGCGCCTCACCTGCTGCGGTTAGGTGCTCTTGCTCTGGGTTACTCTATGTGCCCTGGGCAGATTGTTGCACTTCACACACTGAATTGTAATCATCCACTTATACGCCCATCTCCTCAGTTGGACTGTGAGCTTCCCAAGGGCTTGGGGCAGTGTCTTATCCATCTCTGGATTCACTGTGCCTTCCCCAGGGTTTGGGACTCAGCGGGTGCTTAAAATGTTTGTCAAATGAGAAGAAGTGATCAGCAAAACTGAGAGGGGTGAGTAAATAAGATAACAGCACAGGGTCCTCCAGGGGCTAGTAGACGGGCATTGATTCCACAATCGGAACCTTTAGAATCAGGCTTTCACATAATCAGTCATCCATTTGCTCACCCATTGCCAAAATAGCAAGACAAATCCAATTAGTTTAATAAATAGTCGACATCATCTTGCTAGGAAGACAATCTAGTGGAACATTTCTGTATGTGGATAAAATTCCTCACAAGGTTGTTTCAAGGGTTAGAAGAGTGAAGATGTGGTACACGGGTGTGGGCTGTTGATGGTACCTGGGCTCTGTGGGGCAAAGGTAACTGCCCCACATACCTCTTATGCCATTGTAATTCTACCAAAAAACCCTGATATTAGTGGGATAATTGTGGCCATTTAACCAATAAAAAAACTACCCAGACAGGTAAAGGGAATTCCCCCTTACTTAAACTCTTATTGCTGTAGGACTGTTTTTATTTTCCTAGCTATTCAAAATTCTAAAAAAAAAGTGCAGAGACTCAATTTTCTCATCTATAAAAGTGACATAATACGTTATCCATGTTAGCAGGTTCTTGTGAGCATCAAATGGGACTGAATTCCTCTTATGTGTGAGGCATTGTGCAAAACACTTGGGATACCCTGACACAGAGCTTAACTTTGAGTCATTATGGTTTATGAAAAAAATGATATTTTTAAAATTGCATTTTTTTTCACTTTCAGTTTACAAAGAAGTCACATCCACCCTATAAGTTAGGAGTTATTCCCATCTTAAGAGGACAAAAATGAAGCTCACAAGTTCAGTGATCTCCCCAAAGTCACACAGGGTCACTGGTGAGTGACAGACTCTAATACAAGTCTTTAAACTAGTGAATATTGGGGCTGGCCTGGTGGCACGGCAGTTAAGTTCGCATGTTCCGCTTCTCCGTGGCCTGGGTTTTGCCTGTTCGGATCCCAGGTGTGGATATGGCACTGCTTGGCAAAAGCCATGCTGTGGTAGGTGTCCCACATATAAAGTAGAGGAAGATGGGCATGGATGTTAGCTCAGGGCCAGTCTTCCTCAGCAAAAACAGGAGGATTGGCAGTAGTTAGCTTAGGACTAATCTTCCTCAAAAAAAACCACTAGTGAATGTTATATAAACTTTTATTATTATTGTTTTGTTATAGAATATGAAGTATGGAAATCTATACACTTTTTTAAAAAACCTACCTTTGGTTTCAATAGTTCTGGGCATTAAAGATCATTGGAGTATGAATATCTAATTATTAAACATACATTAAAACATGAAAATAAGTAAATCTTAAGTATAAATAAGTAAAACAACCTTTTGAGATTAAGTTGAGACTTTAATTTTATGGGTTGGATGAACAAATTCCTTTACTATAAAAAGAGCTACAATCAATATGAAACAGATAATTTTAAAGATGGGCAAAGACTTGAACAGGCACTTCACAAAGAGGGTCTCCAAGCAGCCAACAACATATGAATGGGTGCTTCATTAATCACAGGAAAAGCAAATTAAAACCACAGTGGGACACCACTACACACCCTCCGGGATGGTCAAGTTGAAACAGACCAAGTTTCAGTGAGAAAGTGGAACAACTAACAGTGTCCTACACTACAGCTGTGGCTGGCAATTGCTGCAGCCTCACGGGAGACTGGCACCGGCTCCTCACGGGGACAGCGCACATCCCTAGGCCCTGCAGTTCCACTTGAGAGGCACACCCGAGAAGGATACGTGCATATGCTCACCAAGAAACACGCACTAGGAAGTTCACAGCAGCACTATTTATAACAGCCCAAGTTAGAAACTCTCTAAACCCCCATCAACGGCGGGGTGTAGCGTGGTCGTACAGTGGAACACTACGCAGAACTAAGAAAGCATGAACCATAACCGCACTCAACAATAAGGGCGAGGCTCGCAAACACAGGGTTGAGCAAAAGAGTGCATATTGTATCATTCCATACATGCAGCATTCAAAAACAGGCAAAGTTAGTCTATGGTGTTAGAAGTCACTATAGTGTTACCCTTGCAGGAGGTCAGTGAGGGGAAGGGACACCGCAGATGTCTGGATACTGTTACTGCTCTCTTTCCTGATCTGGGTGCTGTTTACCTGGGTGTGTTCATTAAGCTCTGCACTTACAATGTGGGCACTTTTCTGCATGTACTTTAAGCTACATTTAAAAAGTTTTGAGAGCCATTCTCTCCTTTCCTCTCATCACTTCTACAGGTCTGGGCGGTCAACCAAAACCATTGTGCAAAGTGAAGTGTTCTTGAACTTACTTCTTTGAATCTTTTATTTTCCAGGAGCAAAACTTCTACTTTCAGGTCATGTACATAGATTTCATTTTCTAAGTTCTTTAGAATTTCAAAATGGGTTTTGATTTTTTGGCTTTCTTGATCTCGTAATTCTTTTAATTCTTGCTTCACTTTATCCTGCTCAAACATAAAACCCACAATTACCTCACAGAGTCTAACGAGCTGGGCACCAGTGTATGTATATGTATATATGTATGTATATGTATGTATATTATATACGTATATATGTATGTATATGTATACATGTATATGTATATATGTATGTATATATGTACGTGTATATGTATATATGTATGTATATGCATGTACGTGTATATGTATATATGTATGTATATATGCGTGTATATGTATACGTGTATATGTATATATATGTATACGTATACATGTATATGTATACATGTGTGTATATGTATATATGTATGTATATATGTATGTATATGTATACGCGTATATGTATATATGTATGTATATTATACATGTATATATGTATGTGTATGTATACGTGTATATGTATATACGTATGTATATGTATGTATATGTATACGTGTATATGTATATACGTATGTGTATGTATACGTGTATATGTATATATGTATACGTGTATATCGTATGTATATGCATGTATATGTATACGTGTATATGCATATATGTGTGTGTATATGTATACATATATATACGTATGTATATGTATGTATATGTATATATGTGTGTATATGTATACGTGTATATGTATATACGTATGTATATGTATGTATATGTATATATGTATGTGTATGTATACGTGTATATGTATATATGTGTGTGTATATGTATGTATATGTATACGTGTATATGTATATATGTGTGTATATATGTATGTATATGTATACGTGTATATGTATATATGTATGTGTATGTATACGTGTATATGTATATATGTGTGTGTATATGTATACGTGTATATGTATATACGTATGTATATGTATGTATATGTATATATGTATGTATATGTGTGTATATGTATATACGTATGTATATGCATATATGTGTGTATATATGTATGTATATGTATACGTGTATATGTATATATGTGTATGTATACGTGTATATGTATATGTGTGTGTATATGTATGTGTATGTATACGTGTATATGTATATATGTATGTGTATGTATACGTGTATATGTATATATGTGTGTGTATATGTATGTGTATGTATACGTGTATATGTATATATGTATGTGTATGTATGTATATGTATATGTGTGTGTATATGTGTGTATCACACTGCCTCGGCCACACGCAGAGAGGGGTCTAATTAATTCCTGAGGCATCAGCATAGGCTACAAGGACCTTCCCTTAGAAAAACTTCATGTTCAGCTCCAAAGCTGATTCCTGGAAATTTATTCAAGGACTCTGGGAAGCAGGTCCATGGACCCCAAGTTAGGAGCCCAAGCTGAGTTGTTGAGACAACTTCACAAAATAGAATATACTTTGATATAAGAACAACTGCCTGGCAAACACGGGGAAGAGGAGGGGCCGGCCAGGGGGTGCAGCAGTGAAGTTCGGGTGCTCCCCGTCAGCGCCCGGGTTTGCTGGCCCGGATCCCAGGCGTGGACCCAGCACCACTCGTCAAGCCATGCTGTGGAGGCGTCCCACATACAAAATAGAGGAAGACTGGCATAGATGTTAGCTCAGGGCGAATCTTCCTCAAAAAAAACCCAAGAAACAGAAAAAACGGGGACGAGGGGAGTGGAAGTTGTGGAGGGTTTTCCCGGGAGGATTCAATACATCTTGAAGGAAGAAGAATATTACTTTATGGATTTTCCGGAATTCTCAACTGTTTTCTCTACTGAAGTCTCTATTCAGTTGTTAATTATTATACTGCTATAAATCACATAATCGTTATTTCTTGTATAACTCATTGTATAAGATCACTAGCAGCATCTTATTAAGAAAATAGAATGGCATATATAGTATACTTACTTGTAATTTTCCCCTTCATATTTTTCTACACCCAACATATTAAAAGTTATTTTTTATGTTAGTGCATCTCAAAGAATAGAATGTTTCCATTTTTAATTAACCAACTCCATGCTCACATGTTTACCATTAACTATTGATTACAAATTTTAAAAAGGTAGTAAACATCTCTTTACCTGCTCCCATTTCATCCACTCCCTCACCAACCCTGCAACCTCTGCTGACTTACCCTCGTCTTCCTGGGAACTTACCAGAATAACAGATCTGAAAAGAACCTTAGAAAGCATAATCCCATCTCTACCTTATGAATAAGGAAACTGAGGCTCCCCCCATTTTCTCGAGGTTGTGTGTTAGTTGCAAGTCTCTAGACTAGTTAGTTCTAGAGTCTCTCTCTCTCCACACACACACACACACAAACACACACACATATGTATATGTATATATGTATGTATATATGTGTGTGTGTACATGTGTATGTTATTAAAATTTCAAAACATTAGTGTTAAAAGAGTAAATTTAATAAATGTGGATTTCCTGAAAACTCCAACGGTGCCAGGTAAGTACAACTGTCTGTAGACACCAATATTGTAATAAAAGAAAGATGAATGAATGCATTCATTGACTCTTTACCGTGCTGCTAAAGTATCTTGAAAAGTCCTTTGTCCATTGAGAAATGTAACCATTCATTAAATTCTGCTCCTGCTTTTGTGCTATAAAAAAAAGAGAGAGAAAAAATAACTACCTGCGATCTTCTTTAGTTAAAAAAAATTAATCAAAATAAGACATGTGCCTGGTTTTAGAAGTCAAATACAGCTTCTACCAAAAACCAGCAGTCAGGTCTAATAGGGCATCCACCCTGTGTGTGACTTGTCAGAATCAATCATTTTTAACTCCTTTTTCCTTTTTCTTTTTCAATTTTCTTTTTAAAAAACCATTTAAAAATGCTTATGTGGCTATTTCTTGATTATCATTTTAGGACAATTCCCACTTACTTCTCAACGTAGTGGCGGAGGGCGAGGCATGCTTACCCTCATCCCAGCACCCCCGCCCACACCCAAGGCCTCCACAGCTCTCCCCTCTAACCTCTCCAGAAAGTAGTGGTTTTTGTTTAAATAAATTTTACCTGTTTAGATCATTAAATTTTAACTGTTTAGATCATTATGACGATGTAAATATTATTCACTGATGAGACAAATGGTGTAGTATGATTATATTTCCTTTCTTGTACAATTTTTTGCTTTCTTGGAGTTAAAAACTGCCTCACTTTGAAAAAATTTGCTTAGTTTTCTATATACATATCATTAATTTATATCAAAAGCTATAACAGAATTGTAAAATCTTTCTGGATATTACTTCCTGCATGATGAAACACCTTAAGTAATCCATCAGTTCCATTTCTCCAGCGCACCCCCACACCCACCCATCCCCCTCCTGTACTTGTTTCTCTTTAGGCCCGCTGCACAGCTGACCTCCTGGGGCTCCCCCTCGCATCTCTTTTCTGTTGGACCTTCTGTTTCCTGAATCTCACATCCTCTAGTTTTTCTTAATTTATTCCATTTGTTGAAGAAAATTTTGTGCTAGCCTCCTGAGATAGAGTAAATGAGCTATTTTGAGATCTTGTATATCTAAATATGTCTCTAACTTTATCCTTGACTGATAGTTGGATGGGTAGCTCATGTTGGAAATTGTTTTCTCTCAGAATTTTGAAGGCAATGTCTTCTGACTCCCGCTATAATACTGCGGTTAAGAAGTCTGAAACCATTCTGATCGCTAATCTTTTGTGTAAGATCTGCTTTTTGTCTCTAGAAGCCTTTGGGATCTTCTCTCTCTCTTTGTTCTCCTGAAATTCCTCAGGGATGTGGCTCAGTGTCTTCTCCGTCATCTGTTGTTCTGGGGATCTGATGGGCCCTTTCAAATTGGAAACATATTCTGAGAAATATTTTTGTATTATTTCTTTGATAACTTTATCCTTTCCTTTTTTTTCCTGTTCTCTTTTTCTGGCCTTCTTGTTAGTTAGCTATTCAACATCTCAGAATAGTCTTCTAATTTTTTTACCCTTTTATCCTTTTCCTCACCTCCTTATTTTTTGTTCAACTTTTGGAGAGTTTTCTTATAATATTTCTATTGAAGTTTAAAATTTTAGTCGTTATATTTTTCATTTCTAAGAGCTCTTGTTCTCTGATTGTTCTTTCTTTTAAGTTCTTTTTTCATAAACGCGATATCTTCTTTTATTTCTCTAAAAACATACCTTTAAGATACATTCTCTACAACATAGAGAGAATATTTATACATTGTATAGAATAACATAGAAAGCACAAATAGTCTCTAAGAATATATCTCTAAAAGTATTCTTCTATTCTTTGCGTTGTCTATGCTTCCACCAAGTTCTGTTTTTCTGTCGGCTTTCATTTCTTTCACATTGGCATTTTCCTGAGATGTCTGGTGATCTGCGATGTCTAATCGTACCTAAGAGCGAGGCATTAAGAGGTTTGGTTTCTGGGTGGGCTTCACTGTACAGTGATCAGGAAGGCCAGCTATTTTGTTTGGGGACCCTCAAATGTTAGATTCTGCGGAGATTTTCTCCAAAACTGCTCAGTCGGTTTCTTTAGCGAAAAATCCAACCGTCTTCTTCAGGTGGGGAAGGGATTACAGAGGAGTCACGACACAACCGGCTGGTAGCCTTCAAGCTGAGCAGTGGAAGGGGGTCTCAGTACAGCACCTGTCTCCTGCCCTCAGTCGTAGCTGATACCCTGCAGTTTGGAACCCTCTGGTCTAATTTTTCTGCCAGCACTGGGGAGGAAGAGTCGGACAGCTGCACAGAAGAGTGCATTTGAGCTGGAGGTCTAACTGCTGGGTGTGAAGACTTTCAACCAATCTTCGGCCCCCGTCTCATCTCAGCCTTCACAGTATAGGGTCCTCCGGTGCCCAAGACTTCTCAGGTCCTGCCCGTCGAGAGAATTTCTTGCCTCCATGATGAGCTTCTCCGCAGGTATTTGCTATTCATATTTTTATTTCTGCTAATACCTCCTATATCCAATTATACTTTTCAAAAATTTGCTGATATTTATTATCTGCTGATGTCTTCTCTGTCAGTCTCTTTGCATTTATGGGTTTCTATCCTTAAAAAAAATATCTTTTGGGGCTGGCCCAGCGGCGCAGCAGTTAAGTGCGCACATTCCGCTTCGGCGGCCCGGGTTCGCCGGTTCAGATCCCGGGTGTGGACATGGCACTGCTTGGCAAAGCCATGCTGTGGGAGGCGTCCCACATATAAAGTAGAGGAAGATGGGCATGGAGGTTAGCTCAGGGCCAGTCTTCCTCAGCAAAAAGAGGAGGATTGGCAGCATTTAGCTCAGGGCTAATCTTCCTCAAAAAAAAAAAAAAATCTTTTGCACACATTTTTGTGAAGTTTCCTTAGGGAGCAAAGATAGATGCACATGTTTTATCCATCATATTTAACCAAAGTAGCCACATTGTTCTATATGTGTACTGAGCCCATATAGTCTCTCCTCTGGGGTCACCGCTGGAAGGGGAAGCAGTTTCCTACTCTCTGAAACACTTTGCTCTTATGGCTCTTTCCTTTCTTCCTCCTTCCTTCTCTTCTTTTCTCTACTTTCCTCAGTATTTTCTCTTTTCTTTACCCTAAGAGAATCAGTACTTGCAATATATTGCTTACTTTCATACTCACAGTATTTCTTACATCCTCCACCTAGTGAAAGAACGGATGGGAGGGAAGGTTGGGAAAGTAGAAAATTGGGAATGGAGTGCATTCGGATCGTGAGTCTTGGTAAAGGACCAGGAAAACCTACCTGAGCCGACCAAATGGAAATCTGGCAAGACATGGAAAATCGACTGAGGGATGGGAAACAGACCAATCACCCAGGGACTTATTCTCATAATATTCTTATATTCTCAAAAATCCACCGTCCTTGGCAATAACTGCTACTCACTTTTGCATATTTGTTTATTTCATATTTGAACATATTGAGTTTCCATATGACTTTCCCATTTTGACTTACACTATTTTAATTCTATCCCCATATTCATCTTTGCCAGCTGTACATTCCCACCCCAGTGCACATTTTTGCTCCCATTCTAGTCTGTTCTGTAACTTTTGGTCCTGGCCTTCTGATCCCATGGCACTGCTTCCACCACGTAGAAGACAGAAGTTCTGGAAGTTGTCCTGTTTAACAGGGACTGCTTAGATAATGATCCTATAGTCCCCAAATGCAAGGCTAGACTCACATCTCTAGGTCTATGAACTTTGGGGTACAGGCTTAGATGACCACATCCAATTTTTGTGGAGAAAATAATTATTTTTATATTAAATACACACATGGTTATGCCGTGTAATAGAATGCAAAATATGAAACCTTTCAGACACATTTCACATCCTCTCTGAAGCTCCCAGATCTGAGAAAAGCTCCTATCTATCTCTGCCTTAGGGGGAGGTTAGTGAACAAAGGCTGAGGAGTACCTACGTGATCAATGGTTACAGCCATAGCTGGAAACAAGATACAATTTGCAAATTCATGTTAAGAAACAGAAAAATTCTCCACATGGCAGCAGATAAAGGTAACTTTACCAAGGATGAAGAAAACCACACAATGTAGTTGCTACTAATTCTTAATTTTAAATAGTTTCTAAAAGAGAAAAGAAAAAGTTTGACCAAAGCTACAGTAAGACTGTGGTGTGGAGGAGAGGAAATCGGTAGATGGGGCAAAAAGTCAAGAATTGAGAGTTAAAGGTGATGGGAAAAATTGGAAGAATGTCACCACTGGCTTGTGATTGATGGCCTGCCTCTGTTAGAAGACAAGAGTGAAATCCTCACCTGGGCTGGAGGTCAGTTATCAAGGGCTCCTTACGTACCTGTGAGAATATCACTGAGCTCTTCCAGTCGTCTGTTTTTGGCCATATACTCTTCTTCCACCTCGTGGAGTTGTGGAAGACACTCGACTAGTTCACTTTCCTTTATTCTGTTACTTTGCGTTTCCTTAACAAATCTTTGCTTTAAAGAAAGTAAAGCTAATGGTGAGGTATGATTTCGGAGAATTTACCCAACACTCTAGAGTAGAATGTAAGTTCTTTGACGGCGAGAGTTCTGTCTGTCTTAGTCTCCTCCTGAGGTGCATAGATTGGTATCCGGCACATACTGGATATTTAAAAACTATTTGTTGGCTGACTCACTGTCTCTCTGGCAATCTATAAAGTGAGGAGACTAGACTCAGTTGGCTCTCCCAAGATCCTTTCAGTTCTGTAGCTCCACTGCTATGATTCCATTGACGCTACCAAAAACATATTTGAGAAAATTTCTCTTGGTTCATCATATTTTATGAAAAAAAAGTCAGCAAAACACAATATACACAAGTTCTAAGAAATGTGGATGTAAGTAAGAAATGTGGAGGGTGTAGCAATTACTGGATATGATACTACAATAAATGAGTAAAAAGTACCCAGAGCAAAATGTGAAGATGCCTGTCTAATTATTCAAACTCAGGTTTTATTTAGTTTCAAGTGGGATAATCCTTAGACCTCTCTTAGAAAGTCAGGATGGGTTTAAAATCGTGACTATGGCAGAGACAGGCAGCTGGCATTTAATCTCCGTTCTCTAGTGCTTTAATGTCGGGACTCCTCAGTTTTAGTTGAATGTATGGCTGCCGGCTAGAGTGCTTTCTCAACTGCCCTCGTAGGTAGGTGTGACCAACGAGCTCGTGAGCAGAAGTGATGCGTGCCACTCTGCGTCCTGCCCCTGCAACAGGAAGGCGCATATGCTCCCTTGTCCTTTCCTCCTTCTTCCGGCCAGAAGAGGATGAGAATGGCTGCCACTTGGATGCACAGATGTGAGCCTCATGTTGAGGATGGCAGAGCTGTCCTTCCAGCCCTGGTCCCCTTCCCTTTGTTTGGCCAGTACCAGGAAAGAGAAATAAACGTCTCTCTTGCTGTACTGATCACGTCAGGGGGTCTTCTCAACTAGATACTCAGACCCTCAAGATTTGAATAGGCCACACTTGATCCAATTTACTCTTAAAAATGTTTATTTTCAGTTTTTCTTCTTATCCAAGTTGTATACACACGTAATTTGAAGGAAACCCCGAGTGCCAGCAGAGCAATGCCAGGCATGCTTCCCCAGCAGGGAAAGTTATCCCCTATCACAACACAGCCAACCAGAGGCTAGTGTCCTTTGACCCCACCGAAGTGATAACTCAGATGCAAGAGAAAGAGACCCACACGAGTGGGTGCGATGCCTCCTGCTTAGAAGCCCCATGTCTAGATAGGAACCAACATCTCTTGAGCATCCCTTCCAGGTCCCCACAAAGGACATGCCCACTTAAAAGAGGCACCAAACCCAGGAAAGCCCAATGCTCTGGTTTCCCACCAGTTGTCCTCCCAGTCAACATTCAGCGTTCCAGTCAAGGGTCGTCTATACCAGTGATGTTGCCAGATAATGAAGCCGGGTCCCTGAGGGTTACTGTATATATTCAGTAAGTTTTCTTATTTAACCTGAGGGGTGACTTGGGAGTCCAGAGGATTTGTGAGCTTGTTTTGCAGAAGAAATAGAATGCCTTTGGAGAGGTTGTGATAGCTGGATGAACAGCCCCCAGCTGCCATTGATGCCCAGAAGTCAGATTGCCCACAGGCCTCTCTGGAGTGAAAGATTTCCCCTTGTTTCTCTGAAACTCTTCCAGCCAAGCCCCTTAGTTCTACAAAAAACCCCTGCTTTCTGCACTTGTTGAGGCTGATTTGAGAAAACCCATCCTCTCGTCTTCTCATTTTGGCCAATTAGAATAAAACTTTTCTCCATCTCCAAGCACCAGTGGGTCAGTGATTGGTTTGCTGTGCATAGGGCACATGAATTTGAGACTAAGAGGTTTGGTATCAATAACACAACTGACAGTCCACTTTTATCAGGCTATTAGGGAAAGGAGCCAGAAAGTTAAGCCAAGGCCAATTTCCTAATAAAAGACAGAGGGTTGCTAACCTTTACTACACATCTTGCTTATATTCACTGTATTTTGGCATCTCTTTGATAAAGTAGCTTGTGCATGCCCTAATTAATACAGTAAGATGCTGGCCTGATATGTCCCCTCCCAAAATTGCCATTAGAATCCTTATGAATGAATACAGAAAGACAAAAACACACATAAAAATATCAATTTAACAATATGGCATAGCAGAGCTGGAGTAAATTTCTCCAGACTGCAGTGTTAAGAAATTCCATGGTGTATTATCTATACTATGATCTCTAAAAAAGAATAGCTCCGTATACAAGGAGGTATGTGAGTGCATTAATTCATTCTCGTTGCCTGCACATGGCTCAGGCTGCCAGCGCTGCCCTGATAAGAAACCATGCTCCTGTTTTCTGCTTTGAGAGAGGGTTTGGGTACCAGGTGCTGCTGCACCTCAGGCAAGCTGTTGGTTGTCTGCTGGCTCAGATTGTTGGAGTCAGGCAGCAGGGCAGGCTGCAGCTTCTGCAGCGCCTTCAAATCCTCCCACAGCTTCCTTGCTTCCTGAGCCGCATGCACACTTAGATGACGGACTCCAGCTTCTGCTGCAACTCCCTGGAGTTGGAGCCTTGGAAAAGAGAGACTGATGGAGGTACCAGTCCATGCTCATGAGTACAATAATGTTTCCAAAAGCCAAAATCTAAGATTGCTTCCTCCCCATTTGGGACTCCTCATGCCACTGAACCAAAGGCAGAAATTGGATTCCAATATGCCTGGGGTTATTGACGGTGATTATCAAGGGGAAATGCACTGTTCTTTTATAATAATGGTGCCTAGGCTGCCATCGGTCCATGGCTTTGCGTGAATTACTCACAGGGGGACACAGCCCCGTGGGGCCCACAGCCTGGCAAGCAGAGTGCAGCTGGAGGACCATCTGCAGCAACCTTCTCTTCTACAATCTTAGACCTTTAACTTACTTATCTTGCCTAATTGCATGGTATAAACTTGAATGCAATGTTAAACAGTGTCGTTGTCTTATTCCTGACTCTAAGGTGATTGCCCCCACTGGTTTACTATTAACTATGATGATAAACTCTGGCAGCTCTATCTCAAAAAATATCTGAGATGCTGACTACTTCTTACCACCTCCTCACTTACCATTTTGGTTCAAGCTACATGAACCGCTTGGATCACTGCTCTAGCTTCCTAATTGGTCTTTCTGCAGCCACCAATGCTTTCCTCAGTCCTACTCAACATAGCAGCTAGAGTGATCCTACTTAAGTGAAAATCAGGTTATTTCAGCCCCTCATTCAGAACCCTACGATGGCTTCCCAGCCCAGAGGGCAAAAGACAAAGCACTCACAGTGGCCTGTAAGGTGTGGCAGGCCCGGAAATGCCCCTCTTGGATCTCCCTTCAAAGAAGGACTCACTGCCCTGTGGAAGGAATGTGGTTGGCTGACAGCCTCCAGCGGTTGGCTCCTTCAGAGTCGGCCTTGTTATCCAGACAAGATTGTGCTCTTCGCAGGGTAGCCCCCAATCCACTGACTGAGCAAGGAGGTGGTAAAAGGGTGTTGTCATTTCTGCCCAAGGCAGGGCTCTTCTAATGGACAATCATACCTCCGGAGCTCCCCAGAGAGAGTTTGCAGGTCACATAATGGCCTGGGGCCTCCACTGCCCAGTCCTTTCACAGGTATGACTCTCTCATAAACTTCTGCACTCTTAATTCCATCTCAGCATCAACTTCCTGAACAGGAGTCCCCGGCACCTCCAGGACTGTCTCCCACAAGATAGAACAGTCCTGCCTCAGAACCTTCGTGCTCAGCGTGCCCTCTGCCAGGAGCCGCCCTCTCCAGGTATCTACATAGCACACTGCCTCACAGCACTCCGGGCTGTACCTGGAAGGATGTATGGAAGCTCCATAGGGCAGAGCACTTTGTTTTTTTTTTTTTTAATTTCTGTTTTTCAGCATCTAGAAGAACACTGGGCACCCCGACATGCTACAACCAATGACAAATGCTTTACACCCGATGCTCGCCCTTCCATTTCTTCTGGTTTTGGAGGAGCTGCTGCAGTGCTCTCTTTCCTTGTTTGTCCCCTGAGTTGTCCCACCTCTTCCTATTTCTGGCCATCTCTGTGACCTCTCTTGCCCGAGCTCCTATATTTCCATATTGCCGATCTTCCTTGGCAATTCTATGAAATCATTATTTTTTTAATTCAGAGAGGAATGTTTGACACAGTTTTAATCTGTTCCAGCATCATTTTTCTGAGTGTTCTTCATTGGTTGTAAAGATTCGTTCCCCTTCTGCTTGTTTTCCTCGTAGTATTTCTGTATGGAAGATGTGCCTGCTTCTTTTGTGTTATTCATATTAGAAAGAATTGGCTTGTCTTGCAGCAGGTATCTGCCAAGGGTTTCTGCAGGATGGGGCAGGGTGTGTGTGGGAGCAGTGGGCTTACATTACAACGGGGTAAGATCTGAACTTTTAAATGTAAGGACTCCCTACTCCCTTGCTCCAGCAAGGGACTGCTGCCTTCAGAGAAAGCTCCTCTTTGGTATAGTCAGGCCTCTTTTCCTCTTCCAACCAAATCAAGTTCAAGAAGGCTTCCACCACCATTCTTCCCTCCTCAGCTCCTCCACCAATGGCGGTCCCCAAGAAGCATGCTCTTGCCTTTCAAGGTAACACCATCACCTTGGATAGGTGGGTTTTCTGTTGTGTTTCGAGAGACCTGCCACCTCTGGGCCCCTTGGGTACTTCAGTGCCTTTCTCCCCACCTCTCCCAGCATCCGTGCTCTATTCCAGCTCAGATCGGCTCTCGGCAATTCCCCAGTCAGTACACGCCCTCTCTTTAAGGAGAATCTCTGAGACTGGCCTCAGTTCCCCTCGCTCGCCCTCTGTAACTCTCCCCAGCCACTTATGCTGGCTCGGATGGCTTCCTGCACTGCTCCGCCTGTCTCCACAGATTTTGCCAGCATTTCTACTTAACTTGGAGTGGGTGATTTTTTTTTAACTGAAAAAATATTTCTTGTTGCTCTGTTTCTTTTTTAGGAAAAGAAGAAGAAAGATTCAGAATGAAATTGTAGCCTTGTTCAGTCTAGAAGATTTATTTTACATTTAACTAATTAGAATAGCATGAAATGTACCCCCCACCCCCCCATAAAGCCGTCTAAAATTATTCTTAGATGTAAAATAAACCTTACCTCATACTTGCTCAACACTCGAATTAACTTTTTTTCTTTGGCAACAAATTCCTCCTCTTCTTGTTTTAATTCTCTTGTAAGTTTTTCAATCTGTTCCAAAAATTCCTTGATCTCTTTTTCTCTAAAACTGGTCTAATTAGAAAAAAAGTGAGGATTTGTCATCACTCTTACAGCAGTCAGCCTTACATTTTCAAACAGCCCCATAATTTACTATCTCTTTGCATGAGATTTGGCTCTGATTTCAGGTTAAGTTATTCCCCAGGAACCACTGAGAGGGATTTTTTTTTCCCCCTCCAGAGATTAATTTCCTTACCAAATAACATCTATAAATGATATGAGGAAATGGGGAACAGGTGTGGTGGGGCATGGAGGGTGGGCAGAGGGTAAACATAGGAGCTAAATCAATAATGTTTGGTCTCTTTATTTTTGAAGATCCTAAGAGCAATCCCCAGGTTTCTGGTTACATGCTTCAAAAACGTATTCTGGAGAGAAGTACTGCTTTGTTTGTTAAATTCCTATAGTTAATACACAGCAAACGGATATGTTTCATAAGACAGTTACATAATTCACTCTAAACATGAAGTCAGCAGAAAGCAAAATACCTTTTTAATAGATAAGGCTTAATTAAATATTGAAGGAAAATCAATGATACGCAATGTAGGGGACTAATACCAAGCCCCTCGAGTTTCCTTACCTCATTTAATAATTCAGCGCGTTTACGTTCTGCAATCTGAATTTTATGTGCCATTACTTCTATTTCATTCTTTATCCTGACTGCCCAACGTTCATGCTTTTTTCTCACACAAGCTACTTTCCACTGAGTTATAACACTAGAGATTAGAACAAAAAGAATTAGCATTAAATTGACATAACAGTTTATGGAAAAGATGAAGAAATTCAAAGCAAAACAAATCGTCCTGTGATCCTACAAAATTATGCGTGCTGTTAGTGACACAGCCTCTGCAGATTAGCTGAAACAATAAGACGAAAGGTTAACTGCCTCAACATTGGCTCTGCAAGTTGCTTCACCGTAAGAAGTTGTGTCAGTTCGTCCAGGAGGATAAGGGGCAGTGGACAAACCGCACTCGGCAGCTCACCTCCTTTAGGAAAAGGATAGAAATGGGAAGGTTCGGGGCAGGTGGAAAAAGAAGAGGCCCAGGCAGAAATAGTAACGGAATTACCTAAATTACCCAAAGAGCTAATAAGAGATTTCAAGCTTCTGGGTTCTCAAATTTTTCTCTCCACCATCGCATAAAAAAGCTACATCATTGGAGAAGGGTAGTAATGTGCAATTGGAGTCTAATAAATAATATTAATCACAATAACAACAGCAACAAAAGTAAGAAAATACCGCTAAGTTTTCACAAGGTGAAAGGTGCTGGGCAAGGATCTAAATACTTTGCGCGGACCATCTCATTTCCCATTCACAGCAGCCTTACAAGGTGGGTGCCATTCTCATTTCCCACTTGGTAGGGATGGGAGCAAGGAGAGATTATGAAATACCTTAGCCTCGGTCACAGACAGTAAGAGGCAGAGCAAACAAAGTGGTCCACCTGCAGAGCCTGTCCCCTCACGCTCCTCAGTCCCCGCACAGCACCCCCTCCTAGTCCGCACGAAGCCTGGATGACAAGAGGCATTGCACGGAACTTGGCAATTTCATTCTTTGGTGACTTCACTCGATAGAAATGGAAAACTTTGGTTCTGTTTAATGCCAAAAAATCAAACTAGCAAACACATCTAGATCCGAAAGAACTCACACAGTTTAATACAGGAAACTCATTTCCTTGGACTCTAGCAACCGACAAGCACTTTGAGTTTCTCCCAACTTTGGGGCGCTGTTCATTAAGATAACGTATACTACTTATCATACACATGAACTTGTTTTTTTACCATCTCTGACTTTCTCTTTCCAGGTTATCACTCAGGATTTTTATTTGTTTCCGATATACTTGCTTTGTTGCTCTAAAAACAAGAAAAATAGATTGGATTTTGCATTTGTGGGAACTGTTAGAATATATAAAAGATTTTATATCTAATTCTTGCAAAATAAGGCTACCATCTAATTGGGAGACAAAACAAACCTTGTAAAGCCACTAAAACTTTTAGGACAGACTAAGAGAAAAACAATGACAATTTTGTGCAAGTGCGAACTGATGTTGCAAGTATTGAGGTGGATAGCCAAGGACAGAGAAGAACAGACTCTGGGGAGGCGGGTGAGGAAGGGTTATTGGAAGGTGGTGTTTAATAGTGGGAGGAACATGGATTGCCTGGATGGAGGTGTAATCTCAGCAAGGAAAGGACGTCATCATTTGTAAAGACACAGGGGACAGGAGCAGCAAGTCACGACTCTTATGACCGAGGCAGACTTCCTGCACACAGAGGACATGAAGGGAAATAACACCGTGACACTGGAACTGTTAAGGTCAACAAATTGCTGAGGAACTCTGGGTTCTAGATGGACTTCTGATTTGATACAATACATAATGCAGAAAACTAGTATAGATTCCTGCACACTAGGGGTAATGATTAAGGACGGGAGATGTTCTTGTGAACCCAGGATGTGTGGAAATGTAAAGACTCTCACATAGATATCAGCAGTCTTTATTATTTTCGTTCCCTTTTTTCCCCTATTAAGCGCTTCATGCACAGAAATGATTTGAAGTCTGTGTAAGTAAAATGTGACTTTATATCTTTTAAAAGAGAAATATTCATAAATGAAACTTTAAATATGAAACTCTGTAAAAAAACTGGAAACACAACTGTGCTCACGTTTTTTTCTCTATTTGAAATCATAGTTTGGGCTCTCAACTTCCTACTTAAATAAATCTAATATCCTCCCCTGGAACTGTAAGGTCTCCTACTTTGTCCTAACCTTATTGATTTTATTTATTTACATATTTAATTTAATCCACAAAGGAGTTGAACCAGTTTGAAATAAAGCAACAATAATAATTAAAAACCATAAATGGATATCAATATTTGGCCACAAATTTAGCTCTGAGCTTCCTAGTGACCAGATAATGATGACGCAGCAATTGATTCTAAATGCACATTATTCATGAGGAAAGTAAAACCCCATTCAACCCAATTCCATTTTCCTGCTATTTCCTGGGGGGGCAGGGGGGGTCATAGTTTCCTTTCTGGAGCTGACATGATGAGAAATAATGTTTAAATAAATCATTTAAAAATATAAGGACAGGCAACCCAAAAACTACACTTCCCACCATGTTCTAGATTTCTATTGGTATGTGCTCAAATTTTGTCACGACCTGTCTGACTTCTATAAGCTGGTCTCTTCACTATCTTACATTCAAATCATGTATCTCTCTGTGTTTGGTGATATTATTCCCCCATATGATGAGCAAGCAGAAGAATCTGACTTGTTTCAAAAGTCTAGTTCAACTTTTAAATCCTTATACAACAAAGAAGGACTCCTTGACTTTGCTTCCTTTCATCCTTCTTTGACTGCTTTTTGAAATTCACACTGTATTCTTCAGTCATGCATGGCTCATTAATTATTTCATGTGTGTTAGTCTTGTTTGTCTGCCCAACTAAACTATCGGTTGCTGTATGCCCAGTGTTAATAGGAGTCTAAAAGGCTAGAATATTTATGTAGGATATTTTGACAATAACTATAAAATGAAATATACGCATCCTCCTTTGACCAGTACTTCAACTGTTAGGATTTCATTATAAAGAAAAAGTCACAAGAGTGGACAGAGGAACAATTTTGAAAACTGTTTGTAATATAGGAAACAGAAAAAAAACCAAATGTCAATCGAGTACTGGTTAAATAAAATATAGTATAATCTGTAAAAGGAATACTATGCAGTTAGAGAAAAGAATGAGGGAAGAGGTCCCATATACATGATTTTTTCTCTTTATTTTGAAATACTTTCAAACTCAATGGATAAGTGTAAAAATTATTACAAAGAATTCCAATATAACCTTTCACTGACTTCTCCAAATGTTACTGTTTTCCCATATTTGTTTTATCATTCTCCCAGCTATAATTTTTTCCAGCTTTATTGAGCTATGATTGCCACATAACACTGTATAAGTTACCCAGATATAATTTTAAGTGGAAAAAATCTAGTTCTAGAAGAATAGAATCTAATTTTTGGACACATATGCACATATACACATATACAAGTATGTACATTTGAAGGCACGTATAGCAAACTGTTAGCAGTGATTTTCTCTGTGGAGAGGTGGAGGGATTAGCATAACTTTTACTCTGTAAGTTACACATTTCTATATTTGAATTTTAAAATCACGTACAGGCATTACATTTTAATCAGAATAATTAAAACAAAATTACAGTGAATTAGAATGGCAGGAATGAACATCACAGGGGTTGGTGTTGTGATAATGTTCGGGCACATTCTGGTCACTAGACCCCTAACTGGTCCATTCGTTCGTCATGTCCAGTAGCTTGTATAGACTCAGAACCTGTTTATCCTGTCAATGAAAGAGTCAGTGATAACGACTTTTCTGGACTGCAAAACAGAGAGAGCCAATTATAAACCTCCTTTTCTATAGTATATTAGAAACTGACATAGATTTACTGTTACCATTTATTAAAAAATAAATGTAGAGAAGAATGAAGATTAAAAATTTCAAAGGCCACAAGCGTACCGATGGAGATCATGGAGAGCGACAAGTCCTTCTTTCATGTTCTTGATGTCTACTTTTCTCTGTGACAGGAAGTTTTCTTTCTGAGCAATAAATGCCAGTTGTTTCTGATTTCTACCACAAAAAAACAGAGTTATCATATGCTAAAAGTTGAAATCATCGTTTTTAACTCCCCAGCATTAGAAAATACGCAATCACAAATAAGAATTTAAAAAATAGTTTGGAAAGTTCAGTTCATGAACAATTTATCAAACAGATTAGTAAAAATAGAAACAGAGTCTTTTTGCTAGTGGTGGCTAAATGTAAACTTGTGAAAATTCCTAAGCTGTGGGAGAACATTCACTGTAATAATAACCATAAAACAGCAAGAGCAGTTCTACGGTCCCATCCTGCTGAGTCGGTGTCCCTTTTCCCATTCATCACTTCTGTCATGTTCTCTTGTGAAAGGTGAAGAATCAGTCAGGCCAACTTTAAATCCTGGCTTTAGCTCTTCCTAGCAGTGTGACCTTGAAAAGAAACTTCACCTGTGCTTGAGCCACAGTTTCCCATCCATAGAAACGGGGATCACAATGCCTACGTCACCGGGTGTAAGGGTTAAGTGAGGTGTAAAGTGCCCAAGCCAGTGTGGGGCGCCATGAGGCATTTTATAAAAAGTGGTTGTTTTGTGTCTCCAACTTGCAGAGAGACTCATGGGCAGTTTATGGTCTTGTTCAAGTTTCCCAACATTGATAGGAACGTGCTTGTAACAGAAAGAGCTTTAAGTGTCTCCTCTTCTTCACTGCTGCTATAGACTGAACTGCATCCCCACGAATTCATCTGCTGAAGCCCCACCCCCAGTGTGACAGCCTGGGAATACGGGGCCTTTGGGAGGTGATCAGGTTTAGACGAGGTCGTGAGGGTGGGGCCCAGATGATGAGATTAGTGCCCTCATAAGAAGAGACACCAGAGAGCATGCTGTCTCTCTCTCTACTATGTGAGGACACAGTGAGAAGGTGGCCATCTGTAAGCCAGGAAGAGAGTTGTCACCAGGACCCAACTGGGCTGGCATCCTGATCTTGGATGTCCAGCTTCCAGAACTGTAGAAGTAAATTTCTATGGCTTAAACCACCCAGTCTATGGTATTTTGTAATGGCAGCCTGAGCTGAAGAAGACAAAAACCAATAACAGTGGTAAATGTTTTAGTGTTACAATTATTTGTCATCAGCACATTTCATGATTCAAACTGATAACTAACTTTGCATTGATCTGAGGAAAGTTTTCGTCTGAAGAGTACTAACAGTATCACTCTCAGGAGGCTGTTCAGTGGGGTGAGATGAAACGACTGCAGCAACTCTGTGCAGCGTAGACGCTATGACAATGACCATGAGCTCGGCTCCTCAGTGACCTGCATGCTGTAATTACACTTTCACGTGATTTAACTCCAAGTGTAGTAATGGATTATTACTTGCACCATTCGTGCTTGCAAGATGTTATTCTGCAGTATTCGTTAAGAAGATGTGTTGAATCCCACTACCCGCTAAGCAATGTATGAAGTCCTGGGGATACGGGGCTGAATGAGACAGAGCAGCTGCCTTCCCTCATCTGTTCATAGTTCAGTCGGGCAAAGGGATTCATGCCCTGCTGATTACAACTGAATGACTGATGAAAAGGAATGACATCAGAGGGATGTTTTGGGAGGACTGTTCTGGTGGAAGGGAGGTGGACAAGTTAGGGGTGGTGAAGCAGAAAGTAGGAAGAACTTTTTCTTCTTTTCTTTTCTTTTTTGCTGAGGAAGATTTGCCCTGAGCTAACCTCTGTGCCAATCTCCCCCTAGTTTTTTGTATGTGGGACACCTCCACAGAGTGGCTGGTGAGTGGAGTAGGTCTGTGCCAGGGATCTGAACCCAGGATAGTGAAGCAGAGTGTGAAGAACTTTAACCACTTGGCTGTGGGGCTGGGTCCAGAAAGCAGGAAGGACTTTTGAGGGGCAAGCCAAACCAAAAAGGTTGAAAGTGGTGAAACGAATGGAGTTGGAGAGGAGGACAGGATGTATTTGAGAACTATTTGGGAAGTGGAATTGACCAGCCTTGGTGCTTGAATGAGGTCCAAAGGGTAGTGAATGATAGGGGCTTCCCTGAATAATTTCCCTGTCTCTGGGTTAGGGGATCATGTCAGTGACCAAACAAACCCCTCTCTGAGACATGGAATACAGGTGCAGAGCCAGTTTCTCATGAAGGTAAATATCATTGTTTCTCTAGACGGCCTCATGGAATAAAAGCATGATTATTCTTTCAAGAATCTGACATAGAAATAAAAATAACGCATTTGTGTTTATGGATTTGACTTGACCCATATGAGGAAAGCATTATTCAGTATATACAGAGGCAGATTAGGAGTGTGTTTATTTATTATTGGGTAAAGAATATTTCATTGTTGTCAATAGATTTTAAAACCAGGGTAAGCTTAAGTGGAGAGTCACCACTGTGATAGCAAGGAAAGCAGCCCATAACTAAGATTTATTGAGTCACGTGTGGATCACAGATAGAAACATACTCATCGTAAATTTTCCGTTTCTGCATAAAAACTCTACCCTCCTCACTTGAGACAATCTTGCATTGTCTGGTAAGAATATACAATTTCTCTTGTAGATCTCTGTTCTCTAAACGACATTTCTGTAGTTTTTCAGCTATCTAGAAAAAAACAACACAGGAATTGAGGTAGAGGACTTGCTTCACTGGCCCTTTGAGGGGAGTCAGAGTCTGGCGGGCAACTCTCTAGCGCACTGGGTACACCGTTTAGCACTCAACGACTATGCCATAAATGTCGACTGATTTAACTCAACATCAAATACACAATTGTACATTTTGGGGCCTCTTCTATAAATTATGACAAAAGTGTACAAAGGCAGTAAACACCGATGTAAAACTACAGAGTAATAATTCATATTGTAAGAAGAATTGGGATTAATAGACTGGGATAATTCAGCAAGATCTGTACATCCTTTTCCCAGAAGATAACCTATACTAGGGAAGAGAAAATGTAACATCAACAGAAGCTCTTGCTTAAAACCTCTATGACTAGATATTATGTTTGCTTCTTGTTAAATACTTCTATTCAAGGACAAAAAATTAGTACCCATTAGTGTTCTGAATGAGAAAAGAACTTTGTGCTTGGATGTCTCTATTGAATTGCTTCAAATGAGGTAAGAAAGGTAGGTTAAGTAGAAATGGTGGGCTGAGCAGATCAAAATAAACTTCTGGCTGAGGATCACTAAAATAGCCAGATGAAAAAAATCTCAAAAGTGTTGAAGAACTAAGAAGATAATGAGAAATTACTAGGCCTACTTGTACAAGAAGGCAAGCATCCAGCATGGTAAATCCAGGACTAAAAACTCTCTCTACCCTGAGGACACTTACTGAGATGGAAGAAACCAGTTGGAAACTGAGTCCTGGTTCTCTTATAGGACAAGGGGGAGAAAAGCCAGCACTTAGAGCTCATCTGGGTGTTGAACCTGACAAAGCTCCTAACACTTTAGTCTGGGATCCCAAAGAGCTCCACTCTCTGAAGAAGGGGGAGTGGGAAGGTAATAAGCCATCGTCCAGCCTGACCACAATCGCGAGGGAACATAAAGGTGGATTAAGGTGGTTTGGGACTGGTAACACCCCAGGTATCTGACAGAAGTGAAAGAAAATCTGGCCAAGACACCATCACCCTAGGCCTCAAATTGTTTATACAAACATATTTTTCAAGAACAATGTCCAGTGTACAGTTTTCCACCAGGAACAGAAGGAAATAAGACAGCATGAGCAAAAATTGGCAGAAACAACAGACTACAGAAACAGACCTACAGAAACATCAGATGTTGTAGTTAGACATTGAACTATAAAAATACTGTGCTTACTATAATCAAAGAAATATTAGACATACTTGAAAATTATGACAATAATTAGGAACAGTAAAGAGTGACAAATCAGGGGCCAGCCCCGTGGACGAGTGGTTACGTTCACACGCTCTGCTTCGGCGGCCCAGGGTTTGGCCGATTGGGACCCTAGGTGGGGACATGGCACCACTCATCAGGCCATGCCAAGGTGGCACCCCACATAGTACAACCAGAATGACCTAAGACTAGAATATACAACTATGTAACGGAGGGATTTGGGGAGAAGAAGAAGAAGAGAAAAAAAATAATAAAGACAATTGGTAACAGATGTTAGCTCAGGTGCCAAGCTTTAAAAAAAAAAGAAAAAAGAGTGACAAAGAAGATATTAAAGTTGCCAACTGAAAAACACAATAACCAAAATTAAGAACTCAAAAGCCATTCTGCCCAGAAGGCAGCAGAGGGACACAAAAAGTAGGAGATACAGGAGAAAGGGTAAGATACATAGAGGATATATATATTAGTACAAATGATGGCATATACATAATTGGTGTCTCGGGAAGAGAATGGGACAAAAGAAATATGTGAACAGATAATGGCTGAGAATTTTGCAAAACTTACAAAATACAGCAATTTGTGGATTTAAGAAGCTCAATAAATCTCAAGCAGGATAAATAAAAAGTAAAACTTGGACATATGGTGAAACTGAAAAACTAAGCGAAAGGGAACATAGAAGACCTCAGATAAATGAGAGATGCACAATGTTCATGGATTACAAGACTCAATACTGTAAAAATGTAAAATCCTCCCCAAATAGATATATAGATTTAATACAACTTCAATCAAAATCCAAGTAGGTTTTTGGCAGGACTTGACAGACTGATAGAAATTCGAAGGGCCAAGAACAGTGGAAGCAATCTTGAAGAAGAACAAAGTTGAAGAATTTATACTACTAACTATAAAGGCTTACTTTAAAACTACTGATGAAGATGGAATGGCTTTAATATGAAGAGAGACAGATCCAAATGAGCACAGCAGAGTCTCCACAGATCCACACACATATTTATGACGCACTTATGATCCACACTAGATTCATGACAAAAGTGCCACTACAATATAGTGGAGGAAAGGAGTATCTTTTCATTAAATGGTGCCAGGTAACTGTACCATCTTATGGAAAAATATGAACCTCACAGCATACACACACACAAACACACACACACACAGATTCCAGATGGCTTGTAGTCCTAGACGTGAAAGGTCAAACAATAGAACTTCTAGAAGAGCATATAGGAGAATATCCTCATGACAAGGGACACAAAAAGCATTAGCCAAAAAGGAAAAGATTGATAAACTGAACTTCATTAAAATTAATAAACTACATTCATCAATAGATAGATATGCACTTAAAGACTGTACATTTACAGTGTATGTACTGTTCTGTATATGTGTAATATTTCATAATAAAAATTAAAATAAAGTTAGAAGAGAATTTTGTGTTATCATTGAACTTATCTCCTTTAACTCATGAGAACTAAGACCGGATTCCAACAAGAGTCCAGTTTCTAACCCAATGGAAATGATAAATGGGTCAGAGCCCTGTGCCCTTTGAAGTCGTCACTCACTTGTACTCACGGAATTTGGCTGAAGGTCAACCTCTCCTAAAGGGAAACCTCTCCGCATCTGCCCCTTTGACCAAGTGAGTCATGCCAGTTTAGGGGTCCTGGACCATTCAGACAGTCATGAGGGCTGGGAACGGGGCGTTACCATCTGAAGGCTGCCTAACAGTTCCAACAACAGGGAATAAATGGGAAGGAAAAAAATCTTTTGCCCAGAGAATGAAAGACAACTTTAAATACCAACCAACCAACGTTGTCTAGTTTCTGTCTTTCAGCATCCTGGCAACTGAAAGAATCAAAGTAGGTCTAGCCCAGAGGGAAGCCATCCCTAATGCTGATAGCGCACAACCAGAAATGGAGGGAGTTTAATTGGTATAAATCATTCTTTTGGGAGAGAACTGCCTTTGATGGCCCTGCCTCAGGGCACGGGTGCAGGCTTCAGAGGGAGGGCGAAGCTACGCTTTGTAAAAGAGAGATGAGAATTTGGGGATGGGGTGGTGGTGCATCCTAGAGCAAGAGGATGGATGAGGAACCGCAAGAGAAAGAAAAAGGAGGGAACAAGATGGCTTTGCGATCTACAGTGGGATTCCTCCCCAGGAACACGCAAATTCCCAACAAAGTTTGCAGCGTATCATGAAGTGCTTACTGTTAGCATTAAATTTCTTTTAGAAACTAGTGAAAGGGATTAATTTTACACATGGTTGACTTGGGGACAAAACAGAGATACAGAATGCAGGCAGAGTGTACTTGACACTACAAGCCCTAGAATATTGGAATTAAGTATATATATATGGGAGTTGGGAGGGGACACCAAGGCCATTTCATCTTCAGTGCAAGGGGCGAGAAGAATTTCGGTTATGTCTGGAGTGCATGTGTACTTGTGTATATGTATAAATAAGTGGGGTTATATTATATGTACTGTCTTATATTATATCTGCCACTCAGCAATGCATTGTGAACTGTTACTCATTTAATCAAGGCCCTTTTGTTGGACTTTAATTGTATTTTCCCCCTAACTGTTCAACTATCATAATGAATGCTTCACTGAATATCTTGTGGATAGATCTTGGTTTACACCCACAATTATTTACTTATGATATAATATTTCTTTTAACCTGAGTTAAAAAATATCTAGAGAATTCCCCTGGGAGCTAAATCTGACTCAAATATTTCACTAACATTATTAAGTGCAGTATGGGTTACCACACTTCACAGGTACCACACAACAGCTGAAAGGTCCTAACTTTTCTAAATAAGTCACATGAAAAGTGCCCATTAGTCATGGACATTCCTAATGTAAAAATAACTACACTCACATGAAAAGTTACCTAAAAAACAATTCATCTTCCCATGTATGACCTGTGCTCTTTTATACATTTAAAGTACTTTGGGAGGGGATAACTTCTTTAAATCAATTACTGTGAATGATCATGATTATTATTAATGAAAAATATACTTTTAATGAAAAATCTACTTTTGGAAAATTCCACATTTCTCACATGTATTTAAAATACTACCTAAAAATAAAATCTGATTATAATCTAAAAATTATCATTTCTGTCTTCCTACCTCCATTATCTTCTGCAAGAATTCAGTTTTTTCAATGTTAGATGCATTATCCAGTTTTTCCTTGTTGTCTAGAAAAAAACGCCTATGAAAAAGGAAGCCAAACAGACTCATATTAGGACACGTTTGTCAGTGAAGCCATGTTTACTTACAACATCAGAATCTTCCAGTGCCCAACTCCCTATGCAACATATTCAATTACATATTTGTTAAAATAACCAAAAAATTTTACTCTTTTGAATTGATGAATTAATATTTCATTTATTTATTCATTCATTTAAGAAGCAATTAGTGAACACTGGCACTCCACAGGTGTTCCAGGTGCTAGAGATACAGCGTGGGCAAAGTCCCTACCCTCATGGAAATTACACTCTAGGGGAGTAGTCCGAATATAAGCAAGTTATCAAAATATATATATATATATATATTTCAGACAGTGTTAAGTTCTCCAAAGAACACAAAGTAGGGTAAAGGAGAGAGAAATCCTGAGAGCAAGGATGCTGCTTCAGACAGGTGGAGCGGGAGGACCTCTTGGGATGACTTGTGAAAGACCTGAATGGACAGAAGGAGCCAGACATGTGAAGATCTGAAGGAAGAGCTTTTCATGTAGAAAGAACAGCAGGTGATACTGTCTGGAGGCAGGAACAAGCTTGGTGTATTTGACGAAGAGAGGAGTACGAGAAGGCTGGAGAGGTAGACAAAGACTAGATCACGGAGGGTCTTAAAGACAAGGTAGAAATTCAAATTTTATTCTGAGGGAACCAGGGGAGGCTTTTTTAAGCAAAGAAGTGACAGGAACTGATTTACATCTTATAAAAGTGACTGTAGCTACTGAGTGGAGAAAGACAACAGTACAGGACGACAGACTGTGTGGAAGGTTATGATCGTGGCCCAGAAGAGATAACAGCAGCTCACACTAAGGTTGCAGCAGTGGAAGTGGTGAGAAACAGTTGGATTCAAGATGTATTTTCAGGTGCCAGCCCAGTGGCATAGTGGTTAAGTTCCTGTGCTCTGCTTCAGCAGCCTGGGGTTCATGGGTCTGGATCCCGGGCACGGACCTACACACCGCTCATCAAGCCATGCTGTGGCAGCATCCCACATACAAAACAGAGGAAGTTTGGCACAGATGATAGCTCAGGGACAATCTTCCTCAAGCAAAAAGAGGAAGATTGGCAACAGATGTTAGTCCATGGCCAATCTTCCTCACCAAAAAAAAAGTGTTTTCAAGATGAAAGCAACAGGATGCACCTTTGGATTTGGCTGGAGTTAGAGTTGGGTTAGGGATAGGCTAGTTGGTTAGTTGGGTTAGGGTCAGGTAGTGAGGAAAACAGGAATGGTAGATGACTCCTAGGTTTTTGACTTGTAAGTAAGAGTAACTAGGTAAATGGAGATATGGAAGACTGAAGGAAAAGCCATTTCAACGAGGTGGGAAATTAAGAATTCTGTTTAGGACATGTTATATTTGAGGCATAAGAGATATCCTCCACGTGGAAAGGTTAGATAAGCTGTAGTGTATAGACATTTAGAGGTCGGGGCTGGATATATAAATTCAGCAGTCCCTGGGGTACAGAAGATAATTAAACCCAGGAGACTGGATGAAATCACGTATGGAGAGTGTGCATAAAGAATAGAGAATAGTGAAGGGCTGAGAACTCCAAAATTTAGAGTCAGAAAGCAGAAATGGAACAAGTAAAGAGTCCTGAGAAGAAGCAATGTAGTGAGTGAAATAAGAGAATGTGATGTTTGGGAAGCCAAGTGAAGAAAATATTTCACGGAAGTAGAAGTGATCATGTGTGTCAAGCTCTATTAAGAATTCAAAACTTTATGGAATAGACTAGGTCACTAAAGTTTGGCGGGATGGAAGCCATTGATAACTTTGACAATTTGGAAACCATTTCAGCCCTTTTAAAAAAGCATCCATGATTTTCACAGTCTCCTGCACCATAGTGGCAAATGTATACTCTGGGTCACAAATTGGATGTATCTATAAACAACACTTAGCTTCCAATCCTCCACTTCTCATGTGCTGAAAACCAGCTGAATGGCAACAACAACAACAAAAAAGACTACAGCCATTGAGAAAGGTAGGCACTGGATTCACCTTTGTTATATAGACACGACATGCTGATACCAACAATAACGAGGAACAAGGATGACACTATCACTGCCTCCCGTGGGCTGGGGGAGCATCTGAGTGCTCTGAGCTGTCCACGCAGGGAGTTTCAATTTATGATTGAGTGATTTTTGTTTTTCTTCAATATTTCAACCTCAAAATAGGTAACAGTTTGCAAATTAAAGATTTCATGGGGGAAAATTAAGTCTTATAGATTAATAGGAAGATGAGTTTGTGCAAACTATTTTAGTTTCTTGTATATAATTTATTCTTAAACGATCTTCTAGTATATTATAAAACAACACTGTTCCATTCTTCAAATCTACCAGCCAAGATGTAGGCCACTTCTCTCCACCTCCATAGACAGAGAAAATGAACTGAGGGAGGAGATAAAAAGAATACAGAGAATTTTCTTTTATTTTGCCAAGTAATGAAGAGGAAAAAGTACAATTTTATTAATTAAAAGAGGGGCAACCTATTTCCTCAATCAACAAATTAATCAAAAGCACACTCCTCAGTGAGATTCCACATTAATGAAAACTCGTGAAATCTGGGATTGCAAAAAAAGAAAGATAAGCTTTTAAAAACGGAAAATCAATGGATCCCCATTTCTTTCTTGAACGTGTATTTAAAACAAGTTAGCTAACATGAAGACTCTTTATAAATAAAACTTCATCAGTGTAGCAAGGTTTTTAATCATAACTCCCAGAAATAATTTAAGAGCTAACCTTCCATTATGATTCTTTGACTAGTTTTTCTTTAAAATACGTATGAACTAAAACTACTGAATCACTTTCAAAGAAAAAGATTTTTTATTCTGAGTTTTAATCATAGCATTACTTGGGCTTTCCTATTTTTAAATCTGGTACTGAGTGTAAAGATTATTGCCTATTTTATGGACTGATGATGGTAGAGCAGCATTGCACAGTGCAATTGCTGTTTTAGAAGACACAATTTTTTTTTTTTTTGAGAAAGATTAGCCCGAGCTAACATCCACCACCAATCCTCCTCTTTTTGCTGAGGAAGACTGGCCCTGAGCTAACATCTGTGCCCATCTTTCACTATTTTGTATGTGGGACATGTGCCACAACATGGCTTGGTAAGTGGTGTGCAGGTCCACGCTGGGATCTGGGCCTGAGAAGCCCCAGCCACCACAGCAGGCCTCATGAACTTAACCGCTGTGCCATTGGGCAGCCCCTAGAAGACACAATTTTAATCACTGTATATTCAAACTTACGTAGAAAGGAGCCATATTATAGCAGGATTCCACAAGTGAAGTTACTTGTCTTTTGGGGAATCTGCTCAGTCCATAATTTGTCTTTTAAATTGTCAGGAAACCCTGCGGGATAGTTTGGAAGCCATATTTTATTATAGGACCCCAGCTTCCTGTCCAGAGCTGAACCAGCTTCTGATGGGAAATCTGGGAATTCTCCTAGGAGACATTCTATTGGTCAATCCCTAAAGATAGGTGGACCTGTGACAGGTAAACTGGGAGAGTTTGGAATGGCCATGCTTAGCCATGGGCTTACCAAGAAGAGAACACAGTATGCAGATGATGAGAGAAGGAAGAAAACCAGTCATAAAAGGAAGCAGAGACCGTGGGCCTTGGGCTGGATGGAAGATTTCCTTCAGTTTCTGGTTCCAGTCCCATCGGTAAAAGGTTTTGCCCCGAGGCTTCCCTGTATTTTCTCAACAAGTTTTGCAAGTGCCCCTTTGACTGAGAACAATAACTGGAACCACATGGTGAGGTGAGTTTGCAGCCCTAAGGCAGGTCCCACTAACGTCCTCCCCCAGGGCCATGTCTGCCTGAGGGAGTCAGAAGCTGAAGTGAGGAGGAGACATTCCAAAGAGGTCCCTTCCGTGTCCTAAATTGACCACATCGTCCTCAATTTTTCCTTTTGATCATCTGAAACACTGGTTAATTTCAGAATGAAGAGGTGGTTCTGTAAAGCTGACAATCAAGCAAACTTTCGTAAACTAAGATTAGAATTCTCACCTAATATTAAAGAAATATTTTGAAAAACGAAAGGAACAGAACATCTGGAAATGCTTCAGTAAGAATAAAGTATCATGCTTACATTTTGTCCTCCATGGTCTTACAGGAGTTCTTCATTTCCTCAACCTCTTCTTCCCAATGTCTGATTGATTCCTGTAGTAGCGCAATCTCTAAATTGTGGTCACTAAGAACCTAGGAAAAAGTCAACAAAAATATGGCATTCGATCATCACCAAATGATGCATGACAGCAGTTCAATTCACTAAATATTCACGTATCACCCACTCAACTTTTTCACTGGGGGCGTCTTTTAGCTAAAGTAAAAAGCAATCATTGTAATTGTTTCTTCATAAAACAAACTTGGGGTATCAGCACACTGGGTTCTTATTGTCCCCCAGGATAGAAAGCAAGAGAGACAATGAACAAGAGTGGAAAAGTAAAAGTTTATTAGCTTGAGCACAGGAGAGGCACAAGGGAGCCAGTGCAGAAAGGAAGGGGGCAGGTGACCAGCTTTAGGGAATAGGATTGTGGGGCTTTTCTTAGGCAAAGGCTCGGGGGGGAGGGCCTTGTCATGGCGTGTAGAGATGGGGTTGTGCTTGTGCCTGCGCTGTCACATAGCATGCTACTTCATGGAACCCATGTATTATTAGCATGCTAGCCCTGTACCCCTGGGTATGATTTTTACTACGTTAATGGGGCTGGGGGCACCTTCAGTGGACTCCTGGGTGCCAAGGTGCCTGTGTAAGCCCAGGAAAGTCCCAAGATCTTGGTGGTCTTTTTCTGATTCTCTATCTGGCTTGAGGATTGGTTAGGGGCTTATCTTGTTAGGCCAGGGGCCTTGAAGATGACCCTGTCTCATTAGGCTGGTTCCTGTCTCACTTGGACAGAAATAATCCTGAAATCATCAGAAAAAGATAATTGGGAGGGAGAGAAACCAAATACAGCAATGAGAATGTGAAAACTATAAAAACAACTTTCAAGGCATGAATTCATTTTGACTACCATTTAAAAAAATTAAACAAATCTGTATTTTCATAATCATCTTCAAAATATTATCCCAGGATACTAGAATGAATATTACGAAAAAGTCAAAACAAATTGGATCTTTTACCAAACTGGTTCATCCTGAAAAGAACTTCTCATAATAATTAATCAGTATTTCAGAAATGGAACAATCGGGTACTGTGAAAAAACGTTAGCACGATTTATAAGAAGGAAATACGGGTGGAGAAAATTCATAGTGACACATATTTTTACAATGCAGTTTTGGAATAAAGACAATGGAAGGGAACCTTCTCAGAGCCTTGAGTCTGCCTTTCAGCTTGTGAGGGAGCACAGGGCTGAGAGAAAAGCTGATTACACGCATTCCTCTCCTCTCTGGCACAGTGTTACCATGGATAGATTATTTCATGCTATCTAACCTCGCACATCACTGTGGAGTCAGAGAAACACCTGCGGGAGCAAAGAGGCGCTCCTGGTTATGCCTGGTGAGACAGGCAGGTGACAGCTTCCTTTCTTGAAAGCACCCACATGACTGAACTTCTGGGTCATAACTATTTGCAGAGTTAACAGGGGTCTGAAATCCTAGAACTGCCATCAGAATTAGCAGAGTATCTAAGAGACTCTGGCCAGTCATCAGGATTAGTGGTTGTATGTGGAAGGCCCACCAGGCTGGCATCTGCCACCTCTCACCCTCAGTGCCCCTGCCCTGGACAGGTAGGCCACCTGGAGAATTACACACCAGTATTTTTTTTCTGCTAGCACCACATCAGCCTGACCTGGATGCAGAGTTTTCTAAACTAAAGACACCACGCAAAGATAATCTGAAATTCCCTGTTGTCTCAATCCAGAGCCAAAATGTTGTTTTCTAATCTCAGGCAACAGCGACAACCAACTTTACCAAATACAAAGCCTTCAGCTAAAAGCCTTATAGGCATGACCTCATTTGACCTCCTCAAAGGCCCTTTGAAATAGGCAGGATTATAACCCCCATTTTACAGGTGAGTAAACTTCTGGTTGGGAGAGCCAAGATTTGAACCTGAGTCTCTGTGACACTCAGGTTTGTGCTTTAAATACTGGTAAGGTGGGGGGGGGGGGGGGTGACAGGCTGGACTGCGAGTGTGGAGAATGACACTGGAGGTGAGTTTATCCCTGTCCCCTTCAAGCCTTGTCTAATTTGGCCTTAGACATCTTTGGAGACAAATTAAGGAACATATACTTCATTTTCCCAAGCTAGGTTGGTGGCATGATGGATTTAAGATTTATGAGGCCCAAAGTGGAGATAGATGAGCTCGGACATGCAGATAAAATCTGTTTTATACAACCCTATGTTCTCTTTGAGCCTAACCTGACTCATGCTTCCTTACTATGTTGATATTTAAAACACAGATAATAATCTTTGTAAATGCACATATTTGGGGGAAATTTGTGATTGCCCTAATGTTTTATAATTGGATATCATAACAGAGATATTGTAACTAATATGATCAGAACCAGCCTATACAAGGTATATAGCAGTCCCCCCGGGGGATACGTTCCAAGACCCCAGGTGGATGCCTGAGACCGCAGGTGGTACTGAACCCTATATACACTGTTTTTTCCTATACCTACATACCTATGATAAGGTTTAATTTATAATTAGGCACAGGAAAGAGATCAACAATAATAACTAATAATAAAATAGAACAAATATAACAACATATACTGTAATAAAAGTTTTGTGAATGTGGGTCTCTCTCAAACTATCTTATTGTACAAATTTAATGCCTTTTCCATTTCAGCTGAGCACTTACCACGCACGACGGCTGTAACTTTTGCAGTTAGAGGTGCAATAGCAAAACCAGCACAAACTTCTTATTCCTTCTTCACAATTTTACAAGTAGAAGATTTGCTCTTACCATAGATCTGACCAACCTCAGCAATTTTCTTTTCTTTCCTTATTAAGTCAAGAATTTTATTCACCTTTTCACTTACAGGAAGCACTTCAAGCCTTCTCTTTGGCATATTCCAATTGCCAGCATCACTACTCTTGCACTTTGGGGCCGTTATTAAGTATAATTAGGGTGACTGGAACACAAGCACCGTGATACCTCGACAGTTGATCTGAGAATAGAGGCTCCTCAGTGACTGCCCGGCAGGGAGCTTACACAGCGTGGATCCACGGAACAAAGTGATGATTCACTTCCCAGGCGGGACGGAGTACAAGATTTCATCACTCCACTCAGAATGGCACACAATTTAAAATTTATGAATTGTTTACTTTTGGAATTTTCCACTTAATATTTTTGGACCACAGTTGACCACAGTAAGAAGCTGTGGAAAGCGAAATCTCAGATAAGGGGGGACTACTATAATGAAATTAACTGAGCGTTCTGATAAGAAATGTGATGTTTCAATATTACTGTTGCCCCATATAGTTTTACATGTAATTTTCAATACAGATAGAAGAAATACACTAAAGACTCATTAATTCAACTAATTGTGATGGAAGATTAACAGGCATATCTGTTTTAATTAACGTAGAAGTAGTATTAACATTAACCTCTTCAATTATAGTCACATCCATAAACTTCAGTTTTCTTTTTTTCTTTTTTCATTTTTTTTGCTGAGGAGGATTAGCCCAGAGCTAACATCTGTTGCCTATGTTCCTCTTTTTTTTCCTTTTGCTTGAGGAAGATTAGCCCTGAGCTAACATCTGTGCCAATCTTCCTCCACTTTGTATGCGGGATGCCTCCACAGCATGGCTGATGAGTGGAGTAGGTCCACGCCCAGGATCCGAACCCACGAACCCACACTGCGGAAGCAGAGCACTCAGAACTTTAACCACTCAGCCACGGGGTCAGCCTCTGGTTTTCTTATCTTTAAAATAAGAATACATAAAGAACTCACACATCTCAACAAGAAAGAAATAAACAACCCAACTAAAAAAATGGGGAAAAGATCTGAACAGACATTTTTCCAAAGAAGATACACAGATGGCCAACAGGCATATGAAAAGATTTTCAACATCACTAATTATGGGGGAAATGTGAGTCAAAACTACAATGAGATATCACCTCATGCCTGTCAGAATGGCTATAATTAACAGGACAAGAAAATAACAAGTGCTGGAGAGGATGTGGAGAAAAGGGAACCGTCATACACTGCTGGTGGAAATGTAAACTGGTGCAGCCACTATGGAAAACAGTACGGAGATTTTTCAAAAAATTAAGAACAGAACTTCCATATGATCCAGCGATTCCACTGTTGGGTATTTATCCAAAGAACATGAAAACACAAATGCATAAAGACAAATGCACCCCTACGTTCACTGCAGCATTATGCACAATAGCCAAGACTTGGAAGCAACTTTAGTGCGCATCAAAGGATGAATGGATACAGAAGATGTGGTATACACACAATGGAATACTACTGAGCTATAAAAAAAGATGAAATCTTGCCAGTTGCGACAACATAGATGGACCTTGAGGGTATTACGCTAAGCACAAGAAGTCAGATGGAGAAAGTCAAATACTGTATGATCTCACTCATAAGTAGAAGATAAAAACAACAACAACAAACAAACAAAACATAGATACAGTGATCAGATTGCTGGTTACCAGAAGGGAAGGAGGTAGGCAGGAGGGCAAAAGGGGTAACAGGGCACATGTGTGGAGTGAAGGATGATAACCAGTCTTTGGGTGGTGAAAACAATGTAGTCTACATATAAAGTGAAATATAATGCTGCACGCCTAAAATTTATATGATGTCATAAACCAGTGTTACCTCAATAAAAAAAATTTTTTTAAATAGTTTATCATCAAGAGAAAACTTCCATCCAAAACCTCTGTTAGTAAGACCAGAGGAAGTGACGGCAGCGATTAGGGATGTTAAGCGAAATTCTCTGATTTTGATCCCACAGCAAAGAGCTCAGTCTGTATTTTCACAAGATCCCTAAATTCCATGTACATCAGTTTGAAGCTGACGCTCTTGGTGGCTGCAAGCAGGTCTATGCTCTGACCTTCCCAGCGTCCTGTGCTGGCGGTTTCCCAGATGGAAAGGCCTCCGACAGTCTCTTTTTGGTTTGATCTATTTTACCCTCTTGTCTGATATGTTCAAGTGTTTTTAATCACAACTCTGGCAAAAACAAACAAGTAAATAAATAAATAAATAAGGATCATCCTCACGGAATATTTATCACAGTGCTGAAGTATTTTCTGACTCAAATAGACAAATGGTCCCCCTTTCCATATTAATGTTCCTGTGCCCAATATAAATGGAGAGCCTAGACTCTGTTTTATTATCACACATTCAGAATTAAGGAACCTGACCATGGTTATTGACTTTGTTTTGTAAAATAAAGCGACCTCATAGAAATGTTATATATAGTTCTGTATGCATTAGGTCGGTTCTATCTGCATTTTTTAAAATCATTTTTACAGTATTTTAGCCCATCAAATGAGATTTGTATCTATGCCATTCCCAACTTCCGTCTTCCCACCATATTCCTGAAGAAGAAAACACAATTACACTGTAACACTTTAAATAAAGTGACAGAATACGTTAACATGCCCAAAAACGTTCCCCAGAATGGTATGAATAGGAATTAAAGTTGAGTCCTTTTTTAAAACACCCGCTACCGATTATAGTGAGAGCAGTGTATACTGAGGTGAGGTCAGGCTTGAGAAAACATAGCTTATTCTTTCTTACCACTGTGCTGGTAGTAACTGTTTCTTTAACTTTTGACATTTTAAGCCTTAATTTATCCAATTCTTTCTTCTTTTCATAAGTCTCATTTTTCTTAAGTTCACAGCATTTTTTATATTCATCAATCTGTGGTGACAAACACAATAAACCAATCAAAAAGCTTATGAGGACAACACACTTTAGGAAATCTTTGTTTATTTTGTCAGCCAAATTCATATTCAATCTAAGTATACCATAGTCAATCTAACAACAAATTAAAAATTAAAAAAACAAGGTTTTCTTGTTTTGCAGCATCACAGGAAAAATAGTGAAACACAAAGACCAAAGTGTAATTACAAAAAGTTGAAATAGTAAATTTATAAGCGCAATAAAACAATGATCATTAATAGCAAATTATAAAAGCAACTGCCATTGTAGCAATTTACTAATAAAACACCAAAGCAACGGTTACCAGATGGACAGTGTGCTAAGACCAGGAGAGTCGAAGGAAGGAATGAAGAATTGTCTGGACATCTAAATTCACATTATGTAACGGGAAATAAAACAGACTGAAGACTGAGTAAACAAAATCATTGACGATAGGGCAGGTCACAGTCCCGGACAACTTCTCACCATTTTACCAAGATCAAGCCGATCCCCATCACTTGTCAGACCCTGACAAAGTGAGTCACTCTCTTATCAAAATCAAACACGTCATAGATTTGTCTGGCAAAATGAATTATCAAGAACAAAGTAACAACCTAGTAGTAAGGCCTGAGAAAGCACATTCAACTCTGTATCAAAGAGTTATGAAAACATACGTTTGGGTGCTTTCCATCAAAGCCACCAGCCAATTCCCCCAAGGCAACTATTCCGAATGAATGTGCTCGTTAGCACTTATCTCTGCACCAGGGCACAGTCGCATGTGAGTGAAAATTTGTGATTAACAAATTTTGTCGAAAATTGGAATTCTACGTTCATACTTTGGACTAAGCCTTCTTCCAAGGTCTTGCGATTGTAGAAATGATATTGGTAAAGAGTATTTTGTTTTGTTAGGGGAGATCTTATGGATTTGAAGACTCTCTGCTACCTGTAACAGGTTTTCCTTTCTCATAGGAAGTAAAGAAAAGTAACAGGCTGTTACCACAGCCTATCACGAACCTTCAGTGAATGGTGGTGGCTGATGCCCTAATATCCTCCCTAGTTGGTCTAGCCCAACTGTGGCACATGGCATTCCCTTAGGATCCATTATTTTTCCAGGGGTGGGCTCTGTCTCAACCTGACCAGATCAGTCACAGCAAGAAGACTTACGGTTCTTGGTTGGGGAAGGTTCTCCTCTTTCTATCTGAATAAGGAAGCAGATAGTCCTGCTGTCACGGGCCGCCATCTGGTGACCATGAGGGAAAGCAGCCTTAAGACGAAGGATGGAGGCGAGGAGGGATGAGCCACTGAATTAACTAGTCCTGGGGGCTGTGCTACCTCAGGAATTCCTACTGGTGAGATAACAAATGCTCTTACTATTTAGGCCAGTTTGAGTAGGGCTTCTGCTATTTGCATCTGAAAGTGTCCTCACTGGTGCCCTTTTCCAGGGCGATAGACCAGGGCCAGGCAAACCACTATCTGTGGGCCAAATCCGCTCCCACCTGTTTTCGTAAAGCCACTCTCCTTCATTTAGGTGTTGTTTATGGCTACTGTTGTATTGAAGTGGCAGAGCTGAGTAGCTTCCACAGAGGCTGTTATGTCCTGCAAAGCCCTAAATATTTCCTGTCTGGGCCTTTTCAGAAAAAGCTTGTAGATCCCCAAGAAAGACCATTCACATAAGGGAGAAGAACCTATCATATTTGCAAATTCCCTTTTTGAAACTCCTCTGGGTTTCCTTTCTTGTGTTTTAACATTTATATTAAAGAATAGGAAGGGGGGAGAAAACCTTCCCCTAGGGCTTAACATGAAGTTAGAAACTCATTCATTCAATAGAGTAATATTATAGGGTGCCTACCACATACGAGGAATGCCAGGTCCTGCTCATGGCGTGAGGACACAGCAGTGAACACAGCAGACAGTGCCTGCCCTAAGGGGCCTTCCTTTTGGTGGGCGAAGTACAGATCCGATGCCATCGCTTCCCAGGGGGAGCGAAGAAAAGGGACAGGGCACCCTCCTCAATCCCCACCGCCTTGGAAGCTGTCACTTGGCTATGCACACACGGACACACCCCACTTTCAGCCCCGGTAACTTAAGCAAGCTGCTCCAGCCTGGGGGCTCTGGACTGCTCAGAGAGAACACAGGGTGCTTTCAGCAGAGGGCTGGAAACAGTGGGGTCACATGAGTGGCCCTCAGCATTGTTGTGGACAGGGAACGAAAATAGGAAAACTCCTTTTGGTCCTTGTTGTCCTGAAACAATTTCATTGGGATAACAATAAATAAGGCCCAGCCCAGTGCTGGAGCCCACCACTATTTTTGAGACATGGATTTCAGTGAATTCCAGCACTGCAGCCCAGGCTTCAACCTTGAAAAGGTCCAGGGAACTCGACAGTTATGAATTCTGTTTGGCAGCAGCAGGCTGTCCAAGGGACTCCTTGCCAGCCACTTCACAAAGAGCCTGTTCCAAGGATGACCAGGGCTGAGCTATCCACACTCGAGAAAAATAACGCGTGGTTTTAGTGTGAAACTATTTCTGAAGATGTAGGCACTTCGAAGGATAAAGAGGCTCAGACCTGATTGGAGTTTATGAACAGCTCAAGTCTTATCACAGAACTAATCACCCTGAGAACCAAATGTTGGTCACCGCCAGATTGGGTTCCTCTAAATTTTAATTAAGACTCAAGAAAAGCAATTCAATAAACGTTCTTTTCTTTCTTTCTTTCTTTCTTTTTTTAAAGTATATCAGTGTTGGGAATCTGAGTCTGATTTCCTGCATTGATAACCTGAGGTTATGCCAGCTCCCATTGCGGAGAGCAGCGCCAGCAGCTCAAAAACAATTCTCACCGTGAGCTCGGCCCCCTCTGCAGGGAGGAAGAAGACCTTATGTGGAGACAGCCTTGCCTCTCCTGAGGCAACTGGAAGCGGAAAGAGGAGGAAGCGGTCATAAACCATTCAAAGTCGAATTTCAATTAACATGGCCTAGCAGACAGCAAGATGCAGCGGTTATCCCATCCCACCCTCGCAAAACTACTGGTCCCGAAATACTCCATTCTCCTGGGGTGCTTGGCTCTGCCCAGCCCCTCTGTGGGCCACTCCTCTCAGATTCATTCAGCAGGAGCTGCAGACTCTGGCAGAGCTGAACTCCCTGGTCCTGTCCATAGAGACACAGCCTCAGAGCTAGCAAGGGCAACCAGACAACTTGGAGGCAAATGGCTTGTCCCTAATGAGCTGCAGATGAGCGAGGGGCCACCCTGGTGTTACGGATCCTGTCATTCATGTTTTTTCCCACAAACTGAGATGCTGCCACACAAGCAAATGTCTTCCCCAAGGGGCTCCAGTGTCTTTGAGTCCCTACCCTATGATCGCAGAAGATGCCATAGGGAGTGCTTGCTAGCCTTGAGGACAAAGAAATCATTTCCCATTTCTTGCCTGAATTCTGTACATATTTTAAAGAATAAACCATACCACTTGCCTCTTCATTCAATTTTTGTTTTCTTTCCAAATATTCTTCTCTTTCTTTTTCCATTTCCTCCTGTATATCTTGAACCAATTTTTTTTGCAATTCTATTTCCTCCTTCTCCAAGTTTATTTTGGTGTAAGTCTCATTGATGTGAACAGCAGTAGCAGCTTTTTCTTCCATCATGTGGTTGAGAGACACAACAGCCTTTTCGTGTTGCCTTGCCAATTCCTCCTGCTTTTCACTAGGAGAAAAGAATCATTCATGGTATGAAAAGGATGGCTTTTACAAAAGGAATTTAACGTCTGTCTGGTGAGACCAACCACCATAAAGAGGAAAATTGTAAGGGACAGCTATTTTAGAGTTGTATTTGTGATTGCCTAAACTTGGTTGAGACGACGACAGAAGGAAACACAAGACAAGTGTCAACCTTGCAACTGTTCACCACTGCAAAAATGGCATGTGGTCCTGCCTCACCCTACTTGTCCCCACATACCAAGTAGTAACTACAGGACATTTTGGTTTAAAGTATACACTGATTCAAAAACAGTTTTGACCAGGTAAATAGAATCTGGCTACACAAATGGCTTGTTACGTAGCATCACCATCTATCTTATCATCCTGAGATATGTAGTGAAGCCAAAGAAGGATTAACATCCCACCAGCCCTCCAGGCACCTTCTGATGCCATCACTCTGCAGGGAGAACCCAGGAGAAAGCTAGCCTTCCTCTGACGGACAGGAGTTGAGGATGAGGAGGTGGAGCACATCTTCACTGTTCAGAGGATGCTGGAAACCTAATTTGAATCCTCTTATCTTCTCCTAGCTGCAGCCAAATATGAGTTCAAGGGGAGATATTAACCTCACATATCTATTGCTGGCCACATACTTCGGAGGAAGACCTTAAGATTGCGAAAAACATCTACCCCGGGGCTAACAAGAAAAGATGTAGAGGTGGGAAGTTGGTGCCATTTCTAGTTTCCTTTTTTAGACACTCCTGCAATGTAAAGACCTTTTTCCTTTTTCTAGTTCCCAGGGCTAAAAACTTTAATTCAAGGGGATTGTGTGCAAAGACCCAGGAAAATGGAAACAGGTTGTTGTTAAGTTTATTTTCCAGAAGTAAACTCCTCCACAGAAATGCAATAAAAAGAAGCCCAAGATAGAGGAGGTTAGGTAATGGGTGCTTTGTGGGTCTAGTAGAGGAAGCCTTCCAAGAATGAATCAACCTAAAGATCGAGTAGCCTCAAGGAAGCAAAGCAAAACAAAACAAGTCAAATCAATAAAACCTAACCAGGAGCCAGCCCAGTGGCACAGCGGTTAAGTTCTCACGTTCTGCTTCTCAGTGGACTGGGGTTTGCCCGTTCAGATCCTGGGTGTGGACATGGCACCACTTGGCAAAAGCCATGCTGTGGTAGGCGTCCCACATATAAAGTAGAGGAAGATGGGCATGGATGTTAGCTCAGGGCCAGTCTTCCTCAGCAAAAAGAGGAGGATTGGCAGCAGTTAGCTCAGGGCTAATCTTCCCCCCCCCCCCCCAAAAAAAAAAAACCTAACCAGGTGATTGTGACCGGTTGAGAGGAGAGCACTCAAAAACCAAATATGGGACCTAGGGAAAACCCACCTAAAGAGCTCTCACAGATTCAGGTTTTGAGGACTATCCAGAAGAAGACCACCTGTCAGAGAGTGTGGGCACCTTGATATACGTCTTTCTTTGGAAAATGGATGCAACAAGTAATTGTAGGCTGATGATGCCAGTTCATTAAGAAACCCAGCTTCCGTTTGTAATTTACTTTTCCATAAAGACTTCTCTCGAGCAGTGATTCTCACAGTGTGATCAGGACCAGCAGCATCAGCATTACCTGGGAACTTGTTGGAAACGCACATTCTCACTCCCATCCCCTAGACCCACTAAATCAGAAATCTAGGGGGAGGGGTCCAAGTAATTTGTGTTTTAACAAGAACTCCAGGTGATTCTAAAGCACACTCAAGTTTGAGAATCACTGGTCTATAGGGGTGTGATGGTGCAAGCCCATTAACATGACTTTTCAGCTTGGGTATTATTGTCCTCGTTATCAGTTTAGAAATTGATAGTCTCGTTTATATGGCAGGCTCTGGTGATTGTGGCTTGCAGGCACCATGCATAAGTCTGCATTGCAGATCCCCAGCAGGGGTGAAAGTATGCAGCATTTCTCAAGCTTATGTGATCACGACCTCTCCTCCTTGTGGAGCATCTCCCAGCACAGGTGTTCTGAGGGCCTGCGTGGGGAAACGCGTCCCTGGGCCTCAAGGTCTCCACGTGATTCCTGAAGCTTTGCAATCTGGTGCACCAAGCAACCTTCTGATTATTTTAGCTTCCCAAGAAGAACTGTTCACCATAATGAGGGCCCTCTGAACATTTTCTTGGCATAGTCACAGCAGGATCTCAGAGAAACCCACCAGAGGCCACCTGGAATCTACACTGAACCACCATTCAGTACCAATAGGGGCCCATTGACCACCCCCGGGATCACTGCATTCTTCAGGTGACCATGTTGAGTTCTCCTGAAACCCAGACTTCCTTATTTTAAATTGATGGTTCAGAGTTTATATGAGCTGTTTCAAGCCTTAAGACTAGGTGTCCTAAGGGGATACCAGTACAGACCCTAGGTAAGAGGAACCTAGGGGGATCTCCTAGGAAAGAGAAACCTAGGGGGGATTTCCTAGGCCAGGGGAGTCAAGGAGGAACTTTGGAGTGAATGAGGCAGGCTGACCTTTTAAATTTGGCTTTAAATTGGAAAGAATTGCGTTTATAAAGTCTGAACAAACTGCTTGGTAGAGAAGTGAGAGACTGAACATGTTCAGCTCTGAAGAAAAGGGGTATTGCTCCTCTGGGCTGAAAGGTGTTCTCAGGCGACTGAGAACCTCAGTGGGAGTGTTGGAAGATCAAATGCCTCACAACATGTAGTGGTTCCATAGGGAACTTCACCATCATTCACGTTAATTAATTAAAAGCTCGTCTGGGGAAGCTCACATGGGGGTTGGTCACCCAAGTTCCAAGCCCCCATGGCAGTTTTATGCTGCTGGTGGGAGAAACTGAGGCACGTAAGAGAGTGTTTATGACCTTTCTTTAGGGAGTAACACTCACAGGCAGCACACTTCTGACCCACCACACTGTCCCTAGGAGCTTTTCAGACTTTATGGCAAAACAAAACTAAAAGAAAAGCAGGAAATCAAGCTTCTAAAAAAGCCCCACCAATGCCTGAATGGGCAGCCTCTCCTCAGAACTCTGGCTGTCTTCATGCTGAGACTTGCAATTGCTTAACAAAAGAGGAAATATTCCCATCCCAGATTCCTAAGACTGAAAGAAAAAAAATGGGAAAAGAAGTTTTTGCAGACGTGGCCTGCTATGAAAGCACCCTTGCCCAAAAATCTAAGGAAAATCTTTGTTGTATCTGTCTGTTGTTTATGTGTGTGTCTATATATGTATGTTATAAATGTATGGCATTTTACCTCCAGATGGTATAATTTCTAAAGAACTTTATTCAATTGACTTAAAGTAAGTGTTTACAAAAACTTTTATAAATGAAACTAACCCAAACATCTTTCAAGTTAAGGTGAGATGAAATAATCTTTGGTAAATGAAAGCTTGTTTAAGTTTGTTGGTTTGATTAAAATAGGCATGTCCACAGAGTTAGCAGCATTGGACATGATGCAGACATGCAGCCTTTATTCTATGTTTACTGGTCAGATAAGCTGATGTTGTCTCTATTACAAAACTGGTTAACAAAAATAATAACTTAAAATGATGGCTAATTTTGTATAATGTCTCATAAAGTCTTGTAGGCAATCTAAATAATTATTGGGAACAAGTAACCAAATAGATGTGAAAAAGATGAGTGTTGGGTGAATTTTTAACAATAATTATGTGTTATGGTGTATGTACTTAAAATAGCTTCCAAAATTTCTTTGGTAACTTGAAACTTTGAAGTTTTGCTACCTTCATTTAAATGCTAAAAATTTATTAAATATCTAGATCATCTCTAAATACAAAAATATTAGACATTAATTATTAAATATAAGTTGAACTACTCTTGGCTTCTTATTACAGAAAAACTAAAAGGCGTTTCACTCTATTAGTCAACATGTCGTATTTTGTTAAAAGATTGTACTATGAAGTAACATATTTTTAGAAATTATAAAAAGTGTTTATAAGTTTCCCAAGCAACAGAATGCTAACGTTAAGAAAAAAGTTTATAATTGCTTACTTCTTAGTTTTCACTAAAAATTAACGTTTCTAAGGGTTAAAGAATTCTAACGTATGTGATTAAAGCTACTAAAAATTAAGGAAAATATATGTGTATTCAAGGAATGATGTATGTTTTCCGTAAAGAAGGTATAAAGAATGGAAATATTTATGTTTGCTTTGTTAAGAAAGATAAATTTGTCCAAAGTACTAGAAGGAAGAAAAGGAAAGCATGGGACAAATTCTTAATGTAAAAGAAAGTGACAGAAGGTTGGTGAAAGTAAAACCCTGAGGAGCTTTGTACATGGTCAAGTTGGCTAAGACTGAAATGAATCTAATTAAATAAATGAGTTTTAATATAAAAAGTAAGCTGGTACAAGAATTAGAATTTGCCTTTCTCTCTTAAAAGGGATAATTTCCTTAAACTCTTGGTCTGCTCTTGATAAAGAGGTTATAACAGGTTTTTATTTTTGAGTAAGTTTACCTTAAAGACAGGAGATCTATGTTTTGTTAAGATAATTTCCTATGTTCAAAAAGACTGGGGTCTCTCTATTAAGGTACAAGCTCCCCATAATTCATATCCTAAATGAAGTCTTTATTTTGACCTTCTTTGAGAATTTTCAGAGGGCCCCTGGGGCTTCTCAAAGAAATTTGTTCTCTCTTCCTATAAAGAGGGATGTACTCATTAGGCTTGTTTGGTATGCTAAATTGCATAGGAAGCATTGTCAAGTAAATGATGACAAACCTTTTTAGGTCATATTGTGTAAGTAAATATTATTCACTATTTTAAGCCTGCTACCTTGCTTCCAACATCACAAGAGGAAAAGATCACTACTGCATTCTATTATTTAATTGGTTTACAGATGGGTCTTACTTAAATGATAACCAAGGATGTTATCAAGCTGGATATGCTATCCAGTCTTGAGAATGCCCACTACTTTCTATTAACTCTGCTAACCCAGTAAAAGACTTCCTTCTATAGGCTCAAGAAATTGCCATAGAAAAAAATATATATATATATATATACACACATATGTAAAGGTGGCAACAAAAAGGGGGAAACAATACTTTTGGAAACTTTCTCCCATAGTAGATCATAAAGCCTACACTCATTGTGCTATATGCCCAAGATATAATCTAGGAAAACTATTTCATAAATCACAAGGCCAATTTCTCCTTCCTAATGGACACTTTGAGCTATGACAATGAGACTTTGTCCAAATTCCATCATCTCAAGGATATAAATATATCTTGTAAGGATCTGTATGTTCTCACATTGCTTTAAGGCCTTTCCTTCAGAAGAGTGATGGCTTTAGGCAAATTATTATTGAAAAGGATAATTCTTGCTTGAGGAATTACTACCAAGTTAATACAGTGACCGAAGAACTCATTTCACCAGACAAATAATTGAATCTATTTATAATATTTGGCCCACAATGCAGCATTTCCACTGTGCTTACCATTCCCAGTCCTCAAGAGTGATGGAAAGAACTAATGGCACAATCAAAATTCAATTGGTAAAGCTTTCAGAAGCATTTACTTTCTCATGGCCAAAAGCTTTTCTGCTAGTGTTCCTTAATCTTAGATCTACACCTTTTGGTAAACATTGACTGTCTCCTTTTGAAATAATAATAATAATAGGACAGCCTATGCAATTAGATGAGGAAATATATGAACCAACTTTGCTTAAGGGAGATATATTACATTGTTGTCAGGATCTCATTGAGATGCTTAAAAGAAATGAAAGGTTGGTAGCTGATTCTTTTCACTGAAAGCTCCCAGACCTTAAGGATCGTGGACTATAACCTGGAGAATTTATTTATCAGAAGAGGCATCAAATAAAAGGCTCTTAATAGCCCTGTTGGAAAGGACCATACCAGAATGGGAAGAAGACAGCATCTGTTGTAGACAGTTGTCCCAAGATCCCAGATCAAGCCTGTATTCCCAACCTTATATCCCCTCATGTAAACCTTTGTTATGTTTAAACTGTAAGCCTATTTTATAATTGTTCCCTTTAAGGTTTCAAAACACTATCATACTTAAAGAAAGTGAATGATTTGGAACAGACCAGTCTTGAAGGCCAGGCATTTATCAGGTAGCATCTAATGGAACTCAGTGGTTGTACAGAACAAATCTCTGGCCTTGGCTATTGCTGGGATGGCTAAAACACTGCACCTTGACTTTCTCTTGGAAGCAGGGAAGGATTCACACTGAGCTAACACCTGTTGCCAATTTCCCTCTCTTTAAGGCCAGATGGGTTCATTCAATGTTCCACTGGTACAGCCACCAAGCGGCCATATTTGTTCCTTCTTTGGGGCTAGAAGATGTTATTATCACACATGGAAGCCATGACTAAATTTACTCAACAAGCCCTTAATGGTAGTCAAGCAGGAATAGCCATATTAAACACTAAAATGTCTTTAATGAAAAAAGTTTCCTTCAAAATAGAATGGCTTTAGATATTTTAACGGCATCCCAAGGTGGTACATATGCAATCACTCAAGCTGAATGCTGTGCTTTCAGGATAAATCTTCCAATGTGTCATCTCTGCTAAAGCACGTGAAGAAATAGGTGAATGCCTTATGCGATCCTACACCCAGTCTTGCATTGTTTGGTTGGCTCCCTTCCAGTATTGGTACCCTTTTTCGATCCAGATTTTGATTCCTATTTCTATTACTTCTTGGAATTCTTGTACTAGACATAATATTCAAACTAATTGCTGTTTTCTTTACTCAATGTTGTAAGACTGGCATACAAACTAGAGTAATGGTTGCTCGGCAACTTGAGATGGTCGACCCATCTTATAACCCTGGACAAGTTTCTTTTTCTGATAAGGACTATGCCTAACGTCCTAACTAATGTTTTCAAATTTGTTGAATTATTATCATTGTTATTGTACTTTTTCTATAATTATGAACAGTGTATACATAAGGAGTCATAGAAAAGCATGTATACAATGTTTGTGCAACAATCTAAAATTAAGTGAAAATTATATAACCTATAAAATGCTCCCTCTGTTAATATATATACCGCTATGCTTGTCCACTATATCTATTTCCCCCCAACATGGACAAATAGGTAAATAAATTAGATAAAACCCTGGCACCAAGGGACAAGATGGACCAGGGCAGGCAACAACCACCCTGGCACTGAAGGACAATATTTTGATCATCAATGCTTTCTATCAAAAGATTATAGATCAAAAAGGGAAAAATGATAAACAAATGGCAAGCAATAGGATATACTTGAGGATATAAGGAAGCCATTTGTTGTAACTCTAATTCGGCCTGACTTTGTTTTTCCAAAAGGGCCTGACGTGGCTGTTGAGCATGCATTGTATATCTGCTTTAGGCATTTGCTGTGCCCCAAAGACAAGAACAAATGCCCTTAAGATAAAGGTGCAACTTCCCCCCACACTGACATTTCCTTAAGGATAATCATCTCTCCCCAGGCTAGGAAGTGATTGCTGCACCCACCCTGTGACCACCGAACTCAAGATGGCAGACCTACTACCTGCTGTGTGAATTGCTGTGCTGGCTAGGCAATCTCATGACTATTGTAAAAGGGACATTCCTATCATACGTGATGGATGATCTTTGTTCCAAGAGGGTATACAACCACTCTGTACACCCCACTGCTTTGGTGCCCTTCCTTCCTTCGGGAAGGAAGGCCCCAGGCTAGGCTAGTCCTCATCTGGCTCATAATAAACTTACCCCAATTTTGATTTATAGATTGGTTATAGATTATTTTCATTGACAATTTCTTACTCTAACAAACTGACATTCTGATATTTATGCATCAGTCGTACAAATTTGGCCACAGTGCTGAGTTTTTCTTCAGGGTTCCACTGTCTTTTCTTTCAGAATATATCTCTTCCTTCATGAGCTGCGTAAGTCAAGACTTCTAATTCCCCATTTTACAGATAAAGAGAACGAGGACCACAGGGGGTGAAGTGCTGGCAACACAGCTCAGGAATAAAGGAAAGAAGCTAACAGGAGTCAGGTCCTGAGCTACAGGCACTTACATACATTGTCTCATTTAATTACAGATAAAATTACGGAACTCTCTCCTGGGAGCCAATATCCACTGCCCGCCAGTACATCATGACTGAATATCTTTAAGGCATTAGATTAGAGACAATACATCTAGTTTGATATTATATTTACAACACAATACCAAGCAAGATTTCTTGCTTTGGTAGTTGAGTGTGTAAACTCAATTTTACTAAAATGGAAGCTAAAACCACCATGAACCTCTGCCTTTGGAGGTGGCGGTTGAGGCAGTGTGGTTTACATACAGTAGGTGCTGCTGGGAAGCTGGCTTGCCTCTGACACTGTACAGTGGTAGAAGGTTTTCTGCTTTCCTCCCCCACTCTCTGCAGCATCACACACCCCTCATGGGTCCAGGGCATCTTTCACCAGCGACCTCCACCTCTTAACCTGCCCTGCAGCGGTTCAGGCCAGAGGGCAAACCCCTTTGAACAATGTTCCCACTCCAGTCCCAGACCCCAATTCCCTCAAGTACTGAATAAAAAAAAAATACCTACCCCAGAGCTGTATTAATATTTTTCAGATCAAGTATTCTCTTCTTCAGAGACTCTATTTCAGTATTCATCCTTGCAATTTTCATTTGTAATTGATTTATCTCAAAAAGGTTTAATCTGCGAGCATCTCTGACACACTCTTAAAAGTAAGTGGAAATGTTACTAAATTATTTGAGAAACAGCACAATTGTAGATACTGACTTTTCAAATCATGAACAATTATGACTTTTGGGGAAGTATTCTTTTAATTATGCTCCTGTATCTGACACCTCTTACTCTCCCCTTTGGACCCTCTCAATCTTACCTCTCCATCATTTCCCTTGTTGCTGCTGTGGTGACCAGCTTTCTAAGGGCTCTCAACAACTTCAGGCTATGCAGTCTGACAGCATCTGATTCCTGCCTGTTCTATCCACCTCTCACCTCCTGTCTAGGACTTCCCTGTTGCCTCTGCCACGGGACTTCTTTAGACACCCACACCCATGCATGTGTAATGCAAAGTGTGGGAGAGGGGGCAGCCACTGGACCAGCGACAGACAGAAGCCAGTGCCTGGATGGTCCTGAGAAGACATAACACTGTGTCTTGGGAGCATATTCTCATACTTAACTAGTTGCACTTGGCAGCAGTCAACATCACATGCACCCCACATTAGCTCTCCTGCTCCCTACTTTGGTCTCCTTATCCCAGCCTCCTCCTCTTTGGATTGTACTCCCTAATAAAATAATAGTGCCAAAGCCATTGCCTCTGGCTCTGCTTTCTGGGGGACCCAGAGTTAAAGAACTAATTATTCAGAGCTGGCCCAGTGACGTAATGGTTAAGTTCACGTGCTCTGCTTTAGTGGCCTGGGGTTCGCAGGTTCAGATCCTGGGTGCAGACTTACACATTGCTCATCAGGCCATTCTGTGGTGGTGTCCTACACACAAAATGAGGAAGATTGGCACAGATGTTAGCTCAGCAACAATCTTCCTCAAGCAAAAAAAGAGGAAGATTGGCAACAGATGTTAGCTCAGGGCCAATCTGCTCACCAAAAAAGAAACTAAGCATTCATCAGTAAATAGCAAATCAGTGTAATCACACAAGACTTCAAGGATTACCTTAGTGCATGATAGACAGGTGGTAAAAATGCATGAATTTTTTAACACTGCTGTTTAGAAAGGTACCAGACTACCCATTTCTACACAACAAATACCCAAGAAACTAGCTGATAGCTCCCCTGAGAGAGCTAGGTTATTTTTTCTAGACTACTAGCTAAATTTGCTCTTTCTGGCAGAGCTTCTTCAACTTTGTCTCAAATGTGCTATGCATTCCCTGGGGATGCTGCTAAAACATGGATTCTGATGTAGTAGGTCTGGGGTGAGCCTAGAGGTTCTGCACTTTGTAATGAGCTCTCAGGTGATGCTGACATTGCTGATGCAAGAACCATACTTTGAGTAGCACAGTTTTATAACATCAGGCCAACTACATTTACTTGGTTAAGTATTCAGTGTGTATCAAGGACCTTATAAGCTAGCATAGTATTTCTTTTTCCTTCTAAAATATTTTCCCTGACTATAAAAGTAACCCAATCCAGAAACTAAAGAAAAGCAATCAAAGAAAATAAAACAAAAAACATTCTTAATTCTGCCTTTGGCACAGATTCTTCTAAGTCTTATTCTTCCTCTGCACAAAGAGGTTGCTGTATTTTCCCTGCCAAACCAGACTAACACCAGGCGTATTGTTTTATAACCAACCATATCAGTCAGGGTCTAATTAGGACACAGAAATCTCATAGTAAATTGAATAGGGAAATTTTAATATAAAGAATTAGTAACTATAACAGAGGATTCATGTAATGAGAGGATGAATAGTAAGAAAGCAAAGAGAAGTCTAAAGAATTCAGGAATAGCAGACATGAGGAGCAGCCACTGTCTCTAGGGCTGAGAAAGAGTGCCCGCGAGGAAGCAGGACCTCCAGACCCGAGATCTAGACCTCACTGGAGAGGGCTATGGTTCACTGCATGGCAGAGAAGTTCATGAAATCCTGGGCTGGCAGAACGTGCTAGAAATCTGTCTTCTGGGATATTGGAGGAACCTGTCCACAGTGAAGCTGCATAAGGGGTACTGGAGGGAGCTGCTGGAGACTGCTGCATGCTGCAGGACCCTGGCGCAGAGAAGCTATGTGCACTGCAAGAGTTTGCCAAGCTAGGCACACTGGGACCAGGAAGAGTACCCCTTTTTCCTACATTGTTCCTCCAGTGCCTTCTACTGACAATGCATAATATTGTGCCAGCTAGTAAAGGGGAAAATTTACAGGGCCCAGCTCCCTTATCACAGAGCAGACAAAGAAGGTAGATTTGGAGCTGCAAGGCAAGACATGGATAACCAGAGCATCCACTTAGAAAATGTTATTTAACTTATTTAGACCACTGTTTTAGGTTGGACTTCCTGGGAAATAGACTCTAAAATCTGTGTATAGGAAATGTATTGTGTAGTGCTCTCAGGAATATCACCTCTGAGGAAATAACTGAAGCAGGGTTGGGCAGAGAGGGTTAAATGGTAAGGAGCCTTGGCGCTGTGACGACACTTTCGAGTTATGCTACATCTAGGAGAGGGAGGCAGATCTTTGTACCCTCCCAGTGGCCAATCGCTGAGTGTGGGTGGCACCTGGGGAGGGGATGTAACCTGGAGTGCAGCCTTCCTCTTTTGCCCAGGGCAATCCTTGCAGAGAAAGAGAGCTGTGGCCTCAGCCAACACTCCTCGCAGCTGGGGAAAGAAGGTGGACCCTTACCTTGCATCAAATACAAAATTTAATGGATCAAAATGGATCAAAGACCCACATGTAAGAGCTAAGACTATAAAATTCTTAGAAGAAAACATAGGGGGAAAGCTTCATGACACTGGCTTTGGCGATGATATCTTAGATATGACACCAAAAGCACAGGCAACAAAAGAAAAATAGATAAACTGGACAACATCAAAATTAAAAACTCTTGTGCATCAAAAATCATCAACAGAGTGAAAAGGCAACCCAGGGAACAGGACAAAATATTTGCAAATCATATATCTGATAAGAGGTTAACATTCAGAATATATAAAGAATTCCACAACTCAATAACAACAAAAGAAACAACCTGATTAAAAGATGGGCAAAGAACCTGAATAGACATTTCTCCAAAGGAGATATACAGATGGCCAATAAGCACACGAAAAGATGCTCAACGTCATCTTTTCCCTAACATGATCGTTAGGGAAATGCAAATCAAAATCACAATGAGATAACAATTCACACCCATTAGGATGGCTATTACGTAAAAAACCAAAAACAGAAAATAACAAGTGTTGACAAGAATGTGGAGAAACTGGAACCCTCATGCGTGATGGGTGGGAATGTAAAACGGTGCAGCCACTGTGGAATACAGTATGGCAGTTTCTTAAGAAATTAAATGTCAAGTTACCTTATTACCATACAATCCAGCAATTCCCTTCTGCACATATACCCCCCAAAATTGGAAGCAGGGACTTGACTAGATACTTGCACATCCATGTTTATAACAGCATTGTTCACAATAGCCAAAAGGTGGAAGCAACCACAGGTCCACCAATGGATGAATGAATAAAGCAAGCATGATATACATACATACAGTGGAATATTGTTCAACCTTAAAAAGAAAGGAAATTCTGACATGTACCACAACATGGATGAACATTGAAGACACGCCAAGTGAAATAAGTCAGTCACAAAAGGAAAAATATTGTATGATTCTACTTATATGAGGTAGCTATAGTAGCCACACTCATAGAGACGGAAAGACAAAAAATGCTGGTTTAGGCCAGTCAAGCTGCCTAATTTAATTGAATAAATATCAATCTGAAATGCGCTGATCTATATATCTTTAGTCTATTTAGAAACTAAATTATATAAATTCAAGTTTTATATACATTATTTCCACTTAAAATGTCAGGGACAATTATTACGGATCTCACTATGTTTGCGTTGTATACTCTTTCTAGCTATATTTTGACATGAAATAACTATTAAACTCACCTTGTTACAAGTATTTGGCTCTATTTCCTTATAAGATAAACTACATTTCTCTAGTTGATAACCTCAAAAGTACCTTCGAATTCTCCACGGACGCTATAAGGGAGAGTTTCCAATAGATAGTACAGTCTGCTGAGCTCCATGCTTTCAATTTCCAGATGATCAATTGTAGATTTTCTCATTTCTTCCTGAAAATTTAAATTACATATTTAAAAAGTTAAGACATTATAATAAGATTGAGCTCCTAAACAATGTTTTCAGAGATCAAATTTTGATTTTCAGTAAACACCTTTTGTTATTATTTTTATCTGGAATAGAAAGTGGGAAAAGTACCTACTCTACAGTCAGTTTTTAAGGTGTTATTATTGTTCATTTATCCTTCTATTTCTGCTGATTTTCTTCTACTCAGAAGTCATCTTTCCCTATGTTTATGTGTTTGTTGTATGCAGTTTCAATCAATTTAAAAGGAAAGACTCCAAAAAAAAGGGTAACATTGAGAAAGAAAGCTACTTAATTAAAAAATAGAAAGTGCCTGTAGAAATATGCTTGGGTATATTTCTATAAAGAGAAATATACCTAAGAGATATATAGAGATATAGAAAGAGAACAGTGGTCCTCTTACACACACCAACAAATCCAAACAAATAGTCTGGTGGGGCTATTACTATTATTATTATTATTATTATTATTGGCGGGGCTATTTCAAAACAGGAAAAAGCCTTCAAAAATCCGTTAGTGAAAAAAATAGATAAATCATCTTTTAAATAAATGGTTGTGTTGGCTATAGTTATTTTACGACCTGAGAAATTGCCATTATATTTTATGAATAATGAAAAGCAGATTACACAATTGTATATGTAGGATGATCATTTTTCTGTAAAAAATAAAATTCACTCCCGGCAGCATCTATACACTGCAGTGGGGAGGTCAGTCATCAAAGAATTAATTGTGATTATTTTAGGGCACTGGAATCATGGTGGTTTTTACTTTCTTCCTTTTGCTTCTCTATTTTTTTCTAAATTTTCCAGAGTAAACAAGCAATGCTTTTATAATAACAAACATTTGTTACTTTAAAAAATGGGGGGCCAGCCCAGTGGGGCAGCAGCTAAGTTCGCACGTTCTGTTTCGATGGCCTGGGGTTCGCTGATTCGCACCCCAGGTGTGGACCTACACACCACTTAGCAAGCCATGCTGTGGCAGGCGTCCCACATAAAATGGAGGAAGATGGACATGGGTGTTAGCTCAGGGCCAGTCTTCCTCAGCAAAAAGAGGAGGATTGGAGGCAGACGTTAGCTCAGGGCTAATCTTCCTCAAAAGAAAAAAAAAGGAAGGATTTATCTTTATTTAAAAGATTTCACAGCTCAGATATTAAATGGGGACACACTAGATGCTTCTATAAGCCACAATAAATATTTTGACCCCTTTAAATCCTCAAGAAAAACAACTAAAAGAACAAAGCAGACAAAAGGTTTCCAGAGTACCGCAGTGCAGTACGACACACCCATTCTCAGTGTTTACACGTGTATTTACCTAAGTGGGACTGCAAAGTATAATTCTGTAGTATACATACACAACTATATGAATTACATAAAAATATAATTACAAAGTAATGAGATGAACTTTTATCAGTAGTCTGTAGACAAACTCATTTACTTGGCCGTATTTCTACATTTTTAGATATTTGATATGTAGTAGATTCTTAATATTTTTAAATCAAATGAAGAGACTTACCATTCTGACCTGCCCGGGAAGCACTGTAAACATTATCCAGGGCCAACTTTAACTATTTCTTTGATGGGACCAAGTTAGTATAACTGAAAGAGTTTCTGTCTGTTTTCACTGAACATCATGGTCTACTTCTGGGAATAGGCGCCAAATAGTCTTTCATCAGTTACGTAAGGAATTGCTTATGGAGAACTGAGTAAATTGGTACCCTGAGTGCAACTTATTCCAGAGGTTGGTTTGTTTTAAGCAAGGTTTACATATTGGTGTGCCAAGCATTTGCCCATGTGGCCCACCCCTTAACTGAGCTCCATCATCAGCAGAATCCATCTCCTAAGCAGGCTGCCCTCATCCATAGCACAGGTCCTTAATTCTGTGTCCTGTATGGAAAATCGAGCAACAACCTGCAGTTGATCGACACTACTGCCAATGCTTAGTAAACTGAGACAAAAAATTTTTTCATTCAGAGTAAATATTTTCCCTATTCATCTATTAAAGTACCTTGAACAGAGCTGGTGCTAAGTTAAAGTTTGATGAAGAAATAAGTGGAAGATTGAAAAAATAGCTCTTATAGAAAATACAATACCAATTTCTTAACAGCGAGAGCAATGTCCTTAAGAAAGGTCCTAGCTTCTTCGTTGCATTTAAAATAGTCACTTTGCAATGATTTTTCTAAAAAAAAACCAAAAAAATAGAATTTAAGATCTTTTATTTAGCAGTCCAAATCCTATTTAACCCTTTAAAATCTAGCTAGCTCAAATGCTTACTCAGTTAGAAATTACACTTTCTATCTCTGAATTTCTACATTACTCAATATGAATCTCTTTTGTGCTTGCTATTTCCTATTTCCTAGTACTCTAATTTAGGTATATATTTTAAGCTCCTTGAGGAAAACTCCTCTTAAGATTCCATCTTTGCATCTTTCATGAAAGAAGGAAGGGATCTGTATAGGATAGGACAAAAAATTCAATAAATATTTATGAAAGGGATAAATATAACATGCCTATAACATAGGTTTGTTTTCATGTATTTATATCCTAAATATAATATTTTACCAAAAACTACACATTTAACTAACTGTTTAATTTTTACTTCTATGCCAATATTTTAACGATGGCATGAGAGTAAATATTGGTAAAACTGGTAGGTGTGAGGCAGAGCGTTTCCAACCCTTTTTGCTCACTCACATGCTGTCAGAAGTCTCCTTTTCTCTCTCACCCTGTGAGTAGGAGGCACATGAGATGAGAGGCTTGGGAAACCTTAGCAAAAGTAATGAAGACAAGATACATAGAGAATGGGGAGAAGGAAGGAAACAGAAGGGATAAAGGAAGACGAGAGAGAACAGAGGAAGTTCTACTTACCTTGGCTCTGTCATCACTGCATCATACGGATCTGTCTAAACGGATTTCAGGCCTCCATCCTCATGTGTGGGATGAGTCTGACGTGACTGATGTTTTACATGAGTTATCTAAGTTGCTTCTTATAACTTTTTAATGATTCCCATTTCACAGGTAAGAAATCTATGACTTCTGAGGTCATGCCATATGCTCAGTGTCACAGAGCCCATCACTGATAGAGTCTGGATTCAAACACAAGTCGTATGACTCCAGAGTCCACACCCTCACTGTCCATACTCATCCCTAGGAAGAGTAAATACCAACTTCTGCCCTTAGTGCCAGGGAACTTGGATTCTCTTAATGAACTAAGCTCTCAAACCAAGTGGAAATCAGTTACTGAGTTTGCAAGCAAGTGTGTGTTCAGGAGGGACAGGCATCGCCTGCTAGTCCTTCCATTTCTTCCAGGGAATGAAGGCGCACAAGCTTGTTCCACTTGCAGATGGGCTGCAGAGCTACATCTTTCATAACTCACACCAGGTTCAGAGGCTTAATGAAGCTTCTTCCCACAAAAAACTTTCTTAGGGTCCAGAAAGTATTAGCAGAAAAAATATTTGTGCAGAAGTACTAGGGTTGAATGGACCTGATGGTCTAGAGATCAAGCATGAAGAGAGTTCAAGACCCTGGCTTTGTGGTTGGCAATGACCTTGGACAGCTTTAGCTCTCTTCAGTGGTTAACTCTCTTCATGACAAGACTTGTCGAAGCCTATCTTATAAGAACTGTGAAGTTAAATTAGTTCATACAAGAAGGAAAAAAGAAGCTACCTCAAACTAACAGTAACATTACAACAGAAATCAATATGATCACCTTGGAGCGATGAGATGATGCTTTGTTGATTGTTTGGTCTAAACCGTGTCTGAGCTGAACAAGAAATGCCCTTTCTTGGATCGTGTCCTACCTTAAACTGAGGAGCCTTGATTACAGGTTCAGCTTTTGAGCGGAAGAAGTATTTTAACCTGGCCCATCCAAGGTCATTATCTGTTTGCATTGCCTGAACATTCTTCTCTATCTAATTTTCCTTGCCTAATACAACAGGAGCTTCTTAAACATTCCCTTTCTTGTTTGCCTGTAAATTCTCCAGTTTGCCATGGCAAAATATGTTGGAGGAAATTCACTTGTAAAAGAAAGGCAAGAAGGGAGAAGTTGAAATTGGATACCTAATCCAAATGCAGGTGGGCCCTCCAGTCTGAGGCAAACGGCATGGCCTGGGAGTCTACGATTTATCCGGAATCTGTCTCCAGCTACTAATGTGAGCTGGCTGAGTCACTCCAGTGTCACTACAGCAGACCAGCTCTGCCCTGGGTCCCACCCCGCTGCCTCTCCCCCTCCAAGGAGCCGAGGAAGACGATGCCCTAACCAGGATGCTCTGGGTTCCCGGAGGAGGGTTCCCACTGTGGGTTCCCGCTGAGCGCCGCCTAGACACCACCTCCGAGGGGACGTCCCTCCCGGCGCCCGCGGCGTCTCACCCACAACAGAGAGCTGCTCCAGGGCGGCGGCCGCGACCGAGGAGCCCAGGGTTGGGGGGAAGGTGCATAACTCCAGGGAGGGGCCGGTGGAGACGGCTGCCGCCCGCACCGACTTCTCGCGGAGTCCCAGATCTGCGGACCAGGAGCTCAGGGCCATCTTGCTGCTCCTGCGCGGCGCCTACCGGGCCAGAGCCAAGGACTGCCGGTTGCCACGGGCAACGAGGACGCCGGGGCGCAAGCTAGTGGCCGCACCTGGGTGGGTGCCTCCTCTGTTCTCTAACTGTATCCACAATTATTAAGCGATCCTGGAAGGATGAGTCCCTCTTTAGCCGTGCTTTCCTCCTATTTCCAATTTTTTAGTTCAGGCCTTGTATCTTTCTCGTGGACCATTGGAATCATGATGATCGCTTTTGAACTCTACTCTGTGCCAGGCACTACAGGAGGAGCTTTATAGAGCTCCTCGATCTTCACAGTTGCTTTGCGAGTCAGGTTCTTTTATTATCTCCACTTTTACAGACAAGGAAACTGAGGCAGGGATGACTAAGTGAGCTGCCCAGGGTTACAAGAGAATAATTTAGGATTTAAAAGTGGAGTCTGTATAAATCTACTACAGTACAAAACCCGTCTCTGTATTCTTTTAGAATTTTCCCTGTATCTGCTCTATCACTGAGCACATTTTACCTTGAATCCATGATTTTCCCGTCTTCCCATCAGACTTTGAGCTCTTTGAAGGCAGGGATATTATTTATTTTTCCCTGCGTCTCCAAAATCCAGCCCAGCATCAGGCTAGTTCCCCTTTCCTCTGGCTGGATAGAGAGCAGCAAAGATGCTTTAATCCTCCTCTTCTTTACAGATGGAAAACTGAAATCAGAGTGACAATAATAATGGTAACAGCTATCATTTGTTGAATGCTTTCTATGGTCCAGGCACTGTTCTAAGTACTTTACCTACAGTAACCCATTTAACACTCATAACAGTCTTTTGAGATAGGTTTTATTTCCCACTTTGCAAATGAGGCCCAGTGAAGCTTCTAGCATTGGATAGAAAGGGTGTCTTTGTCCTTCCCCATTGTGTACTGGTAGGATCTCCCCCATTTAAGCCTTCTCGTTGGCTTTGTGCCTAGGTCTGGAAGATGGCTATACGTTTGACAAACAAATGGCAAGCAATAAGATATACTGGAGTATATGAGGAAGCCATTTGGTGTAAATCTAATTTGGCCTGATGTTGTTTTTCCAAAAAGGCCTGATGTGGCTGTTGAGCATGCCGTCATATATCTGCGTTAAGCATTTGCTATGTCCCAAAGACAAGAACAAATGGCTTTAAGATAAAGACTCAACTTCCCCCACATTGGCATTTCCTTAAGGATAAGCATCTCTCCCTAGGCTAGGAATTGATTGCTGCACCCACCCTGTGACCACCCAGCTCAAGACAACAGACCTGCTTCCTGCTGTGTCCACTGAGACAGCAGACCTGCTACCTGCTGTGTCCATCAGTCACTGTGCTGACAGAGCAATCTCGTGACCATTGTAAGAGAGACGTTTCAATCATATGTGATACATGCTCTTTGACGGTATATAACCACTCTGTACACCCCACTGGTTTGGTGCCCTTCCTTCCTCAAGGAAGGCAGGCCCTGGGCTAGGCTAGTCCTCAGATCTGGCTCATAATAAGCTCACCCCAATTTCATTTATAGATTGGTTATGGATTATTTTCGCTGACACATTAGACAAAGATTCCCCATCCCTTGGGTTTCTCATGGATTCTAAAGTGCCTGTCTCATGGTCAGGCTGCGATTCTCAGCTACAGGGACTCCATCACACAGTCATTTGTGGGAAGATGGCAGGAGGAGCACGTCCCCAAGGTAAATCCAGTTTGTTAGAACAGCAAACAGATGGATTAATGCCCCTGATGGAGTTATGCCAAACAAGAAAAGCAAGGCATCTCCGAGGAAAGGCAGGCTATGTCCGTGTTAGTAATAACACCCGAGTAAGAGTCCTCCTTCTCAACTTTCTCTCTTGACTACTTGTTTTTATCCACCATCAGCAATTTCTTGGGGTTTACAGATTTGGGTTGAACACTGATTGCTTCATTTGCTAGTGGGTTTAGATTGGCTTGAGTAGTTAAACTCCTAGTCTCCATTCTTCATCTGTAAAATGAGATTTTACATGCTGGGATTATGAAGATTAAGCAGAATAACAACATGCTTATCACAGAGCATGTGCTATTTCTCATCTTTTCCTTCTACTAAATGGAAAATAAAAAGCATTTCTTCTGAAATACACATGCTAATGTCCTTTCTGACATCCTAGCCTTCCTTAAATCTCTTGGTCATTCAACCTTTAGTGAAAATTACTCTAATTAAATCAACAGTCACTACCCAGAGGTGGGAAACTGGTTTTATTTCCATGTCATTTCTACTGGGTGGCAGTGACTGCCCGAGTGCTCAGTTAGGGAGGCTGAATCTTGGCACAGAAGGAAAGAAGTCTGCCAGGGCACCAGAAAAAGGCATGGCCACATGTGCGTCTGCACCAGACTCATGGGTTCACGTGTTTGTTGTGCCTGCTGTGTGCTGGGCATTGTGCTGGGCACTGAGCACACATAAAAGAGACCTGCAGGTGGCACTGGGGAAAGCCTCCTTGGGGAAGAGACCTCAGCTGTAAGGACCCAGCCTTCTCCTGTTACTCTCTTAGTGAAGGGGAAAAAGAGGTCAGAGAGAGATGAGGCAAAAAGAGGAAAGAGAAAGAAGAGGAGGAGGGGGAGAGAGAAGAGGTAGGAATCAGGAGATGTGAGCTGCCTACTCTTACGGGATCCTCCTTCCCTGGAGCCCTCCCCATTCTGGGCAGTTTTGTTTTGCCTAAAAGTTCACTTTCTCAGATCAATCCGGTCAGCATGTACTGGGCTTTATTACATACCAAATACTCTAATCAGTGCTTTCACTGAACACATGCATGAGATTTGGCTCCTCTTTTCAAGAAAATGGCCTTGAAAGTGGGGGAAGGAGGGCAGGCTGGGAGGCACAGCTCGCTGCCACGTGTGATTCCCTGCATGGGGCAGTGGCTACCATGACTGCTGCTCACACCTGCGAGGCACTGTGTGCTTTTACAGAATGTAACTGCTTCCCCGGCTTAGTCTCTATCATAAGTCTCCAGGTGATTACTGTGATTATCCTACTTTTCAGAAAAATCACATCCCAGTGGGAGATTCAATGACTTTGGGGGTAACCTTGGGCCAGGCCCTTAGAGCTGGACAATGGCAAAGCTGGCTTCCTGACTCCAGCTGTGGGGCACTGACCACTTGGCTTTGTGGCTGTGCAATCAGGGCAGGCAGTGGGGCTGGGATGAGGGGTGCTACAGGATGTCAGCAGAGCCATGGAGGGGTGGTCCATGAGCCTGGGGTGTATGGAGAGGGAAAGCAGGAGCCCAGCCAGAAGTTTGGTTTGTGGTTTCACTGTAAAGGGCCTTGAATTCCAAGCTAAGGAGTTTGGATTTTACGCTACAGGCAAGGCTGCTGTGAATATGCTGATGAACAGATTGGGCTGCTCCCTGCTGGCAGCTGTTTGGTAATTCAGTGTATTTCTGCCTAAGGTAATATTTTATAGTGGGATAGAATATCATTATCAATTACAGGCATTTTGATCTTTTTCAAGGGAGCATCTGCAGAATAATCAGAAATTAAATTGGGCCTGAAACAACCAATGCCATATTTAGCAAGAATGTCTTTTTTATTATTATCTTAAGTCACTGATGTTTTGGGCGGCACTTTCATTTATAAATGATGATTGTTAATGCTCACTTAGCATTATTATAGACATTTCCAACACTCATGATCTTTGAGTAGCAGTATTTTTATTTTCCTCATTTTTTCTTATTTTAATTAATTTAATTCTTATTTTAAAAAAGTGTTTCAGATATGATGGTTCCAAACTTTTTATGCATGGTAATATCATAGGCTAAGTGGTCTTGTAGTTTTCTGTGTAATAGTCTTATTACTGAATAGTTTTTTAACCTTTATACCTCAATTTTCTCCTCTGTGAAAGAGGCCTTTATTGTAGGGTAGTCATGAGAATTAAATAAATTAATAAAGTTCGAGTATTTATAAAAATGCCTGGAACAAAATAAGCTCCTCCGTAAATATAGTTGCTGTGCTTACCTCTGCACTATGAGCTCCTTAAAAGTGGGGACAGCGTTTTACTTCTTTCTGAATCTCCTATGGCATCTAGCGCAGCAATTCGCACATAACAAATGCTTAAGATATTGTTGAAACAGATAGTGGGAAAGATTCATGTATTCAGAATTTTAAAAAAATATAGAGCTTAAAATCCTCTGCAGTTCAGACTTTATTAGAAAAAGAAAAATACTAGAGAAATGAGGCAGCTTCCTCAGGGTCTCTCATACCACTTGCACATCTAGGCCGGTTCGGCAAGAACTGCTCTTCACGAGGTCTTCCTGATCGTTACTATGACAAGACCCCAACGGATGTTTTGAATCACCAGTTTAAACTGTACACAAAATTTGGTTCTAAGGGAACTTTATGATACTAGACTATTATTTAATTAATTACTATTTTGACAATGGTAACTCTGATTTAACCATGATTTCAGAGAATGAGAATGCTGGATTCTCAGCTGTGTGGGATAAATGAGCTTCCAGTTGGAGAATGAGTTGTCACCGTGGCTCCAACTGTTGTGATTTCTTTTCCTGTTGCACTGTGGACGTGTGTCTGGTTCAGGATGAGTGTGCATGTCAAATTAAGGCATGGTCTAGAGACTTTAAGGTCTGTGCCCTTTCTTTTCTGCCTTGATTCATCATGGGATTGTTAGGTAACACCTAGATTTGAGCACTCCTCTATTTAACAGCAAAGGTCAGAGTAGCAAAATGGTGCATTTGGAAAAACAATCCCCTGCGGCTAAGCCCTTGGACCCCCTGGTGTTCTTCCAATAAATGCCCATTTATGGTTAATATGCTCTAGTGGCTTCTTTACCAGCAATCAAATGTTCTTGCTGAGGCAGCATTGCTCCTGAGCTAGAGATTGACACCGAGAAGGCAGTGTGGCACAGTGGGAGGAGCCCAGGCTTCGAAGTCAGACACAAAGGAGTCTAAGGGCGTGTTTTACCACTTACTAGCTGTGAACTTGCACCAGTTATTTAAACATCTTTAGTTTCAGTTTCCTCATTTGGGCAATAAAAATATTAATCATGTAGGATTTTGAAATTCTGAGGATTAGAAATGTTTATAAAGTGCTCAGCACAGTGTCTGGCTCATTGATGCTTTGTTATTGCTAAAAGGTTTCATTTTAATAGGCTTAAAATAGGCTTATTGACTAATAAATCAAATAGCTAAATTGTATAACAATTAGATGTATTTAGCCAATTGACTTATATAATAACCAACTTTGGAATTAAGAACAAAATTTAAAACAAGATAAATTTTTGTAAAAAGGAAAAAAGTAAATGCACTTTACCTAGTAAGAAATTCCATAAATGCCAGGAGAAAACGCTCTTGGTTTAGCACTATTCTTCCCAATGGAGTTTAAAGATTCTACCGTAAATCGGGCAACCAAATGGGTTCATGCAGATAACCTAACAGGACATATCAGAATCCCTGAAAAAAGCTCCATGTATTCTGCTGGGAATATATTTTGTAGTAGCAAACATCTGGTGATCTCTCCCACACAGGGGAAGCAAAGACAAGACATGAGCTCTATATTCTATCATGAGCTCTATATTCTATCACGAGCTCTATAGTCTATCACGAGCTCTATATTCTATTACGAGCTCTATATTCTATCACGAGCTCTATATTCTATCATGAGCTCTATATTTTATCATGAGCTCTATATTCTATCGAGCAAAAAGGAAAACAGGATCAATTTGCCACTAAGAGATTATAGTGTGGTAAATTCCCTTGTAATTCAGAGCACTTTAAACACATTTATTGAGTACTACAGAGTTTCTGGGTATTTTGATGAGTGCCATGTGGAAAAAATACAATACTGCCAGTTTCAATGTGTGATTATCTCAGACTGGATGCATCATATTCCCTGGGCAATTTGTTCTTATAAGAGTTGACACGCTGAGGTGCTATTTGGTACTGAACCATTAATGTGTGAGTATCAGAAAGAAAA